GCCGCCCATAAGAGCGGCGTCCGGCCAGTATTATCCTTGAAGTCGACGTCAAACTTGCCTATCTCGAGCAGCAGCTTAACTACGACGTCGTGCCCTTTTCGCCCATAAGAGCGGCGTCCGGCCAGTATTATCCTTGAAGTCGACGTCAAACTTGCCTATCTCGAGCAGCAGCTTAACTACGACGTCGTGCCCTTTTCCTGCCGCCCGCGATAGCGGCGTCCGTCCGTCCTGATCCTTGAAATTGACGTCGACCTCGCCTGTTTCAAACAGGAAAGCGAGTAAAACTTTGTCACCATGCTCTGCTAAATATGAAGGTACTGTCCTCCTGTTTGAAAATTTGAAGTCCCGTTTAAATTTACCCTGTCTACCTTCATCCTGAAGGTACTGGCCATAGAGATTGTGAAGCCGTGTGCCCGGGGGCTGATTCAATATATGAGCCTGCAGAAACGTTATTACGGCTTCTTCACTCCCGGTCGCAAGGGCTGCGAACAAGGGAGGACCGTAACGCTCGTTTCCCACTTCAAGCCACGATAGGATAGATGGATGAACTTTGATGAGGTTTGACATGTTCCCTTCCGCCAAGACATACAAAAGACTCACCTCTTGTGTATGCCTGCGTACTTCGTTTTTTTTGAATAGATTGTCGAGCTTGATCCAATCGGCTAGCCGGAAGGTTTGAATGAAACCTTTTTGAGCGATACCACTTCCTGCTGCCACATCTGCATGGTATAGCACATTGCGTACGGCATAATCCAGGAAGGGGAATTCACTAGCAGCAGATTGGCGGTAGTCTACAGCTTCCCGCGATGAAGCTTTTGGAAGACTCTCGGGGAGCTTCAGGAGGGTGAAAGCGTCGATGTCCATGTAGTTGAGGCAGCACTTCTTCAACTGCTCATGACTTTGACCTTGGAAATTTATTCCAAGCGCAGGCCAAATGTTTCCAAGCCCGTTTTCTTTTAGGAGAAAGTCCTTTATTGATTCATGAATGAACCGGACTTTCTGACTTTTCGATTTCGTGATTTCGGCGAGTCCTTTAGAGGAATTGAGGATGAATCTTTCAATAACGTCTCTTGTGATCTCTTCATGATCCCACCTTGATAGGGTCTCGGGCTCAACTCCAGAAAGAATAGCAAAGTATAACTGCTCTGGACTTAACGGTTGCGTCGAGAAGAGAACCCACTGAACACATAAAACCAGCTCGTCTCTATTGTTGGAGTCGCGTGTCAGAATATCGTGGAACAGCTCGTGGAGGTCGCTAGGAATCTCATCGAGTCTTCGCCGAAGCGCATGTATGCGGCCAATGTCGTATTCTTTATTCAGTATCCCTACCACGAGAATAACCCACATGAAAATCCCCGACGCTTTCTCTTGAAGTTCTGTTCGGACTTGCTCAGCGGCCTTACTATGTCCAATCTTCAACTCGCTATCCAGGTAGTTGATTATATCCTGACTATGTCCTTCTTGTCCTTCCAGCACTAGATCCAAGCTTTTCCGGATTGTAATATGCGGATAGTGTCTGCTTGAAAAGCAGACTCGGAATTCGATACCGGCTGATATGGCGAGCTCGCTAACATGTTCCAAAAATGATAGCATGTCCCGGATCTGACGTTCCTCACATTCATCTAAGGCGTCGATAAAACATACCACAGAGGACTCTCCCAGACTTTGTATGGCTTGCTCAAACAGGGTTTTCAATGATTCGACGCTCCATTGGTGTTCGCTGGTGCTTGACTTTGAGAGGTCAAGCAAGTCAAAGACGCACTGAAGCGCTGGAATTCGTTCGAGGAGTTGCAGTAAGAGCGACTGATATGTTCCAACTGTTGACTTCTCCAGACCTTCGCCTAACGCATTGAAGAAGAATGAGATCATAATCCTATCCTTCATCATCTTGCGGGTATTGGCAAGGGCAAATTTGATCAATGTTGACTTTCCTGTTCCAGGCTTCCCTTTAATCCACAAGAAGCCGTGGTGCTTGTCCAGCTTAGCGGCATCGAGCCAGTTGACGTATTCGGGACTTTTTACCAGCCATTTACATGTCTTGGCGTGGGCATTCTTGATGGTCATTTGGCGCGCATCGATTTGGTCGAATCTCAAGGAATCCAATAACATCCTTTTTTGCTCTTGGTTGAGTGACAGCTTCTCTCCTCCCCTGGGCCGACTGGAGGCCGTATCTCTCTTCACAGGGTTCACTGACAAGATCTTGTTCGTGCGTGCCGCTGCCGTTGCCACTGCTCCATTGATCTGCCCCTGATGTTCAAACGTATTTGCGGGATTATTCGTAGCGGATACGGTGGAAGGATGTTCTTCGCCGAGGGTCCGCCTCGTCATCGCTAGCGCTTCGTTCTTTATCGCCGCTGCTTCATTGAGCTGCCCTTGGTTTTCGAGCGTATTTGCGAGGCTGTTCATAGCAGAGATTGTGGAAGGATGTCCTTCGCCGAGGATCTGCTTCCTCTTCTCTAGTACTTCCTTCTTCATCACCTCTGCTTCATTTAGCTGCCCCTGATGTCCAAGCATGTTTGCGAGGTTGTTCATAGCGGAGATTGTGGAAAGATGTTCTTCGCCGAGGGTCCGCCTCATCTTCGCGAACACTTCCTTCTTCATCGCCATTGCTTCATTGAGCTGCCCTTGATCCTCGAGTGTGTTTGCAAGGTTGTTTAAAGCAGAGATCGTGGAAGGATGTTCTTCGCCGAATATCCGCTTCCTCTCCTTTAGCATTTCCTTCTTCATCACCACTGCTTCATTTAGCTGCCCCTGATGTCCAAGCCTATTTGCAAGGTTATTTATAGCGGAGACCGTGGATGGATGTCCTCCGCCGAAGGTCCGCTTCCTCTTCCCTAGCACTTCCTTCGTCGCGAATGCTTCATCGAGCGAGCCTTGATTACCGCATGTGTGTGGGACGTTGTCCATAGAGAAGGTCGTGGAGGGTTGTTCTTCGCCGGGAATCTGCTTCCTTTTCGTAAGCATTTCCTTCGTTGCCGCTGCTTCATCGAACTGGACATAGTGGAAAGTACCCTATTTTGGCTTGTCTAGGAAGGGCAGTGAAAGTCGTCTGGTCGTCTTCTTAGAGCTGTGGAAACATTAGCTCAGCAGCCGTCAAAAGGTCGGTCGCAAGGGCTTAAGAATCCTATCGTTTGAGATTGAGAAGGTGGATGTGGACAATTACCGACCGTCCGCGTGAACAAGGATTGTCTTGGCGACCCTTGGCCTACTATACTAGATAGAGTTAGGTACTTATGCCACGAACCCACGTGCTGTTGGGTGTAGTGGAAGGCAATCTCATACAAGTCTCGTCGCTTTATTACTAATTTTTAACATGTGTAACACGATACAGGCTTCCACCACAGCAGGATGTCATCAAGAGTAAGCAATCAAACGGATCGAGATGGAGAGTGTTGAATGGATTGCAAATCACTGTGCGCACTAAGAAACCATCGAGCTCTTGTAGCACATCCCCATATCCAAGCTCCCAATTAACCCATAATTGAATGCCTGCCAAGGCCAGTCGAAAGGCAATATTGGCAGTACGGCTTTCCAGATTTAGGGTAACCCTTAGGCCAAATTTGCTCTTTGGCCTACGAAATTATCAATCTCCTATCCGAAGCCAGGAAAGTATGCAACGTACCTCCAGCAAAGTGATGAAATGCCGCAACAGCGCGCAGCTGTTGTTGAGCGAGGACGATGGTGTAAGTGGCGAGTGCAACATTGACAGTGTTGTAACCAATCGATACAACGGTATCGATTGTAGCCTCCCAGCGGCCTTTAGTCCCTTCAATGGGAAGGCAACGTTCGCTAGCTGCCGGGGTAGAGGTTGCCATTGCTTTGGTAGTTGGAGTTGAGCCTAATGTTGGCTTGTCTACGGCACTAGATATGCCAGTCTTTACAGCTGCAAGAATAAGAAATATAGCAGCGGGGCGCATGCTGAGGACAATTGAATGAGGAGGTAATATACTATACTGGAAAACTAATGGCAGAGGAAATAGAGCAAGTGGGCGAAGAGAAAACAGAGGTTATATATGTTCTATCCTCGCCATATGATTGACATTTATTATAGACATTGGAGGGCGAGCAGTGTCGGTAAGTATATACCTAAGCTAAAGATATTATATGCCACTACAAAGGCCTTACGTGCTAATGCGAAAATCGCGCTGTGAATGATGAAGAACAACGGAGCTACCTTCCCAGTATTATTGAATATTCTTCTCTATAGCATCGCAACTTCAATCCAGCACACGTCCACCATAACACTGTATAACTATTCGTTACTTGCTGTGTAAGTACTAACTGCTCTACTTGACGGAGTACGTATTCTTAGCCAGCTAGCCTACGGAGTATGGTACGGCTAGCTCAGCTACCTTGATATAGAACACGGTTCCTATACTTAGCCCACACAGTTCTACGGTACGGCTACGTAAGCCTCCACGCACACAGAGTATATATACGGCGTACGTAGCCTAGATAGATGCTCATCCAATACATCACTTACCTCGTTCAATGCATTGTTTCACCTCCATCCTCACTACTCAACACACCTATATAGTTTTTAGAATTAGTTACAGAAGTGTTGAGAGTGGAATGGTGCATTCGGCGGATCTTCGGGCATTCCTCAATTGACATTAATTAGCTTCTTCGTACATAGACGGAGCACAGGCCATTTTATGCCCAAGCAAAGCTGGCAGTTGAGTTTCGAGACAAAGTCTTACAAAGTCAATTGACATTCACCCGGTCAAAGTTTACCAGGCAAAACTCAAATGGCCTGCAGTCCCATAGCTTTTACTACCGATATCCTCGGAAAATTGTCGATTCTTCAGTAACTAAGTGGGGTTGTGCCATGCAAAACCAACAGTACCATTCTCCTAATGTTGGGTCGCTCTCGTCGCCTCAGCACTCTACCCAGCTTGATCGTAATCAAGATCAGCAGCAGGCTAGCAACAACCTCCAGTCCTCTCAGCACCAAGAGTCCATCTCGCCTGAAACCGGAAGATCGAGACAGTATTCCGCCCTAAACAAGGTCTCTGAGAACCCGCAGTTCAGCCACATCTTCCGCAAATACAACCCTAACCACATTCAGAGCGCGCTGGCGCTTTTCCGCGAGAAGGAGGATCTTCTTAGGCCCTTTGAGAAATTCTCTGACGTGGAAATGGATGGCATCGCAAGACTCTTGCGGAGCTGTCCCGAGAAGTTAGCTGCCGTGTTGGATATCTGGGCGGATCACAAATCATTCATCCATGAATTCAAGGACTACGAAGACGCTGATCTTCAAAATGTGTTTGAACAATCACGTATGTGCTTCTCACCAAGAAGAAAATATACCTAGGTATGCTAAAGGGAAGCCTAGACAATCGTATTAGGACATTGCCAAGCCCCATCATACTCCCTGCCAAACGCCTCCAAACACAACCGCTTTCCCGCGTTCAACATCCGTCACAAACATGTCTGGTTCTCGATATTTCTCCAACATCGTTACCACTATCCTCCACGGAAACACCAAAAGAAGCTAGCAATAGCGATCAGGTTCCTAGGTTCCGCTGCACTTATATTTGTGGCCGAACATTCAGAAGAGAAGGACATCGCAATAACCATGAGCTCACCCATCATGACGGCAAAAGGAAGATCGCCTGTCAACACACTGGATGCAAAGGCGAAGTTGGCACAGAACCCGCGTACATCGTCCATCATAACAGAAAACACAAACATTGTGATCTACAAGAGAGCTGTCGACATAGCGGCGAATATCTTCGCCCCCCCAAAACTGCCAGCTCCTGTGGCTATTGCGGGAAGTTGTTTGAAGGCGAATCAAATTTCAAAGATCGGGGTGATCACATCACGAGAGACCATCACACGCCAAAGGACCCAAAAGATCGTAAGACTGCAAGTGAATGGTCACGCAACGTCCAACTCGAAGGCAAGAACGGAGCAGAGGGCATGTTCTCGAGACAGGAGTTAGCCGGCTGGAAAGACTTCAAGAAAAAGCGAGCATGGTTGCGTTGCGTCTCCTCCAACTTTTCTTGGGAATGTGTCCCAGAAAAAAAATGGATAGACTTCCTTGAGACGATTGAGCATGGAGCTGTCATTGGCAATGGCACACACTGGGAATTTACGGACGATGTGGTACGGGTCATTTTCGAAGAGGCGTTCAAACTCGCTGTTCATCACGACCCAGGTGCAATGTCCTCGTACTATGCGAAGCGTGCCACACAATCTAACGTCGAGCCCTCAGGGTTTCTGTGTGCCACAAAAATGAGCTACGAAAGCGCTATGCAACAGCCTCCTAACTCAAGCAACGACGACTGTGGTGAAAGCAGCGACTTGAACAACAACTTGAATTCGGACCCCGCCCTACACCAATGGGAACCTGTTGACCACGAAGGTCAATGCAGCGACTTGGACAACAACTTGAGTTCGTACTCCGCACCACACCAATGGGAACCTATTGACCACGAAGGTCAATGCAGGAGCTGTGATATTGATACCACTAATCACCTCACTTGCTCGAAATGTAATGGCCGTTCTTGTGGAGACTGCTGGGCACACTATTTTTTTATCTGTAACGACGAATCAGATATTTAGTACAGTATCCTGCCGAAACAATCGTCTCAACTCGATGCTTTAGCATATGTGGGACTCTCTAATGTAATAGCTTCGTATTGCTAGAACTTGAAACGATATGCTGTAACCCAGTTCGTAAACAGATATTTGTCCTCCGTTCATTAATCTCGCTCCTCAGAGTCACAGGGTTCAGAAAGTCCTCTCTATTTCCTCACTTGCATGCATTCTCGGTAGCGCCAAAGATGATACAGGCTAGCGGCTAGTCTCTCTACGCTGCTCGCAGCATTCCCAACAGCGACTGCACTGCAGAATGTTCTACTTGGGTCTGTCACTACCTCTGGGCTGTCATGGGAAGCGGAGTCTGGGAATGCCTCTGGGATCGGTCGCAGAGCCGATCGTTCGAGCTTACAAATGGGCCTACTTAGGATTTGCTCGTGGTATTGGATTCAATGTGAGTACACACCGGTGGCAATGTCCAACAACTTCGTGAAGCGATCCGTCACAATCGTGCACTCGCTTCGTGCGGTCGAAGAGCCTGTTGAGTCTTCATGCGTGTCGTGAGCCTTGTGAATTGGTTCGTCTTTTTGGCGGCTAGAGTCCCATTGCGACATGTTATAGCCCTTTCGGAAATGAGCCGCGATATGGCGTGCCCGTTCATCCCAGGTAGGTAATATCTCCCCACAGAAGCCACAGTTCCAGTCCTGATCGGCGTAGTCTATCTCATGTTTCAAATAATTCGCGGTGACACCGTCCAATTGTGCGTTATGGACGCTGGTGAAATGTTGTGCAAGGTGATCCCTTCAGTAGAACGTGCGATCCTCCATGGACTTCGGCAAGCAATCAACCATCTCGGGATGATGGAGCTGATAGTGCTCAAGTCTAGGGTTCCTTTCCGGGAATAAGAGACATCTCAGTTCGTTTTTGTGAAGGTTGAGATTGGCGCCACCGCATACCCATTTTGATCTTGGCAGATGTTGACTTTCCTCATGTCTCTTCCAGGCTCTTTCATTCAGTTCCTTGGAGCAAAATGTGTATTGGAAACCTCTGGGCAATCTGTTGATTTGATTTGGGGGTGGGTATCTTGACAAAACGTTTGATGTAGCGCTAAAGCTAGCTCTAGATGCTGGGGACCGGGTTCCGAAGCTCATCGAGGAAACGGATATTCGGGACGCAGAACGTTTCGCAGCATTTACGACCTCCTCGTCTTCTGATGAAGAAGAAAGCCATTGTTCAACAGCACTCACCAATCGGCGCATCCGGTTATTGGTGAACCATCTGTCCACCTGCTGTGCTCGGATGCCGGCTTCATTCGCGAGTGCGACTTTTTCATGCGCGGAGGGATACGGATTATCTTTGTGAGTGTTGAGCTAAGTCTCGAGGATCGCAATTGATTTCAAGGGGAATTTTGACCGTCGGTAAGGCCGGCGTAGGCGATTGGGCTGCTCGGGTAGGGGCTCAATATCTTGCGCTATACCGAACAAGTCGGCTTCTGGTGCATCTGCACTCAATGGCTTTCCAGTGTTGGACGCGGCAGTGTAGATGAGATCAAGGGAGCTAGTCACCATCTTCTCCGGAGTGACAACACCTCCTGAAGAAATTCTGATCATCATGCCCCTGGTACCGCTTTTGAAATAATTCGAATCTCCATCTAACTTATTTTGCTCGGTCCAGAGTCCAGTTGTTGGCATCATGGAGGCACCTATGGGATCGTAACCAGAAAGGTTAGGGTGGTCCTGCGAACGCATTCCAGTGCAAGAGCTGCGGAGGCTTGAGCCCGGACGTTCCATGGGCAAATGGTCAGATGTGAAGCCAGTCATGATAACATCAGGAATGCCCTGGGAACAAGTCCAATCGTCGGGCTCAGCGGAGTCTGGCATTTCGTCGGACACAATCTAGCTTCGTGTCAGCGTGATCACATTGTTTTGGCACCACCCAGTCAAATTTATTTCCAGGATCGGGGACGCTGGATCCGAGTTCATAGAACGGTGCGTATTCGTCGAGACCGAGAGCTTCCGTGATCCCATCTCCAATCCCAGCGAACGCGATAGACTCAAAGTACGAGGGCTGATTGGGTTGGTTTTCAGACATGCCGATCAGATCCTCTACTGTCAAAGTGCAGGAACCGCTTAGAGTTTTACAGGAGAGATAATATAGATGATGGTAATGCTTTTGAGTAAGAACGAAGCGAGAAAAGGAGATAGTCTCAGAACTTCTCAAGGATAGATACGGTAAGGTATTTCTGTCGTCGCTGAAGAAAGTGGAAAGGAAGCATGGTGGTTAGGGGACTGGCAGTGAGGGATATACTCATGTGTCCTACAAAGGTAGCCTGGTGATCTTGAGGGCGAAGTTGAGTTGCAGTATGGTCCCTGTACCAGTGCACCAATCAACGCGCCCAGCTGCAGTGTAAGAGTGTACGAAGTATTACCACAGTGCCACAGATATGTCAGGTCTTTAGCTCTATTCATTACCAGTATCAAGGGGGCTTTGAGGGATTCTAGGATAGTCCCAAAGTTTGTTAATGAAGGTGCTTCTCTCAATCCGGCATCCGAAGATAGCTTTTTTAAAGCTTCATCAGGAAGCATTCAAAGCAACGCCCATTCCCACCTGTGAAGCCTCGACAGCCTATCCTAGGCTTTCAGACTTATAGAGCTGCGCCATGGCGTAGCAAGCTATCCAGACTAATTCCTTTCCATTTTGAAAGTGTCTGAAAGAAGTCACTTCCATCACTCATGTATTCTTCTCCCCAACATCCAACGCCACCAAAAACCGACCCACACAATTATACGCCGCCACCGTCGCCATAATCTCCACAACCTCCCTTTCCTTAAACAGGTTCTTCAACTCCCCAAACACCTCATCCTCCACCGCCACCCCTATCGTCATCTGGTCCGTATATGCCAGCACAGCAGCATGCTTCTCATCTAATGGCTCGGCGTGTCCCACGCCTGAACGTAATCTGTCCTCGCTCGTTATCTTCACTCTACTATCTTGGCTTGAACTCTCTTTCCGGGGGATGCTTACGCGCTTTATTCTTCAATGAGAGATGGATATACGACTTCTGACTCGTAATGAACGTGATGATCGCTATACGCGGACCATAGGATGCAGACTTCGCGGGACTCGGCGGACTTTTCAGTGGAGTCGCGAGTCTACTGGCATTGTGATACTGCTCTGGTGTCCAGTCGAATTTCCAGAGGAAGAAGATAAGGCCGAGGAGGAGAACCGTGGCGATTGTCGTGGCGTTGGGAACACCTCGGGGGAGCATTCTTGAGGAGGTACTCACTTCCTGGTTGCTTCAGACGATGTTCTCAAGATGAAATGATCAGGGTGAGCCACATTGGATGGTCGTTTTCGTGAAGTTGCGATGCGGACATGGATGGTTGTAAGGAGTCTCAGCTGGGTCCCGGCCAGAGTCCCGGCCTTCGGATAGGAACGTGGCGTTTATGGCGCGAGAGCGACCTGCATGGAAATCTGGAATCATAGACGGCATATGTATTCTTTACTCTAAGTTGATTGAACATGTCTCGCTATGCGGAAGGTGACGGTCTCAGATAAGAGCGAAGCGCCACCCACATGGCCTCGTTCTTGAAAATAACACGGAACTATCATTTTCTGTATGGAAGGCTTATATATTTTATGTAAGATAAACGCGCTTGAAAACCTGTGTTAGCTTGAGGCATCAGGGAAGGCTATATCACGTGACTAAGAGCATACCGAGATGGTTGGAGAGTTGGAGTTAGAACTATCCAAGACACGAAATGCTTCGAAGAAATCGAGCAGAAATGTGCACGAGACCTTTGCTTCTGCCAGGTTGTGCGGATGTCCAAGTAAGCTGCAAACTGCGTTCATACTTCTCGGTCAGGAGATACGAGGTAATTCTAGATTAGAACTAGGCGCCCGTTTGCCCCGCAGGTCCGAAACGGCATGAAGACACCACCTCAGCCGCATGACCGTTGCCTCTGGAACACCTTTGCCACGACACGTCTTGCAGCGAAGAATGAACCCTTCACCACAAACCCGATCGTCGAAAATCTGCGGTTGACCACCTTCGGTTCGCTCGATGGACCCGCCAGGGATAGGAGGTGCCACCGTGCTTGCCTGGTTAGCGAGGTATAGCGGCCTGCTCTGGCGGCCGACTAAGACCAACAAGCCAACAGAGAATGTGAATGGAGACCAGCCTCACCATTTGCGGTACGATGAAGAATCAAAGTTAAAGGCTGAGATCGAGTAAATGCCACTTTATCTGCAGCATAACTGCCAGCTAACATTGTGGTAATAGTATCTGTTTCGTTCATGGCGTTACAGGTGACTCTGAGTCAACCTGGACAGCACAGGATCCCACGTCTGGCAAGAAGACCTTCTGGCCCAAGGAACTCCTGGCTAAGCAAACGACTATTGACAGGACTTTTCCTCGGCCAAGGATCATGCTATACAGTTATGATGCAAACGTCAGCAGTGTGTGCTGGTTGACTGAAAGAACACTGTATCACCACGCAAGCCACTTGCTATCCGATCTTTCTGAAGCTCGTAAGGAATGCAAAGATCGGCCCCTTATTTTTGTTGCGCACAGTCTGGGTGGACTACTGGTGAAAAGCGCTCTTATCTTCAGTCGCAATGCGGATACACCTTCGTCGACTGACAACTCGTCTCCGACCGACATAAGAACGATATATGACGCCACGATTGGGATCGTGTCTTTTGGTACTCCGCAAACCTTTGCTGGCAATGAGCCTATATCGGATCTCATTTCTGGCTTATGTCGCCTGCCAGAATACCTGTGGTCAAATTGTTCCGCACGCAAGCCGAGATATGACGATATCGATGACATATGTTCAGACGAATCGGAGTGGATACAAGATCTGAAGTCATTCCGCAGACGATTAGATGAGTACAAAACGATTGCAGAGAGAATCCCCGAAGTCTTCTGCTTCGAGTCGAGCCGCGTGGAAAATGTGAGTACCTTTTGTGCACCTGACTAGCACAGCTAATGATTCAAGCGTGTTGCCACTCAGAAGATGGCCGTTCCACCGAAGCTCGGCTTTGTCAACAAACACTGCAAAGCGGTTTCTATCAAGCGAAACCACCTTGAACTCGCCAAATGTGCCGCCTTCGACCACCATGATTACAAGACTATCTCTGATTCTATCTTGAAATTTTACAACTGCCGATTGGAAAGAAAAAATAGTGACATTTCCGAAGTCGCAGGTTAGTTTTCGAAGATACTTGAGGCTAAAGCTAAACACTGTTGATTCTGACGATTTCCGCAGTATCAACACCCGTCAGCGTTCGTGACCTTGGCTTTACTGTGAAACCACACTTACCACAGCGACCGCCTAAATTTGTGTCAGGAGGGTCTGAACACACTCGTGATGATTATCTTGATAAGCTTGGGAATCGATTATCAACCGATCGAATTGCTATTATTACGGGGCAGCCCGGATATGGCAAAACAACGCTAGCCCTCCAGTACGCATACAGACAGTTAGATCTTGATCGAAAAGACCCTAAGAAACCAACCTCAATATTTTGGATTAGCGCCGAAAGCAAACTGTCTCTTGAAGTCAGCTTCTTGTACATCGCCTATCAGCTCGACAAGCATTACGACGGACAATGGCCTGATGAAACAGGCCACGACAAAGTGATTCATGCTATGCGCAACGTTCGCTTGGACAAAAATGGCCTTCCAAAGCGAGATGAGGATCGAGATTTCACAATTCACGCGGTAATAGACTGGCTTTCTTACCCGGAGAATAAGAAATGGCTCCTCATTTACGACGACGTTGATGACGAGGAAGCTCCATACTTCAAAAAGTTTCTCCCGCGAGCCTTTCATCCTCCTAACAAACCAACGCGAGGTCAGATTGTTTTGATCACAAGGAGCGCGAACAAAATATCGCCTGAGCCCAGTAAAAACCACATCGAGCTGGACAGGCCCCGACAAGATTCCCGGGGGCAGAATGATACCCAAGGGCCCGACCGGCCATTCAACGATGCAAATGCTGGGCATGCAAAGGTTACCAAGACTGGGATTTCCAGAAACTTCGTCAAACGATCTAGTGCTTCATTCTTTGGTCTCAATCCACCAAATAGCGGGCCTCCGAAAGCACTAATACGCTCTCTCACTCAGCCAATAGAAGTAAACAAATTCAACCGCGAAGAATCGAAGGCTTTGATTGAAACACTATCTAAGTCTCGTTCGGAAAGCGGTCCAGAGAGTAAGTGACATGCCCTTTATCGAAAATAGAACTAACAGATTGTAGAGATAGGAGAACAAGCGATCAACAACATTGCAAACCAACTTTCGGATGTTCCTCTGGACCTGTATTATGCAGGAACATACCTTTCGTCAACAGATGTCCCTGAAGTTGCCCAAAATGAGCTTTCGAATGTCGTTTTTGAAGAATTTCCTGCAGAGCACGCTGAATGGTTTAATACATGTGCCATGTTGGGTCGGGACTCAATACCGATGTGCCTACAATTCCAACCTCCCATAAAACAGGACGAGCTTTTCTTGTGGGTGAAGTATCTCCAAGCTCGGGGCTGGACATTCTTGGATCAAATCTCCGAGTCAGTCGAGAGTCCTTGGGATCGTCCGCGTAGCCTTGAGTCATTCAGAATACCTTCAGATCGTCAGCGTCAGAGACGACAATACTTGGGGGGCCATGTTCTTGACCACGAATACGCAAGCAAAGCATGCAATGCAGTTGCCGCCACGGTGAAATATCTACGAATTACCAAAGATGAGAATCAAATCACGCGCTCGGGGTACGAGCAACTGCTCATCAGGCATGTCGACGAGTGTTTAACGCATCTTGTAAAGTACGGGAGTCTAATAAAGTGCGATTGGGACATTCTAGCCGATCTCTGCGAGCGACACGGCTTGTTTGTCGAGTCCGCAGACTTCTATCGGGTCGCCAAGGACCAAGAATTTGACGATGAGAATACGACCAGACAGTCATCATCAAGACAGCTCTCAATCAGGCAATCATCTGAACGGTTGACCGTCGATAACGACGGAGTATCTGATGCACAAAGCTCAAAGTCAGCGAAGATGTGGAACAACCCTCAAGAAGATGTGCAGGCGGAGCAATCACACTTGACCAACAAAACAAATGAGACCAAGGGAAGTAGAAAGTTACAGAGTGAACTGGGGCTCATTCGCGTGCAACTTCAGCTCAGTCAATTTCATGAGCTGGACACACGTTGTCAGGACGTTATTCGACAAGTGAAAGAAAGACGCGAAAGGAGGTATTTCGACCTTTGGACTGGCGCTCTCGAGCTGTTGGTCAAGATTAAGGTGGCTCAGGGAAAGTGGTATGAGGCAATTGCAACCAGCCGAACACTTATCGACACTCTCGAAGAGAAATTTGGACCCACGGCAGCCGAAACCGTCAGAGCGCTTGATCAATTAGCCCAGATGCATTTCCACCAAGGAGACTACGAAGGAGCAGAGCCACTACTCAAGCAAGTCCGAAGGATATACGAAGGAAACCTTGGTGAAACACATCCAAGGACTGTCGCTATTGACGACATTCTCGCCAGAACGTACAAAGAACAGGGAGACATCGAAAGGGCTTGTGACTTATATCTCCAAGTACTTGAAGCTCGGACACGTCAGTTGGGCGAGGACCATATCGAGACCGCAAGGGTAAAAGAGAACTTAGCTAGCGTTTACGATATGATGGAGAGCTACAAGCCCGCTGATATGATGTACAAGTCAGCAATCTATGCGGCAGAAATTTTTGGAGGAAATGAAGAAAACAATGTAGAGCTCAGAAGAATGAAAGAGGGATGGGAGACGCTGAGACAAGCAAGGAAGCTGAGAAAACCTTCTTGATGAGATGTTTTATTTAATGTCCGCTTCTATAGTCAGAACATTAGATTTCGTGCTCGTGAGAATGGACTTGAAGGGCGTGGTGACTTAGTTTCGTGGACCTCCGATTGTATGCTTAGATTCTAAGAAAAACATTGGATTTTACTAAAGAATGGTTTCGCTGATTGACTGACAGTATTGCGTCTTCTAGCATAACGAGGCCCCGATGGCGGAAAAGCAGATGACGATGAGTAGAACGAACTGTCAGAGACTCAGAGCGGAAGATTGACTTCTATTGTGTAACGATGACTCTATTTCGAAGACTGTGCACAGCTATATTATTTAAAGGTCGCTGACAGCTCACTATTGTTGTTGTAGGGAATCATCATGACTGTAGGCCTCACCCATTTTTTTCCAATGGCCCCGTCTGCGAACGAGTTTGGAAGACTTGTTCTCCATTCATTCTCCAGCAATCCTCCAATAGTTATCACGAAGAATCTTCCCTCCATTTGTCCTGCGACTTGTCTAATTCGGTTCAAAACCTTTTCCTGTCGTTTTGACTTGTCCTCGACAAGCGACTGGATGTCTTCAATCACAAGCATGCTCTTGACTTCAGGCTGCTTCCGTCCCTGAACGTTGTCAGCTTGATACCAGCACCACTCCGCCTGATCCTTCCTGGGTTTGCCGGATCTCTTTCTAAATTTGGCATCGTATCTGGTTATCTTTCTCTCTTTCAAGGATTCGCTGAGTTTGAGCATCTCTTTGACACTGAGGACCACAGCCTCAGCGACGAAATTTGTTTCGACCCAAATTCGGACCATTGTTCGGACTAGGTTCTTGATGCTTGACAGTCCATGCAATGCGTTTTTGTGGGGAGGATGTAAGTAGATGGATAGGTTCTCATCCTTTCTGAGTTGGTATTCGATGTCGAGGGCCTCAAGAGTGATGCCTGGGACGTTGAATTGTTTTGCGCTGCAAACATGGCTCTCTATCTTCTTGAAATTTCGATGAACGTTATACATGGGATAGCGTTCCGCTTGGGTGCAGCGCCACATATCGCGATTGGAGGAAATGAAGGCGCAAAAGATGGCGATAATTCGGGGGATGCACTCTAAAAGCATCAAAAACAGCAAACGAAACGAGGGTGCGGGGTCCTCTCCCACTTGGATGTCTGGATAAATGGACCAATTCCAGTGAACATAGTGATCATCTCTTTCTTCATCACCTTGTCTTCTCAGATTTTTGCGTAACGCATGTCGACCTTCTGCTGCTGCCTTGTTGAGACTCCCATTAAGCAGAAGGGACATGTAAAAAGTAGGGTAATATATCTTGGCTGGTGTTACTTCTAGCCGGTAACTGGTCGCGGCGATACAATCCACGTATTGGTTCAGAAACACGCGGATCATTTGGATGCCCAGTTCTCCCGTGAGGCTACTTTCATTACAAGCATTCACCACAAGCGCTTTTGTCCGATCGTGAAGCGTATCCGCAAGCTCCGTGGCCGAGACATAAGGCTCACTGAATGGCGCCTGGGTGAAAACCAAATGGGGTTTCTCTGCAGAGCTAGAGCACACCCAATCAGATAACATCTCGTGAGAATTTCGAAGTACACATACCAACCGTCGCCTTGGTGCACTGGCACCTTCATCGTTCCATGCATGTCGACATGTATAATGTCAAATTTCTCCGCTGCTCCATTGGTCGGATTCATCTCCTCCGCTGCTCCATTGGGCGGATTCAAATAGGTGGTGAGTTCGTTGAATGTTGCCGGCCTGAGAATATCGAGCTGCACAGTTCTATTGCACCCGATTTCCTCCAAATGTTGCATGACTTGCATGAGTGAGCGTTGTACCATATCCGGCGGTGCCTTCTCGTTGTACGTCCATTTGGTCTTGGAGGAATGTGTCTTGCTGATATCCCGAGCAACTATGAGAAGGATTCGAATGGGTCCGTCCTTGAGGAGCCCCCTGGTCCAGTTGCCGCGTTGAAAGGGACAATCTGGCGGAGCAATCGTGCGAGTGACAGTGACACGCTCTGGCTTTCTTCTCTTCCAGAATCCGGGATGTTCCAACAACTCCCAGACCAGATTGTGGACGCTCTTTTCGTCGTCATCATTGGTTTTATGGTCCTCAATGATGAGGATGTCGATGCTCTTGTGTTGACGTTCTTCATGGTCCGAATCCAGTCTTGTCTGCTCAACAAGATCTAAGCCGTAGTTTTCCAAAACGACTTTGGCGTTCTCGATATCGTTACGTTCTTGCTCAGTCCGATCCTTTTCCGCAATTTTGAAAGACCCATCAGCAAGGAATTTGAAGCAGCCCTCATACTCTTTGGAGTTAAAACGGTCTAAAAGTTCTACTGACTCTTCATCATGGATCCTCTGGCCGTTGTAGGTTATCTTGATGTCCCAAGCTCTTTTCCCATTGCGAGCTTCAAGTACTCGAACCACTTCGATTTTAATTAGTGCGGTGTCGTCGTTGTCCACGACGGTTTCGGCACTCCTAAATGAAAACCTCCGGGGCAGAGCCAGCCGTGGCAAGGCCCCGTGAGACAGCATGGAAATACGCCCAGGAGAAAACGCAGCTGCTCGCCAACTCAAACACCGGGAATGATCGACGTGAGAACGTGGAACTGCGCCCAGTCCTGTGATGAAAAACAGCAAAGCCGGCGAAATTGAGGACACTTCACAAAGGCCAACGGTCCTTGAACGACATGCTGCGGCTGAAGGCTGAAGGCTAAAAGCACGGAGGCGGGAGGAAGCGCGGGGGTTGAGGGCGGCCGGGAGGGCCTCGAATGGCGAGTCCCGCCTCCACAGATTGCAAGGAATTACAGCTGATGTGCGGGGCAGCTTTTGGCGCCTGCAATGTCTGCATTATGGCGGTTTCGGAGGAGGCTAGACCTGGTCTTCTGTTGCCAACGCTGCATGAGGCGCGAATTGTCGCAAAAAGGGATCCATGTTCGTTTTGGGGGGCGGCAGTGTTGGTACCATTGGCTTATACATGCGGCTCTGCGTGAAATTTGTGAGGGGATCGAAGAAAAAGCAAAGATTCGGCCGAGGCAGCCTGACTGGGGTGCCAGCCAGAGCTGAGAGTGCCAGACAGGCTTGCAGTTACGGAGAGAGCCTGACGTATAAAGTTAAAGCCGTGTCCGAGATCCTACCAACGAGGATTGTTGACATTACTGAAGGCCTTGCGCGCTCGAACAGCCTTATTCTAGTCTCTCATCTCTGCGCTCCGTTTGTCCACGCCCTGATAGTTGCGAGAATGACAACGACTAGCAGTAGAGGACCTCTTGACAATGGAGGACCTTATGACAAAGAGTTCTTCGTTTTCAAGAAACCAATGGTCGCCGAAGGTAGAGAGCTGAACTACCTTGGTGTTGCTTTTGAGAGCCCTCAAAAAGGTTCCAGCGGCAGATTTACCCCAAAGGGACCAGGACAGGCACAACCTCCTGCAGTAATCCCGACCAACAACGCGCAGGGAAGAAAGTACGGAAGTCCCTGCCCGTGGCCAAAAGACCTTCTCACTACTCCGGGAAATACACTCTACCCCAACGAGGCAACCGAGGCCATTGGCGTCGAAAAGATTCTTCAGAACGTCATCGGTAACGACACCAAGACCACGTTACTCGACACTATTGCCTTCGCTTTAAATGTCCATAAAGATGACCTCGACACAACTGTCATACCAATCATGCGGCGTTGGACAATGGAGGATCCAGAGAATGCTATCGAAGATCTGCTCCCCAATATCGAGTATCGACTACGCTTGATCGATTTACTTGATCATCTGCCAGAGCTAGCCCGCGGAAAACCAAAGATTCTGTACATTGCGACAAACTTGATTGCTTGCAGTGGGCTTTCGCTCGCCCGCGTTGAGGAATTGGACGTGCAGCTGAAGGTTGAGGGCGGTGATCCGACCGATACGGTCAACTTGAAGTTGGGTACAAGCGTGTACAAGGTCAAGAACAGCACCTTGAAGGGAAAGTATCAATCGGACGTGGTAATGTGCATGTCGTACCGAAAAGTGGCCTACATGCGCTTGAAGGAGGGGGATTCCCCGTACTCCTCTCCATGGTGGCAATTCTGGGCAAAGCGATATGACGCAAAAGTGCTCGACCTAGCACACCGGTACGAAGACGAAGACGGTACCAAACACTATTTCTGGATTGACCATCACGATGCAGAGGGTCAGGTACCGGCTTTCATGGGCTCGAACGGAAATCAGACAACGGAAGACATGGGCACATCTGCTAGCGAGTTAAAGCAGAACGCAACAGAGAATTGCGACGGCAAACAGGGAATGCAGCAAGAAACAGGGATCTTTGAAGACGCCACGATCTACAAAGGCCCCGGTGACTTTAGTCACAACGACTTCGGGTTACCCCGAGGTTTCTTTGACGATGGCATTGATCCTAATCAGGAAACTGAATGAGATTGGCATCGGATGGGGAGACGTGAGCAGTTATGACAACGAGAACTGGAATGCAAGGGCTTCTTGATGGTGAAATTTTGAACAAGTCTGACGCTTTTGTATGTTGCGATTTCTGTGGGCTACAGTATAATGTTCTAATATACCCTTGTAATGTCTTTGCAATCTTCTATCGGCTCTGATTGCAGACGGCATGCAGGGTGTTGAAAATGGGAAAGCCCCGCGTTACGTTGGTGTTGAGAATTGGGGCCTCTGGGTGCCCAGGTACAAGTGGAGAAGCTTACCTAGGCCCAGGACTACGCGGCACCAGCCTTGGCATGATCTTGAATTGAATATTCTAAAAGACCCGAGCCAATCAAGGAGCAGGAATCCCCATCTATCTGTATCGATAAACGACAGTCTGCCTTCCCTGGGGCATACTAAGATGGTACCGTATGAGCGGAGTGTCCCGGAGCCCGATTTTGCTAGTGTGTCTAGCGTGGAGCGGCTGGTCCAATAAGGAGCCGAGTCTTAAGAATTCTCTTACAGGGGGTTCGCGATGTTATTAGTATTCGCAAGCTCATACTAGAAAACTGCATCTTCCGACCTCAACACACACATGCATCAGCTTCAGGCCTCGTCACTCTATGATTTTGTTACATGTAAGCCTAGTTCTACTGTGTCCATAATTGGCTCTAAAGAGAGACCCACCGAATAACTGTGTGTCACAACGAACTGAAGCACCCATATTCTGCTTCACTTCAGTGTGCTCTCAAACGACTCGACGCCGGGTTTTGTAAATGTCCGGAAAAGAAGAGGAAAAAGGAAGTCCGAACCAGCTGAGATAACCCTCGCTCCGTCTCGCTCCTCGGCTTCGCGTTCCAACCACCCGAACTGACAAATCTACGCCGTCTACGTACTAGTATCGCGTTTTTAAGTAACCTGGAACAACTCTTATTTCTCTGACCCTTGTGCGGCACCGGCATCCTAGACTAGCTCTCTCGTAGTCTCATCAGGAAACATTCAGAGCCAGGCTCCTTTCCACTCTATCTTGTATTTGAAAGGCCCAAAAAGGCACCCTAGAGGCTAAAGTCTCACAGTCACTTCCCTCACTCATGCATTCTTCTCCCCAACATCCAACGCCACCAAAAACCGACTCACACAGTTATATGCCGCCACCGTCGCCGTAATCTCCACAACCTCCCTCTCCTCAAACAGCCTCTTCAATTCCCCAAACACCCCATCCTCCACCGCCACCCCTATCGTCATCTGATCCGTATACGCCAGCACAGTAGCATGCTTCTCATCTAATGGCCCAGCGTATCCCACGCCTGCTTCCCCACCCCCTCCTCTTGGGGCAGGAGGCGCATTTTTGATGTATTGCATGATTTCCTCTGTGATCCCCGGACATTCTCGAAGTAATGGTGCGTGATGCTCCCATTCGTACCACGCTTTATTCAGCACAGCAACGCGGCAGATGGCGGTTTCGCGGATGGAGGCGGGGATTGTGGTGCGGGTACGAATGGCGCCGAGGAAGGAGTTCCTGACGACGGCGGAGTTAGATTCGAATGGCGTACAATGATGACTCATGACTGAGGCGGGTTTGGGGTAGGTATTGAAAGGTAATGGTGAGTGGCGAAGCTCACCAGCCATCTGCCACAGGCGGCGAGTGTAGCAGGGCACGATCTAGCTCTAGCAGGCCCCTCTCGCCCCGACGTTTCTGGACGCGTTCGAGGATTGCTTGGTCGGTGGGATCGGTGAAGTGGGGAGGGTTGGGAACGTAGGGCAGACGCATGGTGAGGGTTTAGCTATGTATTGAGTAATATATAATTGTTTAAATTAGAATCCAAGAGTAGTATAAGCTTCTCGAGAAAGAGGAGAGATGAGAGTAGGAATATGCAGTGGTCTACGAGGAAACTAGAAAATCTACGAGTTTGGGGCCATCGATGAGGTTTTAAGATAGGCCCGATGGGGTCCTGGAAGACAGCTATGATTGGGCGAGTAACTTCGAGAGTTATAGTGGTTAGCGCGGATTGGAAGAGTGATGTAGGGGTGGAGGGGTACCACAGTTGACGATTTTTCTGGTAACTACAGGGATCCTCATCATGTAGCGTATCTGGCACGTGCCTGGGTACTTTGAACAACTATCCGTTCCAGAGTTCGTTATAAGATAACATATGTATCGTTTAGTATTATAGCAGTAGCTTAGATAATTCTAAAGCGCGAAATGCTTCATGCTCATAAATACAGTTTCGGCAGGGGTTGTCAAGTCATGATGCGTTTGTTATTTCCGAAAGTAGTAATACAATGAACGTGGCCGATTAACGTAGATACAAGCTTCAACGTCGAAAAATTGGGGGACTCAAATCTAGCCTACTCATCGCCCAGCCCTTTGCGATCCTACTCATCGCCCTCCCCTTCGCCAGCCCATTCGTCGCCAACCCACTCGACCGTTACTTTGTCAAATGCGGACAGTAACAGAGAATCATAAACCTCGTCAGCCCTATCCCACTCAAGTCAGGTATGCATCCCCTCAAACCTCCCCTCGAACCTCCGCAGCTCGCCTCACCTTTTACTTACTGTAGCCTTAGTCCACGCCTCCGCCTACAGCATGTAAAACAACAACATCCTTGGTTCCTAATACAATGTCAGACACGTTCATTAACGACTTTGCTGGAGATGCTCTGCCTTGGCGACCAGGACTTTCCTCTCGATCTCCTGAATAAACTCCGCGACTTTCTAACGTGGTTAGATACCACCAACTCTCCGCACTTGCAGAGGAACCTGACTACCGTGGAGTCAAGGTTTTATAAGGTGCCTCTACCTTTTCGACAACAGTTTGCGGAGCTTGTATGGGCCGTTGAGGCGAGCAATGGCCAAACATCGATATCCATCGTCAATGATCTGTACTGGTCGATGAGCTCGCTTTGGGACACCACCGCATCGCAGTCTTCAGCAGTTAACATTGCAACAGCGAGGTATGCCGGCATACATCCATCTATCAGGGAAGCCTTTGCCACTTTTCTCGGTGGCATGGTCGATGTCCATGGTCGCGACGGTCGAAAATTCATACCGCCTGAGGGGGATCCGGAATCTCACCTGTGTATTATAGGCAGCTATTGTCCGGACTACACGGCGGCCACTGGAGACATGGAATATGCCTGCGCACCGGGCTCACTATCAACCGACCTAGTGGGCGCGAAGCTTGGATAGGACTGCAATCTGTCTTCGCCGTGGGGAGTCTTTTCGGCATTGGGGGGGTACGTTCCTCTTGGAGACGGTGTGGGAAAGGTTGAAATACCCTGGCAATCTGAGCCGGGGCCAGAAGCGTATGACGCTCTGCCGCTTGCTGTCCGTAATGCGCACTTTAACTTTGCTCGAGAAATGTTGGACCAATCCTCGGCATCTATCGTGATTCTATGGGGGAGAAAAACAACTACATGGGTTCTTCAGACGTACCCGGAGGCCATCGTCCTGCACCTAAACTATTCGATCTCCCCTCTTCAGGGCTCGGCGTTTGCATATTTATTGGTCAAGGATCAACGTACGCGCCTCGTCTTCCCGACTCTTCATCCGCAGAGATGGGTCCAATGGTCAGCACGACGCGGTCCAGCGACGACGGTCATTGCAGAGGCTCAATGGGACATAGCAGGGCGATTGACGGGGGTAAAGATGGTACCTCGAGTTATTGCAGGTCTGTCACGCTATATAGGGGCGACAGGGGAGAAGAAGGCAGCGGTGACAGGAAAGGGGAGAAGAAGGCAGCCGATTCCAAGCGCCGGGGCTTAGGCCGAAAGGCGAGGGCTGAGAGACAGGCCGAGGTTCTTGCTGCCCTACCGGAAGGAAAAAGGGAGGCGAAGGCAGCGGAATCCAAGCGCCGCAGTGAAGGTCAATAGGCGAGCCATAAGAGACCAGCCGACGCTCTTGCCGCCCTACCGGGGGAAGAAAGGGAGGCGAAGAAGGCGGCGGAAACCAAGCGCCGTAGCGAAGCTGGGAAGTTGGATATTAAACGAAAAGCTGACGCTCTTGCTGCTCTATCAGTGGAGGATGACAATGCGAAGAGAGCAGCGGAAATCAAGCGCCGCAGCGAAGGTCAGAAGGCGAGCTATAAGAGAAGAGCTGACGCTCTCGCTGCCCTGCCGGAGGAAGAAAGGGAGGCGGAGAAGGCAGCGATTTTCAAGCGCCACAGCGAAGCTAGGAAGTTGGGTATTAAAAGAAAGCTGACGCTACCGCCGCCCTGCCGGAGGAGGAAAGGGAGGAGGAAAGGGAGGAGGTGGAGGAAGCAGACATCAAGCGCTTCAACGAAGCAAGGAAGGTGGGTATTAAGAAAAGCTGAAGGTCTTACTATATTGCTGGAGGAGGAAAGAGAGGCGAAGAAAGCAGCAATGTGCAATATATAAAGCGAAGCTAGTAAGGCGAGTGCTAAGAAAAAGGGTAAAGCTCTCGCCGCATTGCCGGAGGAAAGGCAGGCAAAGGAAGCAGCAAAGTTCAAAAGACTCAGTAAAGTCTAAAAGGCAAATGCTCTGAGAATGGCCGACTCTCTTAATGCGTTGCCGGACGAGGAGAGAGTCGAATCCACCATTCTCGACCGTGAAAGTGTATCCACAAGTGCAACCATACGACGTGTCTCGTGATTACCTCACTTGTGATCTCAGTCTGCGCTGCCAGAATTTTCCACTTGGTTTATAAAATTCTGGCGGTCATAGTTACACCGAGAAACAGAAGGGATATAGAGGCGGGTAGGTCGATAAGCGCATGGAGACAAGACAGGATCGCTGAGAGGAGCTCGTACCCAAGGGCTCATTATCCTCAAAGAGACATCTGGTGGTCATGAGACGTTCGATGTGGACTTCGTCGATGTAGCTCTAGACCACGGCCGCAGGAGTGTTCGAGCCCCGTTCCAGGGATAACAGACAGCCCCAATGGTCCGAGTCTCTCCTCCCGACAGACTAATCTCTACATCAGCAATATCTTTTCGAAGATAGCTCGGTGGATCCAACCCGAGGTAGTTCTCCACGGCCTCTACGCCCGCCTGACTGAGTCCAAAGAGAACTAGGCCATTGAGTTGCTTCGTTTGGTTACTTGATGGCACCAGGGTCGTGTTATACGCATGCTCGATCTCATACGCTTCGTATCCTCGAATGATGCCAGGAGTCATCAACTCTGCTATCTGCCGAGGATCGTCGTGCTCAAGGACCATACTGAGGACCCACGGGAACATGACGGAGCCAAAGAGGAATATTGGAGGCTCGGAGAGGGCAACGAAGCCGCGGAGGTCATAAGCAGTGAATCGATTAGTCTGAGCTCGTTGGAGTAGGACAGGTAGCGAGTTATTTGAGTCTTCTGTAGGTTGTGCGGGTGACGGAGACCGACTAGCGGTACTCGCAGGCCCCTCAGACTGCTGCTGTGAAGGGTTGTTTTGAGGACTCATTGCTGCAAGCCATGGAAGAGCACGAATGTGGTAGAGACAATAAAATCATGATAGCAAAGACGCACACGCTGTTGACAGTTAGAGAGGCCATGGTGAATGGTAGAGACAGCGGATGTCTACGTTGCTGGCAGAGCTAGGGCTTCTACAGTTCATCCACGATGAAGATTATCATCAAGTTGTAGTAATAAGAATAGGTGAAGTAGTCCCACAGGAGCAATAGCTAGGAAAGAGTGGTTTGAAAAGGGAATTGCAGAATGTGAATTGCTAGATATACAGGATGGAAGCCGCAGAGTCGACATGGCTTTCCAGATCGGCCCTGACCGAATAAGACAGTCTGACATCTTGGCAGCTTTTTTGTTGAAAGAGTGCGCTTGCCAGTGGGTGCGCTAGTGGGATATCCAAGGGAAAGAATTTCAATCCATGGCTAATAGATCGCGTCCTGCGTGCAGAATCATGTTGTTATGCCGAAAATGTACCTTGATGAAATGACAACTTCAACAATAAGTCCGATCTGGCTGTAGTCATAGAAATGAATGATCTCAAAACTCGCGTTCGTTTCGTCAAACCTTCCAGAAATTGTTCTGAGACTCGTCGACCGCGAACAGATTCGTGTAACCGTCGCCCCGGAGGCAGACAAATGAGGCTCCCACAAGGCGACGGTTTGGGAAGGGGCGGCGGCGACACGACAACTGCCTGGTTATTTTATCGAGAATGAAGGCGCTCTGTGAACCAGAACCAGGTGGCCGTGACAGGCAGTACTGAGCAGCGTTGAGGGTGGCACGGATTGCAAAGCAAGGCTTGCTGGTGCGGTGATTCCAACGATGTCGATGTGGTTCCTGAAGCTCGGACCCGCTAGCGCGTCCACTGCCTGCCTATTCACCTTCTCCCGTGGACACACAGCTACCTCACCACAACTCCGACTACAAGACCGCTGCCTTCCCATCAACCCGCCCGCTTCACAACCACCACGGCTCAGAGTCCATCACTGCATACCTCCAAAGCCTCTTTCTCTAGTTCTGTTTGTCTTTCTTGCCACCAAGGACTCGTTCGCCCACCATGTCGGCTGAACCAGATCACACGAAGCCCAAGATCAACCTCGCAAAGTGAGTCGAGCGCCCTGCATCGTGCCTCTCGAGATCTAGCTACTGACTGCCACAGTGATCCATCTGGCGCTGCACCCAAAGATGTGAGTTGAGCCGCTGAGTGAGCTGCTCCGGAAACGTGTTACTGACGGATCCCAGGCCGATGAGACGGCGACGGCTATCCTCAAGAAGAAGAAGAAGCCAAACTCCTTGATGTAGGTAACTCCCACGGCTCCGGAGAGCCCGGCAAATACCCCGATATCAGCTGCAAAGATGGCTAACATTCTCCAGCGTCACCGATTCCCTCAACGATGACAACTCCATCATTGCCCTTTCCAACAACACCATGGAGACCCTCCAGCTCTTCCGGGGCGACACAGTGCTCGTCAAGGGCAAGAAGCGCAAGGACACTGTCCTCATCGTGCTGGCGGACGATGATCTCGATGACGGGAGCGCACGCATTAACCGTGTCGTTCGCCACAACCTCCGGGTCAAGCACGGAGATATCATCTCTGTCCACCCTTGCCCGGACATCAAATATGTACGTTCCGCGCATCTTCTAAGCCCAATCTGCCAACGTAGTTGCTAACTCCGATGACTCTAGGCCAAGCGTATCGCCGTCCTCCCCATTGCTGACACCATCGAGGGCATCACCGGCTCATTATTCGACGTTTTCCTCGCCCCATATTTCCGCGAAGCATACCGGCCAGTACGACAAGGCGACACTTTCACCTGCCGCGGTGGTATGCGACAAGTGGAGTTCAAGGTCGTTGAGGTAGATCCCCCGGAAATCGGAATCGTCGCACAAGATACCGTCATCCACTGCGAGGGCGAGCCGATACAGCGTGAAGATGAAGAGGGCAACCTCAACGAAGTCGGTTATGATGACATTGGAGGCTGCCGGAAGCAGATGGCACAGATCCGAGAACTTGTTGAGCTGCCTCTGAGACATCCCCAGCTCTTCAAGTCGATCGGTATCAAGCCTCCCCGTGGTATCCTCATGTTCGGCCCCCCTGGTACCGGTAAGACTCTCATGGCCCGCGCTGTCGCCAACGAGACCGGCGCATTCTTCTTCCTCATCAACGGCCCCGAGATCATGTCGAAGATGGCCGGTGAATCCGAATCGAACCTCCGCAAGGCCTTCGAGGAGGCCGAGAAGAACTCGCCCGCGATTATCTTCATCGACGAAATCGACTCGATCGCGCCTAAGCGTGACAAGACCAACGGCGAAGTCGAGCGTCGTGTTGTCTCACAGCTTCTGACACTGATGGACGGCATGAAGGCCCGTTCCAACGTGGTCGTCATGGCCGCCACCAACCGACCTAACTCCATCGACCCTGCTCTGCGACGATTCGGTCGTTTCGATCGTGAGGTTGATATTGGTATCCCGGACCCAACTGGACGTCTCGAGATTCTCCAGATTCACACCAAGAACATGAAGCTTGGCGACGATGTCGATCTCCAATCGATCGCCTCGGAGACTCACGGATATGTCGGTTCCGATTTGGCCTCACTCTGCTCTGAGGCAGCCATGCAGCAAATTCGCGAGAAGATGGATCTTATTGATCTCGATGAGGACACCATCGACGCCGAGGTTCTCGACTCTCTCGGTGTCACTATGGAGAACTTCCGTTTCGCCCTTGGCGTCTCCAACCCATCGGCTCTTCGCGAAGTTGCCGTTGTCGAGGTTCCCAATGTCCGCTGGGAAGATATTGGAGGTCTCGAGGACGTCAAGCGCGAGCTCATCGAGAGTGTGCAATACCCCGTCGATCACCCCGACAAGTTCCTCAAGTTCGGTCTTTCGCCATCTCGCGGTGTGTTGTTCTATGGTCCCCCTGGTACTGGTAAGACGCTGCTCGCCAAAGCCGTCGCCAACGAGTGTGCGGCCAACTTCATCTCCATCAAGGGCCCCGAACTGCTATCCATGTGGTTCGGGGAGTCTGAGAGCAACATTCGGGACATTTTCGACAAGGCCCGAGCTGCCGCACCTTGCGTCGTCTTCCTTGACGAGTTGGATTCGATAGCCAAGTCACGTGGTGGATCCGTCGGTGATGCAGGAGGTGCCTCTGACCGTGTGGTCAATCAGCTTCTGACCGGTAAGTCTCCTAATCAGATCACGACTTTTCAAAATACTAACGAATTCATAGAAATGGACGGTATGACCTCGAAGAAGAACGTCTTCGTCATTGGTGCTACCAATCGACCGGAGCAGCTTGACAATGCCCTTTGCCGTCCCGGACGTCTAGATACTCTCGTCTATGTCCCACTTCCCGACCAGGAATCTCGTGCTGGTATCCTCAGGGCACAGCTCCGCAAGACCCCTGTTGCTGACGACGTCAACATCGAGTACATTGCAGCCAACACGCACGGATTCTCTGGTGCCGATCTTGGCTTCGTTACCCAGCGTGCCGTCAAGCTTGCCATCAAGCAGTCCATCTCGATGGAAATCGAGCGCACTAAGGCACGCGAGGCAGCTGGCGAGGACACGGAGATGGAGGAGGAAGAAGGCGACGATCTCGTCCCGCAGCTTACCAAGGCCCACTTCGAGGAGGCCATGCGGACTGCCCGTCGCTCAGTTACCGATGTGGAAATCCGCCGCTACGAGGCATTTGCCCAGAGCATGAAGAACACCGGAGGCAGCAGCTTTTTCCGATTCCCCGAGGATGGCGCTGGGCAGAATGGTGCTGATGCAAACGCTTTCGGTGCCACCGGCGAGGACGAGGATCTGTACAACTAAGCCAATGGGTTTAGAGGTCCAAGTTCTTGGCTAATAATGTTCTCTGCATGGATACTACTTTCATTTCCTTCGGTGTGGGTGGATCATGGATAGACTGAGTGAGGTGTTTTCTAGCTGCCAGCATCTCTGCCTCTTAGGACTAATTCTGCCAGGAGGTGGGTGGGATGGAAAGGGAGGACAGTTAGTCTCTGATTTGCAAATTCGGGACGAAGTGGAATTGTGCATAGGTAGACGCGGCAGGCTAGCTTAGCAATGAAAATGCATGTTAAAATTGATGTGTCTATAACAAAATCGTGATTGTGAGGCTTGAGGGGTTTGCCGCCCAAACGTCCCTTGATCCCTGTATGCAAGTCGTAACCAACAGATCGAATTTTCTTGCCGCTTTGATGGTAGACTGCCTAAACGCCGTGTTCGCCCCATGGATATAATCTCGTGCAACCCTGAACGCCGGTCCTCGCTATGCAGTCTTGGTTGTGGGATGAACAGCGCAACTCGAAGCAAATAATGAAACCAATCTCGCACCTCCAAACCACAGATTTTCTAACCCATTCCAACAACGCAGGTAGATGTTCCTGGCCGCAACGTTCCGCCCACCGCCCACAGCATATCCATATCATCCAACTCTATCCCTCCAACAGCCCCAATTGACATCGCGATCTTCCTCCCCACTTACCCCCCCCTTACTCCCCCTCAACCGCAACCTCCAACACCCTCTCCAACTCCCTCCTCACTACCCTCACCCCCTCCCTTACCGCCTTCTCCGGTATCAGAATCCCGCCCTCCTCCACGGTCCTCCCGCCCTCCCCGTTCCCGTTCGCATTCCCATTCCCCACCCCATTCCCGTTAACCACCCCGTTCTGGTAGTCTTTCCGCACGCGCGTCTCCTCCATCAGCTTGGCCATGACCTCGTTGTACGTGGCGCACTCGCCGGAGCGCAGCAGCTGCTGGATGTAGGCGCGCAGGTTGGTGGTCCAGCCGCTGGCCTGCAGCTCGTGGGTCAGAGTGGCTTGGATGGTGGGGATGGAGCGCGAGGTCATGAGGGCGGAGTAGAGGGCGTTTTGGACGACCGGGGGGAGGGGGGCGGTGGCGGCGGTGGAGGGGAGGGTTGTTGTGGAGGGCATTGTGGTTGTGGGTATTAGGTGGACGGTGTTGAGATATTCCGTATTCCAAGGTTGCGTGTTGGTGTCGCCGGGACGGGGTGGATAGTGAATGCTTTGTACAGGACAGCCTTGCCCAGCGAATGCGGTTTTCGTTGACGAAGCGTGTAGATCGACGGTGAATGGGCGGGGCGATCGATGGGGTATTTTTGGTGAGCTTGCAGGCCGGCTGGTCGCTCCTGGGTGTGCGCCGAGGTTGTCGATGGGTGGAAGAGCTCGGTGCCCTGTCTGTATAGCTTTTTTTGGAGCCGTTAAGCGCCCCGTGGATGCGGGCGGCTGTCGCTAGTTTCGGGCGGGCAATGGGGAGGCCGCTTTGGGAGATGAGTGACTGCAGCGGGCAAGCATCGGGCGGGTAAAAGGGCTTCAATGGAGGGCTCGCGCTGCACAATAGAGATGAGGCGTATTGTTGGAGTTGGGCTCGAGCTATTGGCTGATTTGCCGCCCTGGGAGAGCTGCGTTCTGGGCTGGGCAACCTCAGGCACACGCCGCACGCATCGCTCACCACCAACAACGCTGTTCTCCACTGGCTTGACGACGACCTGCTGCGAATGACATTTCTGCTCTCCCCGCCCGCCACCGCACGCCTCGCTGGCACTCCTCCACGTTGACCTTCTGCGCGCCTCTTGAAGCTCCGCCTTCTCTCCCCCTCCGTTGTTGTCGTGCCCGCTGCCAGCCGCCGCCCTGCCAACCTCTCCCTCTCTACTGCGCCCCACGCCGCCCGTGGCCAGCAGACCGTGACGCTCTACCTGACACGGGCTTCTCCACCACGCTCGAAGCCCGGATCTCGCAGCACGCCCCCCTCAGGGCCGCGGAACACGGCTGCTCAATCTCGCTTCGTCTCAGCCAGGTTCCGGCATCGCCAGCCTGCCAACCACACCCGGCTCGACGACGACACTATCGACGGCGGTGATAACGGCGAGCTTCCCCTCGCACCTGCGCCTTGGCAGCTTCCCCGAGCAGAGCAAGAAGAGCAGCCTGAGGACCAGGACAGCCACCGCCCCCGATGGCCTACACAACCACCTACCACGAGGATTCGGACGCCGACGACGAGTACGAGCGCAGCGTCATCACCTCGCCCACCCTGCCGCCCGATTTCGAGGGGAGCTCCCCCACGAGCTCCGGCCCGCCGTCGACCGAGCACACGCCGACGACGTTTACACATTCGCGCGATAGCCATGGCTCGCCGACGGGGTTGATATCGCAGTGGTCGGCGGAGCAGTGTGCGGACTTTATATCGAGTCTGGGCCTGACGCACTATGCCGAGACGTTTGTTGGTAGGTCTACGGAACACCTATAAGAAGTAGGGAGGTGCTGACTTTGAGCTTCTAGATGAGGGGATCACCGGCGATGCGTTGATTGCACTGCAGCATGCGGAATTGAAGGAGATGGGCTTGACGAGTGTGGGGCATCGCCTTACTATTCTGAAGGCCGTATATGAGATCAAGGTCAAGCAGAATGTGGCCATAGAGCCGGATCATTATATACCGCTCTGTAAGGACTATGCTATCATTGATGGGTGCTGGAGACTGACTTGTGGACAGCTGCGGATACGACGGTGCAGGACGTTGCTCCTACCCAGGACGATATAGCCCGGATTATACATATCATCCAGGCGAGAGACGAGCGGATACATATTGCGGAGTCGGAGCTACGACATCTCAAGGACGACTTGAATAGGGTGGCCGAGGAAAATCGGAAACTGAGGGAAGAGGTGCTTCCACTCGTACGGATGGCGAAGGACAGATCACAGCCTCTGCCAACGCCAGACGACCACCTCACAGCACTCGCTTCACCACCTCCACCGGAACCCTCGCGGGCAGGAAGCAGCCTGTCTCGGAAGTTCTCTACAAAAAAGCTATTTCTGGGATCAGCACCGAAGAACCCCTCACCTACCATCCACGAAAACCAGACTCTAGTCGACAACTCGTCACTAAATCCCTCAGCAGCCGCAATGGCCGCCTCGTCACACCTCACAGCATCCATGACTGGCCAGTCCGTCATGTCGCCGAGCCAACCACCACAACCCTCGCCCACTTCTCCCGCCTACTCAACACTAAACCAGAACTCCGCGCGCTCCTTCAACCGCTCCGACATGCCTCGCAGCGCCCATCCAGACCACGAACCCACCCTCAACTGGCCCAACTCCTCTACCTGGAGCGCCGGCTCCACCATCGTCGGCGATCGCGACACCCTCCGCAACCCAACGCCCGCCCCGCTCTCCTCCCGCCCCATGCGCTCCGCCACCACCCCGGCGCCAGACGCCGACCGCGAACCGCCCTTATCCGCCAACTCTCTCAACACGTCCACCTCGACGCTCCAATCCTCCACCCCTTCCTCCGCAACCGCCACCTCGAGCAACAACCCCCAGGTCGAGATCTTCAAATCCTTCCGCGTCAGCATCGACGACCCCTGCCACAAGGTCCTACCGGTGGCACTAAAGAAATACAACATCACGGCCGACTGGCGGCAGTACGCGTTGTACATCGTGCACGGCGACCAGGAGCGGTGTCTGGGCTTGAACGAGCGGCCGCTCATCCTGTTCAAGCAGCTGGATAAGGAGGGCCGCAAGCCGATGTTTATGCTGCGCAAGCACGCGGCGCCGGTCGAGGGCCATGTCAGCACGGTGGGCAGTGGGCAGCAGATGCCTGTGCAAGCTGGGAGTGGTGGCGGAGGCGGGTTTGGGTGGGATGGGGGCAGTCGCGGGGCGGTGCAGTTGCCGGGTGGGGTGCTGTGATTTGCTCCACATGAGGGAGATGGGGGAAAGCTAGGGGAGGGGTTTAGGGATCTGGGGGGGTCTTTGTGAAGGGCGGTTTGGGGTAGATGGCCAATTCATCTAGATGTAGGGGACTGTTCTTCTTTCTTCTTCCTTTTTGTTTCGACTCTTCTACTGAGGGGGAGACGGCACTTTGCTTGGTGAGAATGGCGTATGGAAGCTGTTATCATGGGAAGAGAGGGGGGGGCAAGGGATTATGGTTTGTGGGCACACTGGCGACTGGGCGAAATGCTATTTAGCGAGTTTCTTTGGGGGGGGTTTTGGGGGAGAGGGGTGCGGTTTTGTGGGTGGGTTAGGGGGACAGGGGAGGGAGGACGGAGGGTATGGTAGTGTGTGTGTATGGCTGAGTAGAGTAGATGGATGTGTGGAATGCATATGGGGTTTGCGGTGTCCTATCTACATACGTCTGGCATTGGTGAACCTGCTGAGATATTTCGCGATCAGCGTGCGTGCGTATTGTCTAATGCGTCTCCTTTCGGAGCTTGAATTACACGTAGTGTTGTATCGTGAGAGGTTAGGTTAGCTAGAACTGATGTCGTCAGTGTGGCTGTGTCCCAAAGAACGTTTGGCTTGAAACATGGAACCTCCCGCCCCACGCTTCCGTAGGCTTTCTAGAAGGCGTTGCCGCAACGCCCCCCCCCCCCCTTTCCAAGTTCTTCGTGGCAAGGATGTAGGGTTGGGGCGGATCTGGGTTCATGTTTGACGTCTGAAACCGGGGCGGGGAGGCGGCGACGGGGTTCGTGTTTCTGAGTTGGGGGGCTCGTATTGAGGGTGTGGGTGGGATGGAGAGGGCGAGAAGAGTATTCGTATTCGGAGTGTGGGGGGGAAACTTGGAACGTGCGCGTTTGTGTGTAGTGGAGCGGCTGCGGGATGGATGGTTGAGGTCGACATGAAAGGATGGGCGGGTAGGACGTATCGTGTCTTTTACATGAAGGGGTGTTGGAGAAGATGTAAGAATTTTAAGGGTTGGTCTTTATGAGTAGGATTAGGATTGGGCGGGATGGGATAGGGAGGGGGTCAGTGAGGACGGATCTTTGGGTGCTGAGGGGTACCTTTGTAAGGATATAAAGACTGGCAGAGTTGGTGTTTGGCTATGAGGGCTGTCTTGAATATGCTTCAATGTACATAGTTCTACAGTAGATATACTGGCCTCAACAGGGCTTGGTGATCTCTTGACTAGTCCTTTCATCGTGGTGGTCCACAGTAATTGCTGTGCTAGCGTTTGCGGTTCTCATCCATCTCAACTAGGTAGTCGAGATCACCGTTCGGCTTGGTGCAAATCTGGTAGCCTGGGTCGATTCCACGGTCACCGTCCTGATATAGAACTGTCGGCGCCTCTCCCTTCATCTTACGCGGAGCCCTACGAGCGAAGCCCCACCTTTCAGTCCGTAATCGCTCTCAGGTCAGGACTGATTATTCTCCTTCGAACTCGCGCTCAAATCCTGGTCTCGCTCTTTCTTGATCTTCTCGATAGTATCGTCAATCATCGCAATCTCGGCCTCGATGCTGAGAAGCTTCTCCTGAAGCATGTGCTCGTATTCTTCGTCCGAGAGGAACTTCATAGGACTCCATCGCGACTTCGCGATTCTGTGGATGATGTTTCCTTCTTCTGGTGGTTTAGGATGTTGTAATTTTTCTTGCTGCTCATGCGTATTGCGAGCGTCGAGCGCGTTGTAGATGCTCTGGCCTCCGTATCCGAAAACGGTGAACATTAGGGTTGCTGGGATAATGTTCGAACGGCCGCCTGTCGGAAGCAATAAGCACGAGAAGTGTGGATCAGCGATCGAATTACGAGGCACATACGAAGTAGTGCTGCAAGAGAACCTCCGGTGATCCCTCCTGCAATCGCACTGGCCGTGACACGGTCTTTTGGTGTTGTGGGAATATACTCATCAGTAGAAAGCGGAGCGCCTCGTTTCGACTCAAACCAGTTCAAGAGGCCATGGCGTTGGAGAATAATGCCTCGAGTAGCTTTGTGACAGATTAGTCGGGGCTAGCTATCTACTTTGAGTGACATACCCCAAAAAGTGCTACCCACGGCAAACCATTGAAGGCCGGAAGCGGTTGCAAATAGAACAGGCGTTGACGACCGCACAATACCTGCAGCACCTCCAACTATAATACCAGCGCCACCTGGGCATTGTTAGTACGCCATTACCTCATGTAGACGCCTGTCAAGGAAATGGTCGCTGATGAGAAAAAAAGAGAAAGGGATACGAAGAGACTTGGCAGCATAGGCATTCTTTCAGAATTTTCTCCTACAAACAACAATGGTATAGAGTGCATGAGAATTAATATAGAATTGAAATGTTAGTGGGATATTGGAGCAACATCGTAGACCATCAATGTTGCTTGACATGTGGATTTGATTATCTTTTGCGTAGAGACAATGAATGAAACATACATACCAGAGAAGGCTCCCACTTTCATAGCCGGCTGCAGAACCTCTGCTGGCCGCACAATATGATGCTGCGCTATTGGCACGTCCATTGCTAGAACATCATAGTCCCACGCAGATCAGTGAAAGACCACAGTTCCAAAGGAGCAGTCCTGACCGGCTGGACGTCGCCCGCTAGCGCGCCTTGGCACTCTCCGAACCTCCCACCTCAATTCTTTCGCCCTCACTTCCACCTGGCTAAGACCCGGCTCGATCACGTATCGGCCATCTTACACCGCTCCCGCCCGCAAGCTCACCATACAAACACTGCTCGAGAGGCCCCGCTGCTTCTCTCAACAATACCGTCCAGCGCGCTCGTCGAACCGCGCGTTGACTTCGCCTCGCAATCATGGGTGCGCTTCCCTTCGTGCGGCCGCCGCAAGGCAGAGACATTGCCCCATATCGCTCGCTGCAAGCGGACACGTCTCGCAATGCACTGAAACCATGACTGACACTTTATTCATAGCTCCTCCCAAGAAACAGCAGCAGAAACTGTCCCTGGGGGACTTTCTGACCGACCAAGGTATGCGCCAACTTCCCCAACCGACATGACGTCCTTGACTAAAGATGTTCAGCTCTGGGATCATGGGCCGATGAGATGGAAGATATGCCTCTTGGCAGTAAGTTACCTCCATGCGCATCCTCTGCCGATCAATACTGACAATTCGCAGCTTCAGGTACTGAGCCTAAGAAAATACTTTTGGTGGCGCCAAATTTTTCGAAAATCTCGCTCACATTTTTTAATAGCTCAGACAACTGGATATGGCGGAGGCCGACCAACCTTCGGTTCCGCTGGCGGATACGCAGACCGTGGCTTTGCCAGTATGTGCCGACAAAGTTTCTGCCAAGGCTGGCTTTTCTCAACAATCGTCTGACACAACTTTAGGCACTAATGACCGCAACTACGCCGTCCGTGAAGCGCTGCCTCTCCCCACGAAACCCCCATATACCGCCCATCTTGGCAACCTTTCCTTCGATGCTACCGAGGGCGATATCACCGACTTCTTCAGTGGATGTGAGGTGACAAATGTCCGCATCGTGGAGGACAAAATGGAGAGGAAGCCGAAAGGCTTTGGATATGTCGAGTTCGGATCTCTTGACGGCCTGAAAAAGGCTTTGGAGCTAAACGGCACGCAATTCCAGGGTAGAAATATCCGAATCAGCGTCGCTGAGCCTCGTAAGCCTGTCACGGATCAAGGAAGAAAGTTTGCTAACATGTAGCATAGCCAAGGACCGCGAGGGACAACGCGAAATCACCGACTGGACTCGCAAAGGACCGTTGCCTGACCTCCCTGGTGGAAATCGCCGAGTATCTGAGCGAACTGGCGGCGGATATCAGCGCAATTTTGGCGACGGCGGCTCTGACAACGGCAGCGAGCGTGGCGGAGACCGTAGGCGTCCCGCCTTCGAAAGCGATGGCAAAGTCCGTGACTTCAGCAACTGGGAGCGGAAAGGCCCCTTGTCCCCTGTTCCACCTACTGGCGGCATGAGAGAGGGCGGCCGTGTTCGAAGCAACGATGGAGGACCTCGTCCAGAGCGACGACAGTCTCCAGGATGGGGAGAAGGCCGATCCAATGACGGCTCACGCCCACCGCGCCGCGAGTTCGCTGACCGCCCGGCATACGACCGACAACCTACCGCACCTGAACTTGACAACCAGTGGCGAACCAAGATGAGGCCAGATGCACCAGCCAAGTCGCCCACCGCGACCCCCGATGCGAGCGTACCGTCGTCTCCTGCACCCTCGCACGCAGCCCCTGCGACGCGTCCGAGGTTGAACTTGGCCAAGCGTACTGTCTCGGAATCAGACCCTGCTCCAACTTCCGCATCCTCCACCGACTCTAAGCCTAATCCTTTCGGTGCTGCCAAGCCGATTGACACTGCCAAAAAAGAGAAGGAGATTGAAGAGAAGCACCTGCTTGCTATCCGCGAGAAGAAGGAGAAAGACGAAAAAGCACGTGAAGAGAAGAGGGCCAGGGATGCTGCCGCGAGAGCCGCCGAGAAGGAAAAGGATGCGGGCGCTCAAACTCCCACAAGCCCGAAGGAGCCCTCGAAAGAGGTTAAGGAGAATGGTGAAGATAAGCCAGCGGCCCGAAATTACGAAATTCTACGACGCATTGATGACGAAAACGGCGAGACTGACGAACTCGAAGATGACGCTGTTGATGCCCCTGCCAACGGCAACATCGTCGACGACAAGGCTGTGAAGCCCAAGGAAGTCGTTCGTAACCCGCCGAAAGCCGAGACTGGCGCCTGGAGACGAAAGTCTGGCGCGCCCGCCACCTCTAATGAATCTGCCACTCAGGGCATGGAAGACGACGGCTGGAGTACTGTTCCCCAGAAATCTGGCAAGGGACGAAGGGGCGGCCCGCAAGGATCTCGTGCCATTGCCTCCTAGACGAGCAGGCCGCATCTCTCTCAATCTCGTGTCGTGGGGACTGTTATCTTCTTTTCTATAATGGACGAGTGTACGGTGCATGGGAATGGGATGCTTATGTCGCCTTCTGCAGTATTTCTAGGCGGGGAAAAAACTCTCGTCTGGCTGTACCTGGTGGGGGGTTGGTATGCTTGTCACTTCTACACATTCCATGCAGACTCTTCTTGTCGTCTGAACCCCCTTTTTGCTGCGCTTTTGCTTGCCTTGGCCGGATGATACAGCAGTGTTTTTGCATGGTGGTGGCTCTCGGGTTTCCAACGAACTGACTCAATCCTGTGTTCCTGAACTCGCTTTACGAAGAACGGCAAGAAGAGAGAGGAGAGGGGGGCGGGTAAGTCTTCATGTACGTTTTGGAACGGGCGCTGGGAGCAGAAAATGGTGGGGTGTCCGGTCCCGCCGCGACGCTACACAAAAGTTTACAGATTCCTCTTTTTTTCTTTTAGTTTTCTCATTTGGACTTGGTTAGTGCTGGGAATGGGGACTCTGGGGCATCTGCATTAGGCCGACGCTGGAGTCTTTTCTTCTCGATATACCTTTTACTGAGTGTCTGTGTGTGTGGGTGTTTAATAATTTTTTTCTAAACTCCCTACTCTGAAACGATTGAAGATGATGAGGCGTGGTGTATGGTGTGGTGTCATGGTATCCCCTGCTCTCTGCTTTTGTGCACCCTGCGTTTTGGCCTTTTTCCTTCTCTTTTCTTGTCTGTGGTTCTTCACGACTCTGAAAAGTTTAGGGGTCCTCGGTCACCCTGTTTCTTCGCTATCGCTTGTTGGCAGACGTAACCCTTTGCCAGGGCGGTTGGGGGGGGGGCTGAGATTAGATTTCTGTGCAGCGTGTCTGGCGTGTATTTAGTTTGAATAAGAGATGTTTATGGTCTAGATTGCGGTGGATGGCTTGCTTGCTTGTTGTGTGCGTGAGGGAATCTGATTTTCAAGGCTGTTATGATGTTGGAGGAGTGTTTTAGATGTCTGGAGCCTGCGACTGCTGGGGCTTTGTAGAGATTAGGGAGGGATGGAGGGCTTGAGTTTGGGCGATGGAGGAGGGGTTTAGAGAATGCGGATGGGACGGTGATGGGAGTAATGGGAGTAATGGGAGTAATGTAAGAATTAGATGTTGAGTTACTGAAAGAGGCGTAAGCGGGTAGAGAGAATAGGAGAGTATAGGACTATAGAAAGGGTGAGCTAGAGACACGTTTTGTAAGAACTTGTAGAAGGTGTGTCAAGCCTCTTAGTCCCTTTTCGAACGATCATATATTACAGGGTGGGAAGAGTGTAGCGTCGGAACTTCAGAACGATAAAATCTTAAGAGCTGTACCATGTAGACTAGTGCTAATTGAATTCACAGAAGTATAAGCAACAGTCGCGCTCAATATATAGACTAATTACAGAGGCCCACTGGGTATACAACTTGTAGGAGCATCCGGTGTTCTAGCGCGGTATCAATCCACTATATTAGAAGTAGAAAGGGGATAATAGTGGAAAGTAACACCTTGCGGTACCATGCTTTTAGCGGACTAAGCCACACTGGGCGTAAAAAAAGTGGTACACTCATTAAGCACTCTGTCTCTTATATACACCTGTCTGCCACTGCTTAGGGCGCTTGAACAAGCTTCAAAGGTAAAGGGCTTCTATCTTGTTTAGACTCCTAAAAATGCATTAAGGTAGCTCAAGCAGTGACAGACAGGTGTATACACAGGACAGCTTGTTGTAGAACTAGAGTGTTACCTTTTCTACCGGATGCGCCTAAAGGCTGTGGAATCACGTGTTTGATGTTGGAGTTGTACAGAGTTCTGATTGGACCGCCGGACAGCAAACACCGCACCTTGTGTTAACGACAGCGCTTCCACCACACGCGAGTCATCGACACAACACCAAGTGGACCATGCTTAGAACCATAGAACAGGTGTGCCTGTCATACGTTTACGCCGCCGTCTTGTTGGTATAAGACCATCTGCCTCCTTCACGTAGGGCCCACTACTCTCGCTGTTTCTCCTCTAGCCCCAAGACACTACCCGCTCCCCATACCACGCCAGGCTGGCAATTGATGCAAAGGCACTAACGATGAGGCATACGCTTCTGCTGAACAGCAGAGTGTCGTTGACGTCTCGCATAATCCTGGAAGACAGTGCCTTAGCGTATCCGTGGAGCTGGGTTCTACCAAGGCGTCAACATGGTGTCTCCGGTTCCAGTCACGCCTAAGCCGCATATATTCAACCCAGCCAGGGGAAAGAAGAGGAAGCGCACACAAAAAGAGAAAACTCCCGAGGAAATTTACGTGGAGTTGGAGGAACAGGAAAACACGGACTCTTCGTGGTCAGGCATCACCGATGATGAGGAGGAGCTGGATGGAGAAGAACGGAAGAGGAGATCGAAGAGGAGCCAGCTAGAATGCGGCATTTGGCAATACCACATGGTATTCCAAAGAAAAACGGGCCCCCCCCCTTCCAGACTTACACCTCAAGAACCAGAAGAGCAAAGATCGGAAACCCAGAATAGAACTTCAAAACCGAGCGAGGGGCGCCGCCGCTCCTCTAGACACGAACCTCATTCGCGCGATGCAGCTCCGACATGGCGAAAGATTCTACAAGATCGAGAAGCTGTAGATAAGCGTAAGCAAAACGCCAAGAAGATCACCCCAGAAATTTGGAAGTTTTACATGGAAACAAAAGCCAGTTTTGAAGAGTATGTCCAGGAAGAGTCCGAAAATAGGGGCCTTTGGGGTCGCCACACAATCATCGACCACTGCAAAAATTACATCAGACTGCTGCCTCTGCGAGGGGTAACTGCTAGCGCTCTTTGGCAGAGTAAGGACGCACTCAAGTACTTGTGTAGCAGTAAGACAAAGGAATTTTCGAGACTCCAGGCCAGCTGGGACCTCGAGATCACTGCTCAAGTGGAGCAGACCATATTCGAAGATGACCTAGAAGACTCAGAGGAGTCGGAGGAGTCCTCTTCGGAGGTGCCCACGCCAACCATACCATTAGGACCCACTAGACGTGCTGCCGACTTTGTTGATCTTACTATCGATACTCCTGATGTCAAGGACGAAGAGGTCGATGTCAACAAGCACACTGTCCATGAGATACAATGCCATGAAGGATCAGCCCCCGAAGAAGAAGGCTGCGATGGGGATGCCTACCAAGTAGACGCTGACAGTCCATCAAACACAGTCATCAACCCTGCGCACTCAGAGATGGACCAAGAGACGCCACCCAACGCTGACGAATCCGACGATGAGCTCTATCGGCCTCCCCCTCCAGTTGAAAACGTCCTTTCGAGGAACGCGTTAAGATCAAGCGCAGCCCACAGCCGGAATGTTGATCCTGGTTCTGGAGCGGCCGCTGAAATCAACTCAACCGACCCAATACTACAGCCAAACTCAAAAGATTCAGACGAAAGCACCACGGTTGATCATGCTGGCGATGCTTCCGATGCTTGCATGGATGAGAGTTATCATGATGAAGATGACCTCGATGAAGAAGAGGACGACGAGGGACCTGTCGGGCTCAGCGGACGACGACATATGTCCTCGGAGATTGCTCAATATGACTCCCATGATGTGCCTCGGGCTACTACTTCAGATGATGACATGCAAGGCATAACAGCCAGTACAATATCCCAATGTGCACCCAAGCAATTTCCTTTCCAGTTCACGGAACTGAGCTGCTCATGCTCCAGCCTGAGCTGTGGCTGTGCTAGGTGAGCGCATCCTGAGCTGAGACTGAGCAGCTTGTTGGAACCCAGTTTTGGGCCCTGTTGAATACTGGGAGTGTTGAGACTGTAATAAGTAGATACTGTATAGTCTTAGCGGAGATCGAATGACACCCAGAGAGCCGGAGTCGATGTAACCATGCTCAGTAACATACCTTAACACCATCATTGTGTTCATAACCAGGTTGCCACCCATAACGTCTCAAACCAGATGCTACCAGCGAGGAAAATGGAAGTAGTTCGTATGTCAGGCAATCCCGGTGGCTTGCAGACGATGCATTTCGCATTAGGGGAAAGTGTGTTGATTGAGGTAGCCATGCCAGTTGTTATGGGAAGTGAATTTTATATAGAAGAGGCCTAATGGTGCAATAGTGAACTGGAATCGCTGGTGGAGCTGCCCAAGGAGGCGTAGGGTCAATACTTACACAACCGAAGCTATCACCGGACCTAAAACAACTTTGCCAACTGCATAATCCAGCAGTGGTTGCGCTCAGACACATGCACATAAGCCAAGGATTATGCAAGGCGGTGCCTGTGGCGCCGTTCCAGGTATAAGGGGCCCAGTTTGTGGCTCCACCATACATCTTCTAAGTCGCCACATGAGGTCAGGCTAAATTCAATCCCACGCGCAATGGGGCCCAATAACAGTCACCCGACTTGGAGCGTAGCTTCGCTTTAGCTCATCTACTCTGCAGGCAGTCACGTTCCTAAGACGGCACGTTCTTAAGACAGCATGTTCCTAAGACAGCATGCTCTTAAGACGGCCATAGTCCTAAGACAGCGACAGTCTTAAAACGGTAGCATCTCAAGACAAGGACGTTCTCCAGACACTCACGCTCTTAAGATAAGCCCATCTTGAGACAGTTGTATTCTCAAGATAGACATGCTCGCAAGACGGTATTGCTTACTACGGGTCTAAATTCTCACTACATTTCTCCACCATGGCTGCTTGTCGGAGCTCCTAATTGCAGCAGATATACCGCGCAAATTATGATCCAGCATTCATAAAAGATCTGCACCGGCCCCTTTAATAGATGAAACGCCTCATCTCAATGTGTCCCATCAGAGTTGCTTTAGGGCGATACATCAGGGCAGCGGAATAGATGCGGTTAGGAGCCTTCCGAGCACTAGACGTTCCATCAGCCTCGGCGTATCTAGCTAACGACTCCAATACCACACCAAGCTATCCACAACAGCCTCGGGGTCATCTATCTTGTTCAAGTCAACTCCGCGTTCCTGCATCACATACTCACATGACTTCTGATGGAGCAAACGCCCTTCTTCCGAGTCGAGATCCAACCGAGTGAGAATGCTAGCTAGTTTCCATGAACTCCTAGCTGCAGAAGGTTTCGAATGCGACTTGCCAAGATTTGGAGGTGTATCCCAGATGTCAAGCGATCTGCGCAAAAACCTTCTAGAGGGTAGGTTAGTTCTACCTGAAGGATTCGGCGCCTGAGGGATTTCTTACTCTGCTTCAACGAGATCTCCCCCATCAAACCCGGCTACTGCTAAAATACTTCCGATCTTGTGGCACGAATCCGCCACCCAATGGTGGTTGTTCCCAAGGTCGGTGGTGTAAAGCTCAAGGACTTGCTGATGAAGCTCAAGTGACTCGGAGTATCTCCCCTGCCGAAAATACACATTTCCAAGGGAATAGAGTGCACCACCTCTATTTTCGTTATTTTCTCCACACCTCTCCAGCAAAGCTCTGCAAAGAATGTCCTCAGCTTTGGCGAGATCTCCTTTCCAAAGAAAGCAAGCTCCTTTGCACTGCAGGAAGTCTCCTAAGACAGAACTTGTAGCAGATCCAGAAGCTTGGCCTAGCTCAATAGCTTTATCCAGGTACATTTCAGCGTCATCATACTTTTCCGCTCCAATGCAGGACATTCCAAGGTTCTCGTAGAGAATTGCCAGGTATGTATCCTCATGGCGTACGACATCGGGAAGCAATGCGCTCTCGTAATGATCGATTGCTTTTTCGAAATTTTGGATTGCATTATCAGGTTTGTTTGTCTCTTGACACAATCGACCGTGATAGTAATAGATTTTGGAAAGGATTTTCCTATCGGTCGCTGGTTCATTTGCGGCAAGATCCTTTGCCTTCGAAAGAATCACACCGCAGGGCTCGTACCGACCGGTCTCATAATAGTAGCTGATTGCATCATCTTAGTATCTTTATCAAACGATGCGAATTCTGCTTACCCTGAAATCCGCCCTGAGAAATCTAATAGGTTATTCACGGCTGCCACGGGTATGCCTTGGCCCGCTCGTTCGTACAAGACTTCCGCGTGGGATATATAGGTCTCCACAACCCTCCAGGCCTCTAAATGTTTCATTGAAAGATAATCATCTTGGGGAATAACATGGTTGATCATCTGGATGACACTACAGCATACGTCGTGGAACCTCGTCCTACGGGCCCCAAGTTTTCGAAATGTTGCTGCTTGAAAGAATCGGTGCATTGATATGATATTATCCCGGACGTTGATGTTGATAAGCGACTGGTTCAACAGCAGCTCTGACGCGTTCAAGTATCTCAATGCATCTTCCAAAAAACTCGAGCACTGGGTTGTATGGCCGTAGTCCTTGAACAGATCGATGGGAATGGCATCGGGGTCAAGGAAAGTGAGGATGTCAAGAAGATTAGCTGCGTCTTGGCTCAACGTCCTCATGGATAACTCCCAAACATCGGCCAAAGTCTTACTGTAACCTGGGATTTCTTCTTGTTCCAGAGTATCTCTATTCTCGGAATATAACAGAAGGTACGCCGCGGGAAGACATCTTCTATTCCTCATGAAATATGCTGCTTGTCGAAGCCCGAGCGGAAATCCATCGAAATTCTCTGCAATGGTTCTTACCGCATCCTTGTCCTCTTGAGTTGGCGATACAATATCTGTCAGAAGATGAAGAAGATAATTAGCGCCTTGGTCCACCGTGAATGGTTCGATGGATATTCCAGCCATCGCAAGGGAACCTCGTCCGGGATAAGAGTTTCTGCTAGTTATGATGATGGAACCGTGGTTTGAAGAAGGCCAATATGGGTTCAAGAGCGTTATGTCGTCTGCATTATCGAAGACGATCAAATAGTTGACGTCTGATAGACTTGTCAGTGGTGAGTGAAAACGCAAGACATGGCATAGACTCACCGAGGTGCGTAATCCAGTGCATAACAGCTTCACGACTATCGTCTGTATTTCCCCCTTCACTTGAGTGGCCTAACAGTCTTGCCAGCTGGACGACTTGACTGTCCAATTTTTCCTTTTTATCCGCATAGAGCCAAATGATGACTTTATACAAATCGTAATGTCGATAGAGATATTCTAGAGCGACAGTGGATTTCCCAAATCCTCCAAGGCCATGCAGGACGACACTAGCAAGCTTAGGATCTGTACTGTCCAATCTCCCGTTTGCTAGCTTCTCGTGGAGTACGGAGAGTTCCTCTTCGCGGTCGAAAAGCTGTCGCTACGCACACAGTTCTGAGTAAATCGGAAAGGGAGCTTCACTTCCATGGGCTGTACTGGCGGGGAGTTGGCCGAAGATTGTAGCATATCGCGGATGATTTGATGCCTTGCCTGAGAAGACGTGAGCCCCGCTGTTTGTACCTGCAGTTCCAAGTGTTTTGTTTGACGCTTGATTTTTCTTTCCGCTTCAGCAAATTCAGTTTGGAAAGAGGGGCAGAAGATGGATCGAAGGGCATTCTCTAGTCCTCCTTAGTATGGCAACACTGCGCTGTCGGACAAGTAGGACACCTACCTGTCGCACTATTGCGAAGAAATCTTATTGCATGCACTACGAACGAAAAAAACGCTAAACAGGTATTACAGATAGAGTCAGACAGCTCGGTATAGGATGCCTCAGGAAACAGTCGGCACCAAGTTTCAAACAAAGGCAAATACTGAGATAGCGTTTCGAGCATGTTAAAAACCATTTCGTGGATCTGGGTGGGGCGAACACACATCTAGGCCTAGGTCAGTATAAGTACGAGATGCAGAATCATATGCTAGATTACCTCGATGATTAGCTGTGCACCACCCCACACAAGACCCGCAATCTGCGGGTTTGATTGGACCATCGAGCCCACCACTCTTCCGAAAGACTGAATATGGGACATAATTGGGTGCAAGGCTACAATCACTTTACTTGACTTTCGTTTGCTGTAAGACTCTGTTAAAGCCCTCATCAGTTCATTGAACCGATCATTGCTTGTATTTGGCGCGAGTCCAGCTTGTTGGATATATTCCTATCTTCAGAGCCAAGCTTGGATAAAGATTTGTTTAGAGCAACCTGCCAAATAGTAGGTTGGGCTCCGTCATCCTGAGAGGGCTGAATCACCGTCAGAGGGATAGATGTCGGCCTCAGCTGCGGTTCCTTCCTCCAGAATTTTAATTTCCTTCGAGTACGCCTAATATTACCTGATCTTGATATCTGCTGAATTTCGCTAGAAGTACTGAAGCAGGCGCGAGGATTTGAGGTTTCGGATGGATGTTGATTTGTGGTATCAAGGGCGCTGATTATTGGAAGTGGGATTGTTGCCATCCTGAGCACAGCTTGATCATCGCTGAATGATGAACAAGAAGAGGATTTGTTAAGCTTGAATACGAGATTAGGAAGTAGTTGCTCATGAAATGCGATTTTAGGAACCTCCAAAAGAGAATCCGGCTGAGGATCTTTGTAGCCAGCAACGGATCGTATAAGACAAGTAAAAACCACTGAGTCAGGACAACAGCAACGCGGCTTAATTCCCATGGCCTGAGGCGCCTGAAAGCTTTCGCTGATCGACCACAGTCATCTTGGCATATTGGTTGAGTTTTTCAGCCTTGTATGCATGCAACAAAAGAGTGGTATTGTGCACCAATGCAAGGCTAGATCTCTCTAGTATATATCCTATTGAATAGCAACTGCTCTATTTTGGAATTTCTTGTGAGGAGCACTGACTTAGCTTGTGTGAGGGCGACAAGATGGAATAAAGTAATCTCTTCCTAGGCTCGGGAGCTCAACGAAAATACAGATTTGAGGCTCCGAAAATTAAAGTAATGAAAACGGTGGCCTGAAGTTAGGCCACTCTTGCGTAGTTTCGTTTAACCGGTAAGGTAATTCCAGCAAAACAAAGTCTACGTTCACCAGGCTGACAAGCTGGACGAACCCCACGAATAGCCACTCTGAATCCACCATTCATCGATATTCCATGTCTGCACATACATCCTAAAACGGCGCGATACCCTCGTACCCCGCTCGGTGGCGATTCTGCCTTGTTCGAGAGCCATATTAATACGCCTTGCGCCTGCCATCCACATGGTTGCTTCGAGTGATGACGCGATTGGCGAGTGGGACTTTATGCATGTGCCCAATAAATGACTAAACTCTGAAAGGAAGGCAGATAAGCTAGCAGATGGCCTTCTGTTAAGGCAGACGTCTCCTCGGCTCCACGTAGACTCTTCTGTTCTCATCATCATTGTACTGGCACATTGATCCCAGAAGCCACCACAGCCTCACTTCCGTAATGACCACCACCGCTAATACATGCGCTGCTGCCTTGTGAGTAAGAAAGTCATGTTGGAAAATACAGCCACTGAATTCACCAGGAGGGCTAGCCCTACACGCGCCATGAGTACCACAGCAGTTCGGAATATCAAGATCCAACCATGGCGTCAATTCTGGCCTCCTAAGGCAGAAAATTTCTCGGAGGTCCAGCTCCAGAAAATGCCGTGGCTTGCGTGGAAGTCCGACGAGAACAACCTGAAGGACGCACCATGGAGGGAATGGGTTCTCATGAACCAATCCGGAATTGCTCGAAGGGGATCTACAACCCATTTCTTGGAATTGGAAAAGCTCTGAGATAAGGGCTTGTCATCAGTCTGAGAAGTCTGCACGATTTTGCACCTTGATGGAAAATTGTATCTCGAAGGAAACGAAGGGTTTACGACATCTGTCAAAGTCTGGATATGTATCTACATTGTTTTCCTCTCGTAGTAAATTGATTCGAGCTTTTGGAAAGCAATTTCCTGCAAACTAGCCAAAGTATTCCATATCTCACTCAAACAGTGTAAACGGCCCAGTGTCGATCGATGTCTTCTTCCCCCTGATCATTGCAGTCAACACTTTGCCACTTCCAGGCCCAAGTGTGAAACCGTCAAGGTAATGTCCAAAATTAAAGAAAAGACCACCTCGAGAGGGCGCACTACTTAAGGCCACTGAAGGAAATAACTCCTTCCATGGAATCTTCATAATAAGGGGCAAGTCATTGGTCGTTCGAGACATATATGCCCTGCCGCTCGATATCAGGCCCTGAGAATGTTCGCCAAAATGGGTGTATTTGCTAACAAGCCGTTTTAGTTCTTCGACTTCCTCTGGACTTGGTAAAACGTCGGCGGGAAGAGGTGGTGGTGGGTCAGAATCCGCGAACGAGCCTGCGGCGAACAATACCCCATAACCGGATGTAGATAGATGAAGATCCTGCTGTCCCTCAAGCGCAGGGTTAAGCCAGACTTGCTTCCCGTCCGTGCCCATTTTTTCTTTGTCCGTTTCCCGTCTGCGAAGCCAACTTTGAGCTGGCTGCCTCTCTGTCATTGGTATGTGGAACTCGGCACTTGGAAAAAGAGACTTAAAGATCCGGTCTGACCAAGACCCAGCTGAGATAACGAGATTCTGGCAAGGGACATTGATTGTTGACGAGTCATCTTTGGTCTGAATGTCCACTGAGGAAAATGCCAATGAATCAGGTTCAGTATGGACTTTTGTTGCCGTTGAGTTGAGCATGAGTTGAACACCAAGATTCTCACACTCTTCCTTCAGAAAATCGCAAAATTTGCGAGGATTTCTGCGTGCATTAGCATCTAAAATGTATTGTAAAACCGAGAGGTACACGTACACTATTGCCGCATCAGAGCCGTTAGATATCAGACCAGCTTGCCAAGTCGACCGTGGTTTGAGCCATTTCGGGAGATCCGACAGTTCTACTTGCTTTACCACGGGAAGAGGAAGTTTGGGGTTGGACGGGTCGTACCCGTGAGAGAACACGGCGTGGATTTTTAAGCTGCTGTAGCCGAAGCGCTCATGACCATCGTTTTCGGAGGCAATTGCTGCAAAAAGATCATAGGAGAGCTTTGCCAGAGCTTCCACTTCATTTTTGAAGCCAGTGGTTCCGATTACCCCCTCATTCTGCCCGGAGGCGCCCGAACATATTGCTGTGGAAGGGTCTACTACTATAATGCTTCCTTGAGTGGGAGCATGTGCAGACTGGCTTTTCCGGTCCTGCTCGGCAAGCGCCAGGTAGTATGCGGTAGATAGTCCGATGATGCCACCACCCAAGATCACGGTGGGCTTCAGGTCATCCGACATCAATGCTGTGCTGTTTGGCGCGAGTAGTTGTTGCAGGAATGGCCACGAGCTAGCGAGTCGAGGAAACAGTGAGTGAAGACGAGATAGCATATTGTCTAACGGAGCTCTCTGAAGAGAGATTAAAGGATAAGAGATATTCTGTGGTATGGTGCGGGATGGGAAGCCGGCGAGCAACCCCCATGCAAGCACTGCTGTCTTCGCTCGTGTTCGTGCCGCTTGGCCTATCTACGCCGCTTTGCCTTTTCGCCCCATTTCGCCTTCTTCGCCTTCAAACAAGAGAATGTCTTGCCTAGGCGTCCACGTGTATTTCAACGTATGTCGGGGTTTCAGAACGTGGAGGATGTCGATGGGACAGTTTGACACTAATAAACCAATAGTGCGGTTCGCGGATCGGCCCGTTAGTCCTTGGCTTCCGTCGTTCGTCTACCCTTGCGAGCTTCCATTACCTCCTTCCGCTAGAGGAGTACAAAACCGTGAAACGCTTCCACATCAACGTTCCCCGAGGCGGTATACCAGGCGGAACCCACACAAATGAGGTGTCAGGAGAATATCATAACATACCCGTCCATGATATCCGGGGACATGAAGATGAATTTTCGCTTGACCAACACGGCTTCCAGGTTGCGAGAGATCGGAACAGGGACACGGAAGCCGCACTCAATGCTTTACCGGCTGAGTCCTTTAATGACTCAAACTTGGTCAGGGAAAAGTACGGACCGGCCATGGAGGCTCTCATTAGGAACACTCTAGGAGCAGAGACCGTGCGAATTGTGCTTGTGGCACTATACCAGCCTCTTATCATGGCTAGGCGATGCTGAATGGGGCTGCTTTTGCATATTCCTTCATCGACTGGCAAATTTGGAGATCCCAAGAGGAGATAGTGTCGTTGGCAGATCGCATTCTCGAGAAGCCGAATAGTGCTCGGGAACTGGACTTGCTCCTCAAACTCATAGAGTGCGATAACGGCTGCGATGAAGAAAAAGGGTGTAAAGCAAACAGAGGGCATTGCGACTCTAAGAGGTTTGAAATTCAGAAGTCTCATGCTGCGCTAGGAAAATTCGGTCGCGCTACTATCATCCAAGCTAGATATTACGTAGTTGGCCTTTGTAGAGACTTCACGATGGAGTTAGCGTCAGGAAAGATGGAGTGCTGGTAGTGATTTCAAGGTTCAAACTTTGGCGGCCTGGCGGCCCCATCACACACTAGAAGTTCGGACCACCTTAGGCACGCGGACCACAGTGCGCTTACCCTAATAAGAGGTAAAAAGAAAGCAACGCTCTTATAGAATTAGCTAGAATTTTACAATTTATAAACGCAGTATATTAATAAATTAGAAAAAACTATATCTATTCTCTGGGTGGAGATTATCGTGGCATTGCTATCATTCTTCCACCTTTCATATCTTTCCACTCTACCTCCGCTCCTGCTTGTAGCATTGCCGTGACAATAAGTTTCCATTATTGCATCATACTGCAGTTTACTGATTTTGCCAAGTTTTCTTTGGACCGGGCCACTGCTAATCCCGGATTTATCCTTAGAGAACCCATTTTGTATGACCGCCTCGAGTTGACTGCCTGGGTCCCTCTTTTTTGGGCCTCGTTTTCTATGCTGGACGCTTATAATGTATAGGGTTCCGACTGTGTGGGAAACGAAAACGGAGAGGTGAGAGGAGAGATGAGAGGAGAGATGAGAAGGTGAGAGGGAGGTCGGCCATTGTTACAGAATAGCACTTTATGCAAACAAGGACAAGGGCAGAGAATCCTCCACTGGAAGGAGCCTGAGCTTCCGAGGCTTACAAAACTGTATGGGGCCCAAATTCGTGACCGGGGACAGATTTGAGGCCCCTCGCTAAAACTTTGATAATTTCTGGTGGGTACATCTGCGACTGCGCCGGCGCGGGTGAGCGAGGGTGAGCAGACCTGAGCTGAAGCTGAGCCGGGCCTGAGCCGAACTCAGCCACAGCGGCATAGGGTCACGTGAACAGCGGGGGTGGGAGGTGTGCACTTTGGGGTGATGTAACACACTATAGTGAATAACGTGTTCTACATGCATGTGGTGGTTACAAGCGAGTGGTGGCGCTTAATTTTTGGTGCGATTTGGACGTTTTGACACCCCAGCAATCTCAACAACCATAAAGTATTAAATAAGATTATATGAATGCATATAGTATTTAGCTCATTTCAATGGCTAGGCAATAGTTTGGAGTGATGTGTCTCTGTAATTCTATTATATCGTAGATCTTACCCAATGCTAGGGGGCCAAAACTCTACTATAACTAAATGTGGCCATCAAGAGACCCTAAAAATTTGTCTTATAATATTGAAACAGCTATGCATATCTTTATTCTAAGTTATAGATTCAAATCTTTTATAGTTGTTGAGGTTGCTGGGGTGTCAAAACGTCCAAATCGCACCAAAAATTAAGCGCCACCACTCGCTTGTAACCACCACATGCATGTAGAACACGTTACCGGGAGCTTTGTCAGTTTTGTAAGCAGCGCGTAAGCTGTATTTACAAACATGTTATGAGATCGTGCAAAAACGCACCCTTCCCAAATCCACTAAAGCACTTGAAGGCTCGGCCTTGTCCTAAATGCAAAATACCTTTTAAAGATGTTTATCAACATCTTTACACAGGTAGTTGCTGGAAGTCGAAGAGACAGTGCTTCCGCCAGTCGTCTATGTTTGCTTGCCTCAAATTTCGCCGAAGTGCTGCAAATAGAGCCTTTTCCATTCTTCGCACAAAGTATCCCTCACTCGTTCCATGGGAGCATCTGGATCCCGGAAAACACACAATATATTCTGAAAATCCTCTGTACCCACGCAATTCCGCACCATGCGCAACTGTAAGCCAGGTCAAAGTCGGTCTTCAATATGTATGCAACGAATGCGGAGGACTTCATAGACATAAACTGGCTCTATATATGGTGGTGCTCTTGGGATGCAACCTGGTTGATCAGAAGACATGGGACCTTTTCAGAGATGGTGGGTACAATTTCATCTTCCATGTTGGTCTGGACCTAACCTCTGCAGGACGAATCCACTTTCACCGCCTCCGCAATAAATCTTTTTGCTACCAGTCGTCGCATATCACATTCGAACAGAGGTTCAGAAGACCTACGGAAAGAATTTGTAGGAATTATTCCCATACTTTTCGGTGCGAATGCCCTAATTTCCATAGGCCGACCACATTAGGAAGAAGGAAACACTCGATGCTCTGATGCAATGCCCTGTGCCGAAGTGCTTATACAAGTCGCCGACAGGAAACGGAAACTGTGAGTACCCATGCGGGGATGATAGCAGCCAGAGTACTGCTGCTGCCTGGCGCAGGTTGTGTGCCATAGGTAGAACGATTGATCTTCATTATGAGAGGGCTCACGCTAAAGAGACATAAATGCGAAAGTACAGCTCTTGCATTTCGTCCAGTGCTAGCTGGAGAAGTGGACACCCTCAGTAAATGGGGCAATACATGGCGAGGTACTGTTTTTCATTATGCAGATGAGAATTTTGCGGGGCGGTATGACGAACATTGCGATGACACGAACGCTTATGGTAGTGACATCTCTTACCCAGCTAGTGGGGAACGATTTCGGTTTATCTAGAAGGTATAAAACATGCAAAAGCTGGATGTCAAGGACATGTTATCATGCCCTTCGTGCTGCCTCTTCCATAACGCCATTGCCCCAACGCCTTCACCATGCAGTTTTCGAGGACATCAGATAGAACAGCCGTGACGCATCCCATCATCACATCTTAAGCCAAGCGCAAGACGCTCCGAACGCCCTATCATTGTGTCTACACCTACTCCTCCATCGCCTCCACCTCCTTGACCTCCTGCGTCGCCGCAGAATAGTACCTAAACCCGGTTAGTCAGATCTCAACCACCTCAGCTCATCAATCAGGAAGTAACTCACGCCTTCATATCCACCCTAAACTCCGCCATGGCCACCCCAAACATCTTCAGCAGCGCTGTCTGGTGGCTATTCAGCACCTGCCCTTCCTTGCACACCTCATAATCGTCCTCGAGTATCACTTTCCCTGAAACGAGCCGGGTGGGCATCCCCCACTTGCGCACCGTCACTTCCAGCGAGTGGGGCAGCGGCACGTCGTCCTCGACGGCGAGCTCGCCGCCGCGTGAGTACACGGTCCCCGCGGGCACGGTGAAGGTTTGCGTGGCGGGGATGCCGGCGCGCGCGTAGTCGGTCTGGGTGTAGGCGGCGAAGTGGGCGAGGACGGCGGAGGGGTCGCGGGACGTGAAGAGGAGGCCGACGTTGCCGGCGAGGTAGGGGGTTAGGGCGTGTAAGTTCGGGAGGTGCTCGTCGGAGTCGGTGAGGCCGAGGGCTTTGGCCATTACTTTTGTTTTGCCGAAGAAGAGTCTGGGGGTGGGTGTTAGATTTAGGAGGGCTGTGGATGGGTGATGTGGGATATGGTATTGGAGGATAGACTACTAAGAGTATAAAGTATAGAATGCGGGAAGAAAGTAGAAATTAGATATTACCTGCTATCTGAGAACTCTGAGCGCACTTCTTTTAGGTAGGTGTTGCGCATGTTTTCGACGGAGAAGACGAAGATGTATTGGTACGTGTCTGCTGCTTCGCGTACGTTCGCGAAGAGCTTTTGCGAGAGTTCTTTGCCCTTCTTGTCCGTCTTGGACATGTGGATGATCTTCGCGCGCTTGGATTTCGGCATTTTGGGTGGTTTGGAGGTGGGGTTTTTGGCTGTTAGTGAGTCGCTATCTGCGAAGACTACTTTTTGTAGTCGAGAAACTTGGCCTCTAGAGCTGGGCCAGGTTTATTTACGTGATACAAAGCGCTGGAGGTCGCGAGAGCGTTGCAATTCCTGGTTGGTGAAGGTCGTGTCGTCCAACTGCGAAATTTAGAAACTTTTCGATGGGGCCCATTTTTAGCGGGAACCAAATGTCTTGGCATTTGTGGCGCTTGCTTTCAAGGTGGCATTTGACCTCGGGGCCCGCCATTGCTGGCTTTGAGGCTCAGAATGTTGCTCGACGACTTTGGAGATGCTCGGTTTTATGGATTATGTCCAAAACGCATTCGCTGAAGCAACCGGTTGGAACCGCGACAACTCTTACGGGACGCTGAACGCAACTGCGCAAGGTTGGTGTCTCTTCCACGGTGCTCCATGACTACCGTCGTACTCATTCAGCAATAAGCTTTACTCGATTTCGATACCCCCCGTGGCTTGCGTTTAAATCTATCGTCTCTTGCGGCACCGACCTTTGCCACATCTTACAGTATCGGGAGCGTGGGCGTTGTTGATGGATCCGTCTCATACCTCTACTCCTCGGTACCGCTTCAAACAAGCGCAAAGAGTTGCGACATAGACTTGCACCGTGTTATAAGAGGATATCGTCATTTAAGAGAGCTCCGGAGACCAGATGACGATGCATGGTGGGAGTTATGGCACGGCGGTAAACGGATAGATCGAAAGAGTGAGCTTGAATGCACTCGTTCACATGAAATGTCACCTAAACGATCATCTAGAAACGCTCTTATATGGCCGGATACTGGTTCCGCACTCTACCCTTGAGGCACTCTATCTCCGGCGACTATCACCTACTCGACAATTGAGGATATCATGCGTTAGTGATTCGAACCTCAACAATGGCGGCACAATATTGGGACTTCTTCAAAACGACCATGGCAAATACAGCACGGAGTATATGTATAGCACCGACAGTGCTTTAATGGGCGTACGCGGACTATACAACTTTGGGTTCGACCCCCGTGTTGAACCTGCCATACCCACCGGCCAAGAAACGACTGAGCCAATCTACGGCCGATTCAGCGCCGGCGCAGAACTCTACTATGGACTACTAAACAAGAGCGGTGGCATAAGTACCGGCCTGCGGTTCACAACGCTGCCGCACCATACTGGATTCCCCTACACGATGACGCTTACGCTGAATCCCCTAATGGGCAACCTCTCTTCGACTTACGCAGTCAAAGCTGGCCAGAATCTAGCACTATGTTCGCGGTTCGATTTTAACTTCTACTCCTACGAAAGCGATCTCCAGGTCGGATGTGAATTGTGGCGAAGGCGGCGAAACCCCGAGGTCGAATGGGCGGTAAAGAAGCTACGCCCTGATTGGGACGCTCTGACACCAAAACCGGACGAGGACGTGGCGGGTGTTTTAAAAGCAAGAGTTGACCAGAACTGGAAGATTGGATTGCTGTGGGAAGGCCGCGTTAAGGAGCTACTGTTCACTCTGGGGGCGAGCTTAGACCTGAAGCGGCGAGAGCAGATCTTCAGGGCCGTGGGCGTGGAGCTACAATACTCGTCATGATAATGAAATATATGGCGTATGAATCGTATGATTCATGCAAACGCATTGCGGCTTTGTGCTGGCTGAGAGGCTCTGGCGTATTCGAAATGGAGAGCGATACTAAACTCATTTATATTGGAGCCAAACTAACGTACTAACAGTAGCATTGTAGCTTTGCTAGTATATCACAGCATCAACTTCATGTCCTCCTACTATAAAACACCCGCAAATGGCCTCACTAACAAAGTGTATGAGTCGCCGCGTCGATGAAACAGTTTGTGGGGTAAGGCCAAGACGTAATGCCGTCATGATTCCCAAGCCCAAACAGCACCGTTTTGAAGCCAGGAGTTGACGGGGCGTATTAAGCCGAAGCCTGCGAAAAGCATACAATTCTCCATTGCCTGAGGCGAATATGGCTCATCGGGTGTCTCCTAACCATGAGTTCGTCGGAGATCGCCTTCCGGGTCTGACAGCAGTCGCAAGTACACCCAATCGTTCAAACGCCGAGCATCAATTCCTCACGCGTTTTCTGCGACCACTACACGTGAGACAGGGGATTCGGAGCAATGGTGCATGCCGAGTCAGCCGCAAAATGCGCTGGACGTAGCATGCTTCTAGATCCAGAACAAACCTGTCAGATGTCACCACATGGCCTAGAGCTGCTGCGCTGGATAGCTTTGGCAGCGGAGCTTTCGCAGTTCGACCGGGCGGGACATCGGCGATGGCATCATGCGATACCCGGAGGATGTGCTTGTTTTGCGCCGTTTTCACGCGTCGGGGTGATAACAGGCGCAGGAAAAAGCCACTGGAACGCGTCGAGGGGAGGAGATGGCGTATCACGTGATTCCGACAAATCACATCACATTACCGCCCATTATCTCGACACCACGAGCCAGTGATACGACTAAAACATAGGAGGAGATATGCAAGCAGCAGACGAAGGTATTCACAAGTGCTCGAGGCTGTAGATGTACCCCGTCGCGAGCAAACTTGCAGTGCGATCAAACGCGGGTGTCCCACGCTTTTCCCCCTCGCTAGGGCAATGGGTAAAAGGGTGATTCTCGGAGCCGGTAGCTGCAGCTGGCCAGGTGAACAGCCCTGCAGTTCATGCCTGCGATGCTTGCGGTGGCTGTTGGAGAGCGGGGGTTTCTGTCCAATCGAGGGCTCCGCTGGGATCTTCTGGCGCCGTCAGCAGCGCCTTTCTGCGGCTCCTGTGGGCGGTTCCTGGCGCTGTTCCACACGCCTTGCACGCCAGGCCGCCTGATCCGAGCGACCAATTCGCCTGGCCGTGCGCGGGACCTGGCAGAAGCCTCACGGCAGCTGTTGGTGTCGCCATCCACGGCGGGCGCAGACCAACGGCGCGGTGCCCATTGACGCTGCTGTGTCTGTACACGGGGTATTCCAATGGCCAGGCGAAAAGAGCATCCAGAGAACAAGTGCAATATAGAATATCGTAGAGAATAAAGTCGAGTCTGCGGCAGCCGTTGGCTATTAAAAGATGGTGAATGGCACGTGCCCGCGCCCGATTCGGTTACGCCCTTGGAACCCCTAGGGAAGCCCACGCCCCTTCATTTCTTCGCTCCTGCCTGACAACTCCATCATCTCCTCTGCTCCCCACGGACTCTGTATCGTCACCTCAGTCGTCCACCACGTTCTCTTCTCGTCCTTGTTGTCTTTTCCGTGGATAGCTGTCACTCCTTCCAGCTTCCGCTCACGTTCATTCATTTTTGGGCTCTGCCTGTCCCCTCCTTAGTCCTCACGACTCCAAACCCATCCTTTCGGCTTCTGCCAGCATCGCTCTCGGTCGATCCATTACTGCTCCCAGCCAGCAGCTTAACTTACTATACTTCGACGCACGCCTGGACGGTGACTTCGACACGAGCTCTCGACCGCGGCCCCTACGCTCCTTTCAGCTCGATCCCGCGCCCGAAGCTTGCGCCCTCTACATTCATTCAATCCGGCCTCGACCGCGTCCATTGCTTGGACAATATTTTTGACAATAGTTACGACGAGCCACAGACGAGGCGGACCGTCGCTTTCTTCTCTCCGGACCCCACGCCGCCACTGCGAGGCCCCCCGTACACATAGTACTTCCAATGGAGCAAATGGAGGACACCAAGATGTCTTCGACACCCTCGCCGACCGCCTCGGCCACCACCAGCTCTTCGGCCGCTCGCCGGCCGCCCCGCAAAAGCACACTAACCCAGCAGCAGAAGAACCAGAAGCGACAGCGCGCCACGCAAGACCAGCTCGTCACCCTCGAGGTGGAATTCAACAAGAACCCGACGCCAACCGCAGCCGTACGCGAGAGAATAGCCCAGGAGATCAACATGACGGAGCGTTCTGTACAGATCTGGTTCCAGAACAGGTAGGAGCACCGCGAGTGGGCTGCACGTCCAATACTGATGATTTCATAGGCGAGCAAAGATAAAGAACATTGCGAAGAAGAGCATCGAGAGCGGCGAGGACTGTAACGACATCCCAGAATCAATGCGTCGATATCTTGCCCTGCAAGCTATGGAGTCTGGCAAATCGATGGGACGGGACTTTTCCCTAGGTCGATCCGGATCCCTGGCGGGCTACGGAAGTGGCTCCATGATGCTCAACACTGACACGAGCTCCTCCAAAGTTGGTGAGTTGCAGGTGTACTCACATTCACTTTCTCTCGTCTAATGTATCACAGTCATACATCACTTCGCATGTCGCTCGCTGAGCATCGGCTCGTGGCGCCGCGTTGGCCAGAGTGCGATGGACCTCGTCATCTTCTACTCGCCGGAGAAGTGCTGTGTTACCTATTACATCAACAACGACTCGGCTGGCTACAAGATCGAGTACCCCTTCGCTTACATCAAGAACATCAGCCTCGAAAACGGAGATGTCGCCAGCAATGCCGAAGGTGCAGCACAACGACCCGGCGGCCTTATCGTGGAGCTGAACCGGCCACCAAACTTCTTCATGGACTCGTCCGGCTCCGGCGGATTCTACCAGTGCGGTGACTTTACCGAGGAGCAGCAGGCGTCACAGGTTCTCGTACACCACCTCGGCGGCCATCCCAAAGTGCTCAGCGGGCAGCTGGCCAAGCTGGTGTCGCTGGAGTCGTTTCAGAGCCGACACAACCTCTACGACCACAACGCGCTCGCTGTTTCGGCGCCAGTTTCGCCAATCAACCACCGGCCGGCGTCGCAGCCAAACCACATTGCGCATCCGCACATGGGTATGTTTCACGACGGCCCGTTCGGGCCTGGCCTCCACCCTGGGCGTGGCCACAAGCGTCAACGGAGTCGTTCGGTGCCTGTCGCAGTTGACTTTTCCATGTTGCGAAACCCGATGCCCTCGTTTCTGATCCAGCAGGAGCCGTCTCCGTACATCCCCAACCCGGAGATTTTTGCCCCCATTCCCCAGCACCACCCCCAGCAGCCAGGCCCCATCGGCCCGAACCTCAGCATCGACACTTCGGCTGGATATGGGTTAGACTACCGCCAGTATCCCATGTCTGCGACAACCGCCAACTCGCCCTCCGAGTATGGCACCCCGGCCTTCTTCACGTCGGGACCCCCGACCGACAACATACCCGCGTCCAACTTCAACACTCAATATAACATCCCGTATCTGTCGCCCATGCCGAACGGGCAGAACGGGCAGCATTCCGTCTCGCCTATGTCTGCAATGGGTCCTCCCGATCCAGTCATAGCGAACCAATCACCGCCGTTGACGTCGATGGGGCGGGACGGCTCAGGCGACCTCTACCAGATGTCGCACGACAATGGTGTTTCGGACGAGGCCCTGTCCCTGACCGACATGTACGCCAAGCAGACGCTAAACCTTCCGTTCCGGTCGCCCATGGAAGACAACGTCGACGACCTTGACATGCACAACTTGGTGCAGTTCGGCACAATCGACCCGTCTAGCCTGTCACCCGAGAATCACCAACTGTGACAATGAGCATCGCGACCAGAACACGACTCGGTTTCTCTTCGCTCCTCATAGTCACTCTAATACCTGCATCGATCGTGTCTCATGTGTGCTGCAAACATGTGCAGCATGCCCTTGGACTCCAGCCTCGAGACAGGCCTAGACTCTATCTGCATAGGCTCACATTGCCTGCGTGCCTGACGGATGGCAAGTTACCCCTTGCCATCAGTCACGATACACTTACCCCCTAACTCGAAATACTTCTTCTAACTTTTTTTTCTTCAAAAATTCAGTATTACTTCCCATTCGTCGAATTGGGAAAAACTTAATCTCCAATCCTTCCGTTACGCAGATTGAACGAAACACGGGGCAAAGGATCACAAGGCGTTGCGGGGTGTGCGGAAACAAACGGCTGGTGGGGCACACAACAGACTCAACACACACACGGGAGTCATAAGAATAGGCGGACTGGTGGAGCCTGCGCCGGGCGTCCCGTCGGGGACGGATGGAAAGGCTAAGAGACGAGGTGAAAGGTGTTTCTTTTGAGATGGGATTGATTGCCTGCCTGGCTTTTTTTCTTTCTATTTGTTCGTTCTCATGTTGGGGGCTCTGTGTGTGTGCATTGGCATTTTTGTCTTGTGGTTTTTTCTTTTCGTATGTTTTTTGTGTCTTTCCTTTGTTCCAGATTTACTACTATCAGAGTGCGTGCAGAGCGTGGAGTGTGTGGAGGATCATAGTATGGGCAGGCAGACAGGCAGGCGATGGCATGGAAGCGAGCGAGTGTCTTGTGAAGCAGAGAAGAGATTAAGCAAGCCGCTGTGCGGCTACCGCGTATCCTACTACTTATTTACAGGGCTTCTTCCAGAAGTTTTTAGTCGATGATGTGGGAACTATCTTGATATCCTTCCGAAGCCTCTCTCAAAATCGAGCCATGTCGTGTGTCTTTCGGTGTGTGGAGGGTGTGTGTGTGTCGTTTGACTCTTCTCTCTCGACGCGCTGTGCGTGCATAGGCAATCATTTTTTTTATTAGAAATATGGTCCTAGATTAGACCGAGGGGTCTCTGTTTGTCTGCTTGTTGTGAGCGCTACTTCTGCTTCTTTTGAGCCTACTATTTCTTTGTTTATTTACACTTTTCCTCGTTTTTGCTGTAATGGTGTTTTTTCGGGATATGGCATCAGGCATGGCTAGGATAAGGTACTTCTCTAATATGACTATATTTAATCATGTGTAGATATTGTGCCCTGAGATCGCGAGATCGCGTGTGACCGAGTTGCCCGAGCACTGGAGGTTGTGCACGCGAGGGGAGGAGAAAGCCTGGGCGGTAGTGTGCGATTACAAGGGTGGAGCGCGTTATGGGGAGGCTAAGCAGGGCTTCTAGATGCTGGAGGGTTGTGTAAAGACCGGTTGCCGGCGTTCGAATTTGTGTAAGCTGATTCTATGCGAGGCTGTTAAATGCAGGGGGGAGAGGGTAACTGGGTGAATTGTGAGGCTTAGTTACCCGTGGCCTTCGCGTAGGGCAGCTAACTAGCCAGGAGCTGGCTGTCCGCCTAATTTGTTCCCTTTGCTTGATAGACTCGCAGCAATGCTTGGACTGCTTCTCGGTGGAGGACACGACGGCGGGGGTGGAAGGAGATGGGCGGCAGCTAACGGTAGAGACTGTGAGGGAAGTTTGCTAGACGGGTGGGCGTAATTGGGTGTGACGAAGGGCGGCGAGCGCGTGCTGATGGTCGCCATAATGGCGCTCGTTGCCGGTGACCTTAAGAAGTATGCCGCCTCAGGCGCATGTAGGATTGACCGCGACTTGCGGTGAGGGCGAGAGGGAGCAGCGTTATACTACAGTAAAACCTCGGTATAGTGGTAGGGGTCGGTGACTAGGGGTATTATCGCTGTATAGAAAATATCACTTTACATAGGGTCACGTGCGCGAGATTTGTAAGCAAGTCTGTCCCAAAACCGCCCAAGGCGGCCCAAAAAGGGGGGGGGCCGAGGGCCACGGACCACTCTCCCATACAAAATCCTGCCCCAGTTAGTATGACATTGTATGAGAGGGGCTTAGCGATACTATATTAAGGGGAGAGCTAATGATATAGGAGGTAAATCTTACAGTCCAGCGATTTGTATTACTGTATAGAAAATATCACTATACACCAGTATCACTATACCGAGGTTTTACTGTACTACACATGTTGCACACAGGAGTAAGTAGTAAGCAATCTTCTCGCGCGGAAGGATGGACAACGCAATTGCATACAGAACTCGCGAGCTGCACTAGGGAACGGAGCTCACACGCCGCCGCGTCGAATAGTCGCGTATGGTGAGGCGACTCTTACATAGGGCAATTTCGAGGCACGAGAAATCAGCACTACGCGAAGGCCACGGGCATGAGTGCTGACATGCGGTGCGAGGTGCGATGTTTGCAATGGATATGGAGTCTGGGACTCGGGCCAGTTCAACCTCGTTTCATGGATCCGAAGATGGGTCTTCGCGTGCAGTTGCCCGCGGGAGGCCTGTGTGAAAACGGCGGCCCGCTGGTGTGCAGATTTTTGTGGGATTTGTGCAGCGGCCAGTGAGAGTTGTGCGTGCCCCTGACGCTGCGACCCAAACGGCGCAGTGAAAATGCGAGTGGCGGGTGAGGACACCAGCGGGTGCTTGGCGTTTTGTTAATTTCCTATGCTCCTCCATAACCCGACGTCCCCGTGTCCCTCCTGCATGCACTCGTAGCTCCTAATCCTTCTTTCTGTTCTCCTGCACGAAGCCCGCCGCTAGGTCAAGCTGTCGACCGCCTGCAGCTGCGACATTTTGGCATCTGCAGCTCCTACGCCCTTCTCGGCGGCGCATCCGGCTTGTAGCGACACCCTCAACGCGACTCGGACGCCACGGCACCACACTCCTTTACCGCTGCAGACGCCGCAAGTCGACCGACCAGCCTGCCCACACGCTCCCGATCGCCAGGTAGGTCAATCGCTGGCGTCGGTCACCGGACGCTGTAAGTGCCTTCTCTGCAGCTTCACCATCCGCCGTTTCCACTTCCGGTGGCTGCCGGGAGGATGAGCGAATAGATGGTCATCACTCCACCGCAACCTCACCCAGCTCCACCACCACTTTTTCCAGCTCCATTTTTGCCGTCTCAAATGATTTTGCCTATACCGCCTCGATACTAATACTCGTCCTGCTGCAGTTGAGCTTTACATCCCTCGAAACGCGTACCCTTCGCCACCTCACCGCCTCAATTGCACGTTACGACGCCGGGCAGTGCTACCAGTCCTGCGATATATCTACGAATAGACAAGGCATACACAACCCGCTTCCTGCTACATAGACTGAGCCAATTGCCATGCCGACTCGTACGATCAACCCTTTCGCCAACAGTCCTCCTGCCATCACCTCTGCTCTCGATGCGATGAATGAGAAGGAGCCCGTACGCCGATCCTCCTTCTCCAAAGTCAACAACCGTTTCTCGCAACTCTTCTCTACCTCTCCCAAGTCAAAGGCATCCGAAGCTGCTGCGCTGCAGGCCGCGCTTGTAGCCCAGCAGCACGTTCTGCTAAACTCGCCCTCGCCCCAAGGCGTCAATTCCTCCACCCTATCGCTACCCACCATCTGTCTTTCTACAGCAACTGGCGAGAAGTCGCCAATGGAACCCCAAACGCTCTTCCAGCCGCCCTCACCAGCCGAAGCCCGCCGTCTCGCCAAGTCGCACGCCGAGTTTGGGCCATTGGGATCGCAGAGTCACCGATATACCAGCCAAGCCGATGAAACGATAGCCTTCGCCGACCCTGTTGAAGACGAACCGCCGTACTACTTTCTCATTACGACCTATATTAGTTACCTCATTCTCATAGTCTTTGGCCATGTGCGGGATTTCTTCGGCAAGCGCTTCCGCCAGAAGCACTATGCTCACTTGAAGGAGAACGATGGATATGCTCCGTTAAATAGCGATTTCGACAACTTTTATACGCGCAGGCTGAAGATGAGGCTGAATGATTGTTTCTCGCGACCGGTCACCGGAGTCCCGGGACGTTTCATTACGCTTCTGGACCGCACGTCGAAGGATGGAAACAACACGTTCACGCTGACTGGCATGACTACCGAGACCCTTAATATGAGTTCGTACAACTACCTCGGATTTGCTCAATCTGTTGGTCCATGTGCAGACTCCGCGGAACTTTCCGTCAAGAAGCACGGCATCAGTCTCGTCAGTCCTCGCGCCGATGCAGGAAACTCCGACTTGGCTGTTGAAGTTGAGGATTTGATTGCGAAGTTTGTTGGCAAGCCAGCCTCCATGGTCTTCTCCATGGGTTTCGTTACCAATGCCACTGCGTTCCCGGCTCTGGTTGGAAAAGGCTGCCTCATGATTTCGGACGAGCTCAACCATGCCTCTATCCGTTTCGGTGCCCGTTTATCTGGATCTGCAATCAGAATGTTCAAGCACAACGACACCAAGGACCTAGAGAAGTTGCTTCGCGAGGTCATTTCCCAAGGTCAACCCCGCACGCACAGGCCGTGGAAGAAGATCCTTGTAGCCGTCGAGGGTCTCTACTCCATGGAGGGCACCATGGTGAACCTCCCCGCCATCATCGAGCTCAAGAAGAAATACAAGTTCCACCTCTTCGTCGACGAGGCCCACTCCATCGGTGCGCTCGGGCCCAACGGCCGTGGCGTCTGCGACTACTTCGGCGTCGACCCCTCCAATGTCGACATCCTCATGGGCACGCTCACCAAATCCTTCGGCGCCAACGGCGGCTACATCGCGGCCGAGAAACACATCATCGACAAGCTCCGCGTCTCCAACGCCGCCATGCTCTTCGCCGAATCCCCCACGCCGCCTATCCTCGTCCAGATCGCCTCGTCGCTCAAGATGATCACCGGCGACCTCTGCCCGGGTCAGGGCGAGGAGCGCCTGCAGCGCCTCGCGTTCAACTCGCGCTACCTCCGCCTCGGCTTGAAGCGCCTCGGCTTCATCGTATACGGCCACGACGACTCGCCCATCATCCCCGTTATGCTGTACAACCCCGCCAAGATGCCCGCCTTCTCGCACGAGATGCTCAAGCGCAAGATTTCGGTCGTTGTCGTGGGTTACCCCGCGACGCCGCTCGTGAGCTCGCGGGCGAGGTTCTGCGTTAGTGCGGCGCATACGAAGGATGATTTGGATCGTATGCTTGCGGCGTGTGACGAGGTGGGGGATTTGCTGCAGCTGAAGTTTTCGAGCGGGGTTGCGGGGGGCGCGGAGCCGTTGGTGGGGGAGGACGAGGTGCTGGAGAAAGGCGGGGAGAGGGAGAAGGGGAGTGAGATGCAGCTTGTGGCGTCGCCGCCCCGGTGGCGGCTGGAGGAGGTGTTGAAGCGGGGGGTTGAGGATGTGAAGGTGCCGCTAAGGTAGATTGGGGGAGCCCGGGTATGGGGTAGAAGTGTAATGATAATCAAGGTGGCATAAGGGACGGTGTAGTGTGTACGGTGTTGTAAATTTCTTCCACTCGCTTTTTTTGCGGCATGCATGCATCAAACTAAAACAAGGACTTTCAGAAGTGGGGATTTTTCAATGTGGAATGGAATGAGGGCATGAAAGCATTGGAGGTTTTTTTTGGGGGGCTTTTTCATCAAGTTCTATACGGCTTTCGAGGCTGCATCAGTCGCTATCGGCCCTGATGGCGTGGCGACTTCTCTTTTTTCTTCTTCTGAAAGCGTTAAGCATCGCCTACTGTGTGGGCGCTTTTTAATCATTAATGCGGCAAGAGCCGTGGTGTTGCACTCTTGTATATAGATGGGCTGGGGGCTGGGGGGGGGGGGGGATAAAAAAGGGTGAAAATGAAGAACAAACTGTGGGAATGAATGAACCTCGAGCAGCTAGGCAGAGATGAAAGTGGGTTGCGTTTTTTTGATTTTTCGGCTGCGTGGAAAGCAGGCATCACCGCTTTCCAAGGCTCCTTCCCACGTCTCTTTTGCTTGCTGGTAAATGCGCAGCATTCACGTGAGGGTGCCTCTGAACGGCAACTCTTGGCAGGCAGGTTGGAAACAAGTTGTTTGAGCAAACCGTTGGAAAGTGCATGAACGACGCGCTCGCATTGCAGGCTAGCGGGCTTGGCGCGGGCGGTGATTAGTAAGCGGGTGAAATTTGGGCGGAGGGGGGCCGCTGGTATGGATGGAGTGGATGCAGTGCTCCAACGTGGTGGGCGGATGGCATGGCGTGCGTTTTTGATGAGGTTGACTGTTTTGGCAATACGGTGGTAGCCTCATGTTTTTCGTTCGGCGCGGTGTCCGGATTCGGGAATGCGTGGCATGGTGGCATGGTGTGGTGTGTTTTGGTGGTTTGGAGTGAGGCGGGCAGGCGAGCAAGAGGACCATCGTGTGGCACTGCTGCGGGGAAGGAGGGATGGATGTCCCGTGGAACGGGGTACGATGCAGGAGTGTGGAGGAGGCGTGTTTGTGGGTTTGTTTTTGGGGCAGATGATGAGGATGTGATAGTGAGACGACGAATGGGGATGAGTTCGAGGCATGGCTAGTGGTGCGTGCTATCGAGGAGTGAATCAAGAAGATAGAGAATTGTGTTTCGCTCATTACTTTGTATGTATAGAGGCTGAGAAATGAGATGATTGGGCGAGTCTGCATCGGGAGGCTCGCTCTCCCAAGCTTGCTCTTATGTTGTAGTACTAAGCAATTGAGCTGAGAGACAAAGCGTGATGGTGTCGATTCGGAATCACTGTTCATTCCCCGACTGGTGCTATGCCATCATTGTTGATGCCTCGCCTGATACGAAGTAATTTACTTGAACTGATACTGTTCCACGGCAGAATAGAGAAAAAACAAGTGCGATTGAAGTACAAAGCTGACAAGCTAGGAAGCACCGCGAGAGACTGCTGAACTAGTACCGAGCATTTGGTGGTATGACCAATACTCATGGCGGTAACGTTGCTCGGATGAGTTGGTGTTTCAAGGCCTGGAGGCCTCGACATAGACGCCATTCGCTTGAACTCGGGCATCTAGAACCACGCGTTAATCGGGAAGGCGTTGGTTACGCAAGAGCCATGCCGAAGGCCATCGTAAGGTGTGTGTGGTGGAAATCTGACATGAAGGGATTGCATGGAGACACACAAACCATACCCCCGCGGTCCTTCAAAAAGGTTGTTACACCCTTCCTATCTAGGACCGAAACACGATATCAAAAAGACGCCCGTCCGCCCCGCTTGCAAGGCTGAACCCTCGGCCGTACCCATGTGTTCGCATTGCCGGCAAGCAATCGGGTGCTCCACCATGCCGGTGTGGGTGCCCGCATGCGGAGCGGCCTCTGAGGCCCGCTGCGAGGGCGTGGATCCAGTTCCAGCCTGGAAGGCAGTTGGAGTGCGTGACGCTGTGCATATGCAGGCGTTCTTACAGAGCTCGTAAAAGCAGGCCCTACACGAATCGCAAGCTGGACGCGTATAGCACTCCACTGCGCAAAGGCAGCTTCCGCTCGCAGCCGTGAGAGTGGATTCCACCATGATGGTTTGGATCGCCTTCACAGCAGGGCTGCAGAGGCACGAAGCAGAGGAATGTTCGACGCATGTGTGCTACGATGGCTTTGGTGGTGCCTGCGAGGGGTACTTCTCAGCGTCAGGCCCGCCGTCTGGCAGCACTGCAGATGCTTCAGCGCTGGAGCAGAGGTGACTCAGTTGGGCAGAGCACGACATCAGGCAGAGGTGGTGAGCAGAGTGCGCTGGCGAAGTAGAAGTGCCGGGCATCAGGCGGTAGACACATGCTGAGAAACGCCCGGGCGAAGGACTGCGCCCTGGTTGTGAGCGGCGATGGCCTGACGATGTCCTCCGGATTGTCCCTCATGGTGTTGTCGTATATCGCCCTGTTAGTTGGTGGTTGCCTTCTTGCTGCGTCGTTAGTGATCCGCCATCCTTCAACGCCTCTGGTCCAAGCGGGGCGATCGACGAGTTCTAGTGGACTTCGACCTCCTCCCTTTGCGTTTCGCCGACGGCATTATCGCGTATCTCTCACACGAAAGCATAGTCAGCCTTGTTGGGCTCTACTTATCAAGATGCAAGCAATAGTGGTCGAAAGTACTGGCACGTTCCCGGATGTAACAGACATGGCCACAAAGGATACACCATCAGGCCGCGTCGCGTATCCGGAAGCTGTTCGCGATATTCAACACATTTCCAGCTTACTGGCGCTGGGTGTTTTCCGGTCAATGGCGTTGAGCCTCCAGATGCTTTTGGATGGCGAATAGTAGGTCGCGAGGGCGGCCGTGAAGGCATCTCATCTTCTGGTTGCCTTCTTTACGCCCGACGCATGGGACGCACGCTCCTCACCGGCGGGAACCCACAGCAGCCACTCGAATTCTGAGGCAAGCACACGAAACAGGGAAACGCCAATCAGCGACTGTCAGAGGTCCAGCCTGGTGTTATCAGCTGGTCCTTGACCGATCGCCTTGTACGTGGTACCAAAGTCGTGCATGAGGCCTGGTCGTGGGAGACCTGGTCAAGCAAGACAAACACAGACATGATACTCAAGGTAGGAAGAGATGTCTATATATCTCACACCGCAATCCCTTCTCCGCCTTATTTGTCAGGTTGATACCCCTCACTCTCAACTTTCTTCTTAAGCGTAAAGGCGCTCTGCCTGACACTTCGAATTATCTTATCGTCTTCCTCCACCTGACCGCCTATATTCTCACGTTATCTATTACCTAAACAATCACTCAATCATATTCACCACATGATCCCCACAATGGTGGGAGGACATGGTGGGCAACCACTCCCGCAAGGAGACCAGTTCCGACATGTGCAGCAAGTGGGACCAAGGGCCTCTCTTAGTCAATTCCCTGTCTATGATGGCTTTATCCCCCAATACACAGGATGGATTCTCAAAAAAGTGCCCCTCGATGACCTTCCACAAGGCATGGAACCCTCCTGGCAGCGAGTCCGTCAAATCCCCATGAGAGTACCCATGAGCGATCTTATGTTGCAAGTTAAGAAGCCGCGCTCCAGAAAGGAAAAGGCACCCCGCTCTGTTCAGAGCGAATATGATGGTCTCAAATCCGACCATATGCGCCTCCAGATTGATAGGCTCATCGACGAGCAGAATATCGAGCTTTCCCGGTCTACCAGGGACATCGAATGGACTATGGCTAGTATTGATGTAGAATGGAAGGACATCAACCGGATTCAGATACAAGTAGCTTCAATCACAGTCATACTGAAGACCCAAGTAAAGGCAAATGTCATGTCTAGCCATTTCAGCGACCATCAGGATCCATACTTCGCACGTGAGCCCAAAGCCAGCAATGGGAATGCCCAAAGCCAGAAACAAACCCAAGGAGGAAAGTCCTCGCAACAAAATTCAGGGAATCCCCAAGGTCAAAACCAGAAGCAAGCCCAACATCCAGGACAGCATCAGGGGCCGAATGCTGGGAATCAAGGACAAAACAGACCCAATACCCAGAATCAAGGCTTCCCAACCCCAACCCTACCCCCACCCCCACCTCCGCCTCCGCCTCCGCCTCCGCCTCCAGCTCCTCAGCAGCAGCAAAAGCAGCAGATGCAGCAGCAAATGCAGCAGCCTCCACCACCACCACCGCCCCCTCCTGCTCCGCAGCAACAGCAACAGCAGAACCGCCCTCAGAACCAGCAGCCTCAGATGGCCCCACCTCCTCCACCGCCGCCGCCACCTCCACCACCTCAACATGTCGTGCCACAGCAAATGGGTGGAATGCCGCAGCAGATGGGTGGTATGCCACAACAGATGGGCGGTATGCCAAAACCACATCAGCAGCCAAGCATGCGATTCGAGCCACCGAAGTTTCCAAAAGTGAAGGACAGCGAAGCTTATCACAAGCAAAAGGCCAAGATACTCCATCATCCCACCGACGATGATGTTTCAGACTACTCCGACACCGATCTTAGCTCAGAAGATGAAGAGGATGACTACATCGACCAACGCAACCGCCGTCACTCGCCCGAGAAACCCTCCACCCAGCGCAAACCTCAAAAGGTCTACCCACCCCCTCCCATGGGCAAGAACCTGAAAAGACAACCCAGCCCCCCAACCACAAACCCTAGTACAACAATCATCAACATCACCCAGCCCGCCCCTATTGATCGCCGTTCTGAAATGTACCCGGAAACCCGAAGCTTAGCCTACGACCCCGTTTCGAAGGTGAAGGGCTGGATCGAGCCCCCTCATCACCGCAACCACTCTGACCAAGAGTCCGACGACTCGTTCTACGATGCTGGCGCCTCTGTCTTCTCCCGCTCTGGCAGCTCCGATTTCACAAGTCCACCGTCCCCACCCAGCAGCCTCGAAGACGACTACCCACCAACGCGAAAGGGGTCGCTATTCAAGCACGACACAGCAACTGAACATCGCCGCCCAAAGCCTGTGTACAGAAACCATGGCCCGCCTACGCCGCACCGCGAGCCCCAGCAGCACCGTGAACTCCAGCAGTATAGCGAGCCCCCACAATATCGCGAGCCACAGCACTATCGCGAGCCCCAGCAGTACCGTCATCCCCAGCAGGACCGTCAGCCCCAGCAGTACCCCCAGCCCCAGCAACAGCGCGAGCCCCCGCAGTACCGCCAGCCACTTCGTCGCCGTGAGAGCGAGCCGGTACATCCAAAGTACGACCACCCCCCACAGACGCCGTCTGATATGATAACCTACCGCTACGTCTCCTCGGACGGGCGTACCGAGCACAATGACTACCCATGGCATGCGCCCCAGCAGCAGCAGCAACAACAACGGCGGTCTATCACGTGGGACAGCGGACACCCGCAAAACGTGCCGCGCTGGATGGCTAACGAGGTGCCTCGGTATGGTGGTCCGCCCCGGCTACCTGCGCCGGAGTATCCGCCGTTGGAGGAGCGAGAGACGCAGGCGCAGCGGCGGCAGCGAGAAATGATAGAGGAGAGTATGGAGTATATGAAGCTTACTCGGGAGAAGAAGATGGCGCCGCCTCCGCCATGGGGTGGGCGGAGACGGGGAGGGCCGTTGCTGCCCTATCCAGTCACCGGGATGATGAAATGACGCAAATCAAGTGCAATTGGAGGAGGAGGTAGCTTGATAACGAGGCTCTCGTTCCGGAGTTGATTGATGGGTATGCCTCTACATTCTTGGCTTGTGTTTATATATCCTGTAGTACTTCATACTTCATCCTGATGGTTAGTTAGATGCGGTGCGTGGTCAAAAGTTGTATGGTAGCACTTCAATTCGGATTTCTGTATTCTCGACCTCGAACGTCTGTAGTGAGTGAGCTTGAGTGCTCGGACCGTAGCGTGCATACCGCCATCTGAAGTCCTCCGACTTGTTCTAGAATTCGCGAACAAAACCGATAGCACTCTTGTCTGCATATACCCGTTGACCACCGTGTGGAGTCCTCCAATAAACCCAGAAAATCCAGAATAGAACTCACAGCAGCCTTGTCTGCGTACGACCGTTGACTACCGTGTGAAGTCCTCCAATGCACCCCGGAAATCCAGAACAAAACTCACAGTATTCAGCATGCACTCCACGCCTCCGAAGCTCTTTAATCCAACAAGGAACCTTCCTACCTACACTTGAGCTTTTCCGAAGCCACTCTCTAACCAAATAATAACCGTACTACTCCTGATTCATTGCTCGAAGCATCGGCGGACAGAAGGCCAGAGCAAGGGTGGAAGATGCTAGGAGCGGCCCACATGACCCGCCATCGTCTCTTTTATTGGCGCGTACAAATGTCGTTGTTAATTATCGAAGAAGCGCGAAATGGAGTTTCGCACCAGGACGCGGAGACTAGGCCCTGCGGTGCAAGACGTATGTTTCCGTGGTCGGCTGATTGAATGGCATGCCGGGCACCATGAGTATGCATGCGGAGAATAAATCCTGCCCATTACAGGCAGAGAGAAGCGGTGTGCTCCGAGTCAAAAAGGAAGGCATGAGAGTTGACGTTCGATGAGGCTCTGTGGCTTAGTCGCAGAACTACGCTAGCCGGCAAAACACGGAGAGTGGCGCGTGACGAGACCAGCACGGATGGGGCCGGAAATTGGGGCAGTCACATGGTCTAGGCTTTTGAGCAAATGCCCAACTGTCTACCCCTCGCCAGGATGTGCAAACTTCAACAGCGCCTTGAAGACGCCCCCCTTTCAGCAAAGTTGGTGTCGTCTCTCAGGTAAGCAATGCACCGTGCCCTGCAGCTTTCTCCCATTTTTATTAACATGCCGTTTATTTAGAGATCTACGCGCAGCCTATCAAAACAAGCCACCCACCAACTCCATTTACCTACACTACCCATGCCATCGCATCTCCAGCAGTTCCTAATACATATTGATAAGGGACTGGAAGAGTGGGAGGCGCAACATGCGAAAGAATATACTGCTACAAATGTGCGCCCAACTACCCTACTGAAGTGTCCTGCGGAGGGGCAGCTATCTGTCCTACAAGGTCAGATAGCAAGTGATCTGATGAGGCAATTTCCAGATGTACGTTTCTCTTAGCCTTCACTAATATGTATATCTAAATATACCAGCTCTTGCAGCGCTGGGGAATTTTCCAAGCGGTTCCACCTGGATCAGACATAACCAACAAAAGTGATCAGATAGTTATCCCCATTCGAATCACGAAGCCTAGCGTATACATAACCCAAACCAAAGAATCCCCAGATCGCAAAAGTATCTCTTTGGACTATGCTATCTTCTGCGCCGCTGGGCAGTCAGCATTTATCAGCGACGGCGTGAGCTTTGTAGCGTGGATGCGGAGAGACTAGTCGGTTCGTTGGAGGGGAATATCGGAGAGGTTGGTTAGCATGCTGGGGTTTCTATGCGAACGTGTCGTTGTGGTAGTTGTTTTGGATGTCGGAGGGGTTGGTTAGCATGCTAATTCTTTTCCTAGTAGGGTCCAGGAGCGGATTGGGTTCGTCGCGCCGTCCTCTCGTTTCCTTTTTTCATTATTTTTCAAGGAAAGGATGGCCATATCCTTAAATGGCCACAGAACAAGTGAGTTTACTTCCCTCTAGGTGCCTGTGATCTTTTATTGATATCTCGAGCAGAAAACATACATAAAGCCAGAAAACCCAAATACTCGATTGTCTCATGGGCTTGCCCCCTTCGAAGCACGACTACGAAGACGAGGCTTCGATAAGTCCAGGGTGAGGGCTCTTCCAAAGCGATTCATTCGCGTCAGCGTAGATTATGCTAACATCGAATCAAGCTCCTTCACAGTCTTTACACACCGTCGATACACTGAGTGGTCGATATGGCTGGGGGGGGCGATCTGCCTGCAAGCCGGTGCTCGAACAATCTCTCTACTGGGGCTTAAGCAATCTCTCCACCGGGGCTAAAGAATTCTTTCCACTGGGGCTCAAGCATTTTCTTCGTTGCGACCACTGCACCCCGTCGATCACATGAACGGTCAGTACAGCTGTACATCGAGCGTCTCCACAGACACTCAAGCATCCGCAACGGGACTCAAGGGGTCTCTTCCTTGCGGTCTCTGCACCCCATCGATCACATGAACTATCGGTACAATCAAGAACGGATGAAGGGTTCTAGCAGAAGGCTGAGCTTGTATTGGGAATGGTCCTAGGTCAAGGCTAGGTCTGGATGGAGGATGGGCTTGGATTGAGAATGATTCTACATGGAGGCTAGGTCTGGAATAGAGGATGGGTCTGGTCGGAGGACGGTTCTGAATGGAGGATAACGCATGAATGGCCATAGATGGATGATACAGCATGGATGATGGACGGTGGGCATACTGGTAGCAAGTGTGGCTGGGGTACTCTATTGGTCGAGCGAGGGTCAAGCCGGAGGTAACGCCAGTGGGAATGATACTTTCGGATATTGGATAAGTCACGTTGATGTGGACTCATGAACGTCTTGAGGACAACCCCTGCGAGCTCGCAGGGCAGGGAAGAGTCGTATCGCACTTAAAGAACTCACGCCATCTCAACAACGTGCTTATATTGCAGAGCAAAGAAATGGAGCAAAATCTCATGGTGACTCACTGGGCTCATATTTGGAGTGAATCTAATGGATACGCATCTGGAAATGAGAAGAAGTGGATTTTCTGAAATGCCGATAGAGAGGCGAACGCCCCTGATTTTGGAAATCCTTGTTAGGATCATACACGACCAAGTAGTACCATTGAGCGCGCCTCCTAAGTTACATAAGAAAGTAGCATAAAGAGAATTCTTTACAACCTTGGTAGAGTACTAAGACATGATCTTACGTACACTTATTTACCACTACCCAGGGTAACCCATTGAGCTTACTTGTCCGCTAGGCCATCTGGCGTCCTAAAGCGCTCAACAGTTGAAAATCGTACTGCATTGCGCATCGCTAAAGTCGCCAATGAAGGTCCTCGATTTGTCTCTAGATTCAATATTGTGAAAATAACTGGGAGCTGATGGAGCTCCTTGTGCTGCAGGCTGTGTACCGTATCGCCCAATGAAATTCTTGGCCTCATCGTATGAGGTAACTTGCTTGTACTCATTTCCGGCGAACACAAACGGATTCAAGCCATTGATGAGTTCACCTCGCTGTGCTGGTGGCATTTCAAAGGACGGTGTGGGCTGTCGTTGGCCATGAGGGGAGTGTCTCTGCCCATAGGCGATAGCAAGAGCGTCGCTTTGGGACTGCGGGCTTGGAAATATTTGGTCGTAATGCGATAGCCCCGCAGAAGAAGCAGGAGGAGGTGGAATTACTTCCTGTTTATGGCGTCTAAAAGGGTTGGTGGGGCTGCCCACACCTACTGCCGTAGCCAGGGCCGGTAACGTGTCGGGGTCTGAGGGTTCATCCGCATCGTCGACATCGCATTGATGGGGTTTGCTTGCTTCTGGCTACGACTTGTAAGCATAAGTTACGGTACATAGGGCGATTCAGAGTGGGAGTACCTTTTCAGCTCGCAAGGCATCTAAATTTTGCGAAGAAGGGTCTGGTTTCTCTAGGTTGTGTCTTTGGGCTCGTACTCTTGGTGACTTCGCCCGGCTGCGGTGTACCTCCCCTTCAAGGTAGCTGGCTGATCCTCCTGTCTTCTGAATTGCTGGCATCATGAATCCGCCGTACGTCCCGAGTATGCAGAGCGCGAGGGAGCTTTTGTTTTCCTCAAGCTGTGAGAAGCCTTTGGATATTTTGTCCTCTCTGTGAGCGGACCAAATAGCCCTCCAACACCTCTTTCCAGGCTTTTTTGACGTGTCTTTTAGGGCTTGTGAGAGGGTGCGATGGAGGTTCTTGACAGTGTCAAGAAGAGTTTCAAGGTGTCGAGCGATGAGATCGGTCTTTAAGGCTTCCGTCTCAGCTATGAGGCGTGCCGTCTGGACAAGTTGCTCGACCTGATTGGCCAGTTGGGCGTATCGTTCTGGTGCCCTTTGGGCTTGCTGATACAGGTCATGGAGCCCGATGACAATAACGCCGCCGTAATGAATAATTTGCCCTACGCTTGCAATCACCCCGAGAACTTCGATTCCAGCCATCTTGGATCGGTTGCCTCCAATGATAAGACCAGGGCTGGCCGGTTGAATGACCAAGGGTTCCGAGGGCGTTCACGCGCATATAGGTGATTCCAAGCGGCCACAGTGCGTTGTCACTCCGCTTCGGGATGCCGAACTGTACACCAAGTGGTAAGGCTGACCGGAAGAAACAAGCTCGTGCAGTGTAACACTCCATCAAGTCGATCGAATAAATCTGGGTATTTGTGAGCGACAACTTGCACTCTACGCGCAACCGATCGTTTCGAGTGAGCAGAGAGTACATTTATGTCTGCTCAATCTGCAAGGCTTTGTATCAGACCGCCGCTCCCTGAGGCACACCTCGAGGCGCGAATGTAGAGGCCTTACGAATCTGCCAAAGTGGACCTTCTACGTCCAGGAGTTGTCTCTGGAAGTTGTAACCGTACTGAGTGGAGGAGCCGATTGGGTAGGGCGAGAAATGCGGGTGTCAAGAGGCGAACTTGCCATGGAAAAAGGCAAATGATTGCGGTAAGGCGCCATTGCCACGTCGACAAGCTTCCTGAATTAGCCTGACCGCAGGCGCTTATTGCAAGAAAATGCTTAGAATGTGACTTCGAATCGCGATTATGCCCAGCGATTTCTAAAAGGCTGAAAGGCAGTTTCACCGCCCAAACTCGACAGAGCCCCTTAGATTGGATGCTCGGGAGTTGCGGCAGCCCACTGCATATGGCCGATCAATCAGGGTGCGCGATGTACCGACAGAATGGTTTGATTTCGCGAGTGGCTGAAGACGCATGAAATCCGGTGAAGACTCCCATGCATGCACAACGCCCGATTTAGCACTTGCCGTGCCCACTCCTAGATGAAATGCGGCTCAAATTTCAGTGCGCTTTAGCTGTCATTTCGACCTTAAGTCGATTGATAGCACACACATGGTACCAATCCAGATAGTTAATACAGATAATCGCCGTCTCATGCTGCATGATAATCGGTCCGTCTTTACTTCGTCATCCTTTATTGGTACGCTGTCCGAGAGTCGATCATCCTTCATGTCGACCATTCAAGCCAGTAGATAGACAGACAGACAGATATATTCTTTGCGATGATTTAGCTTCAGTGAGGATCCATGCAGCGGCTGTCTATGGAGCGCATATCTCTCTTTGAGGAGGAAACCAGCCCACGCTGGGAAAAACCTCTCCCTAGACCGGCTACAGCAACCGTCTTCCTTTAAGCAGTATATCTGCATGTCCCGGTACTATCGCCAGTCGTAGTGACGCACGACATTGCAGAAACACATGTCCTAGTGCATTCCCACCCCTCAGCACAGCCGCTGGTGCAGCAACGCCCTTCCCAGCATGGCAAAGGGTCAAGACAGGTGTTGCTGTAGCATTGATCGCCGGGACAACCTAAACCGGACCAGCGAGTACACAAGGTCGTGGTACCATTCCAGAGGTAGGTTTTGACAGGCCCAGTAGCGCCGAACAGAATACTCGTTGTTCGTGGAGGATCTGAGCTAGTCAGAGAAGGTGAGAACGAGGTCACTGCAGCGGCGAATACTGTTTCCTTTGTTGACGGCAGAGTCGAGGATATTTCGGGTTGCTGGGTTTCTGATCCAGGAGCGAATGTAGTTTGAGCCGAAACGAACGCGGGTGGTCCGAGGATGGTTATCTTGTTTGTATCTCTTGACGACTCGAGGTCTTTCTGACTTGAGTCGAGCGAGGAACGTGAAAGCGCAGAGACCGAGACATAGGCTGATCCAGACGTTGGTACAGGAGCATCGTGGACGGTGGCTGTGTACCATAACGACATCGTTGACATGGATTGCTCTTCTGATGTAGGCGTGTGGGATGGTAAAACCTGAGCACCGAACAATATGGCGACTATCACCCCAACTGAGACTACGAGAACCACGATCGCGATGGCCTCCTTCTTCCTCTTCAACTCCCTCGGTTTGTTGATGATATTGATGATATCTCCTGAGAAGTTTCTAAATTCTGTTAGTATAAACGGCAGGACCTTCAAGATAGACATACCCTATGAACGCACGCGCTTGTTCTGAAACATTGATCAGGGAGAACCGGATTGGGCGAGCTAGATCATGAGGAGCTGGAGCAAGGGGCGCTGGATCTTGAGGGCTCCTGACAATGGCATCAGGAAGTGTGTCGTCAGGAGAATCCATTAATGCGTTAGAAACCTATGCCGCTCAAGACACACTACTCTGAATATGTGAATATGAGAATAGGGTTACGCTCTAGTTTTAATTGTCCGGGTATTATAATTAAGACTGCAGTGAAGACACTAATATGTAAACGAATGACAAAAGGAGCGGAGCGGCGGAAAGCGAATGGACGGTACTGGCCAGCAGATACCAAGATGAAGGGTTTCGGAGAATCAACGAAGAGAAGGGGCAAGTGCGAGAAGACCTCAATGACGGAATCCCTCCAGAAGTTATAGAAGAAAGAGGAAAACGAGCGCGAAGCCCGGACTGCGTAGGACGACCTTGGAGTTTGGTTGTTTCATCATACAAGGCAGCCTTCTCAGCTCTGAAGCATCCATATATAGACAGGGCGTAGAGGGCGGTCAATTTGGTCAGTGCTGTCAAAGACTCCACCAGGGCGGTTCAGATCATGGTGGTGTGCCACGATTTGTGGGAAGCGTGTCTGGGCTTAAGCGCAAGATAGCATACAATGATTTCCACTGGGCGGCATCATGGAACATGTCAGCCTGCGCTTGGAACGCATCAGTATGTTGGATAGATGCTTTCAAGCGCGTCTTCAAGGGGTTGTCAGCCAACCATCCAGCGAGAGACGTCTTGGCACGTTCTCGTATATTTAGATCTATGATACTCAGCCAAACGCATACAAGCATTCAGTGACTGTGGAAACAGGCTGATACAGCAGGACTGAGTCGTGGGTGGGACTGGGTCGTGGTGGAGTGGGAGCGCGTGGTTTGTGTGTTCTGTCACCGGAACCAACCGTGGACACGTTGACGACGGCTCTGGAGTGTTCACGTGATATCTCTGAGTGGAACTTTACTTTTGTATCCGTGATCTAGAAGTGAAGACCACGGCTTTGCAGAGGATTTTAATGGCGCAGCGGTGCGTGATGAAAGTTGCTTTTGGTCTTGCGTTCTTTCAAAAGCAAGCCGAAATCGCCCGAGCTAAAAGCTCCCCTCCCCCGCCATAGCTCAACACTATCAACAACACACGACAAACACCTGAGTATCCTCGGTTTCGTCCATACATTTCCAAAACCTACATAGTTCTTTCAGACACCAAATCAGCAATCATGGGTCGCCAATTCTTCGTCGGTGGGAACTTCAAGATGTGAGTACAAATCCCGCTCGATATTCCTCAGCCGACGGGAACTGATGCTGTATAGGAATGGCAATATTAAGACCATTCGAGACATCGTCCACAACATCAACCAGGCAAAGCTAGACCCCAATGTTGGTACGTGATAGCAACTTTGACAAATCCAATTCTCCAAACAATTCCCCGAAGTCAAACCTCAAACAAATGCTGACCCGGATACCGAATAGAGGTTGTCATTGCCCCGCCGTCTCTCTATCTCCTCCTTGCCCGCGAACACCTCCGCAAGGGTATCGAGGTTGCCGCCCAGAATGTCTTCGATAAGCCCAACGGCGCTTTCACCGGAGAGATCAGCGTGGACCAATTGAAGGAGTCTGGCATAACTTGGACACTCACGGGCCACTCGGAGAGGAGAGTGATCCTACAGGAAGACGATGCGGTATGTGGCTCCGGAACTTATGCCGTTGTACAAAAAGATATTGGAGAGATACTGACAGATACTTCTCTGCTTAGTTCGTCGCTAGCAAGACCAAGGCTGCCCTTGATGGAGGCCTAGGCGTCATTTTGTGCTGTGGTGAGAGCTTGGAGGTAAGCAAATGCCAACCATTGTGTATGTTTGCAGATTTTAACAGCTGCCAGCAACGTGAAGCCGGAAAGACCATTGAGGTTGTGACTACCCAGCTTAAGGCTGTTGCAGACGTTGTCAAGGACTGGTCAAAGATTGTGGTTGCATATGAGCCGATTTGGTATGTTCCAATCACCGAAAATAGGCGCATGGTCTAACATTAACTCTTAGGGCCATTGGAACCGGAAAGGTGGCTACCACTGAGCAGGCCCAGGAGGTTCATGCGGCAATCCGGGAGTGGTTGAAGAAAGAGGTTTCTCCCGAAGCGGCTGATTCGACTCGCATCCTCTATGGCGGCAGTGTCACCGAGAAGAACTCCAGTGATCTGGCTAAGCAGCCAGACATTGATGGCTTCTTGGTCGGCGGCGCCAGCTTGAAACCAGCTTGTGAGTAACCTGCCAATCGCTCTATCGAAACGTTCTAACACAAAACTCTAGTCGTCGAGATCATCAACGCGAAGCTATGAGCAGATATGCCAGTCTTGCTGAAGGTTGAGATACCTACATGCTGTAGAGTCTATGTCTCAATCTGGTCCATATCACAGGCACCAAACATAAAAAAGATATGAATGCAAGTTTGCTCAACCTGAGCCGTGTTGAAGATTCGTTCCACTCCACTAGCTCTACAAATATATATACATGCCCAATTTCCAATGCGCCTTCCATGCCAACTGTGGTATACATCTATACATGCCCCGCCTCTTTGCGCATCTCATATTTTATACTGCGCGCCGTGATATGGACTCCAAATGCCTCTCACGCTCTCGTTGACGCTGGTCACCGGCTTGTTCACCCTCTTCAACTTCTCGCCACTGGCATCCCTCAGTAGGCTTGCTTTCTCGAGGATCATCTCGGTTGTCATATTCCTTACACAGACGGCCTTTTCTCGTCCATTGATGTAGTGGCCCTTGACGACAGGATGTTTATGCGGTCGAGGGGAGACAGTGATTTCGATTTGAGGGTTCTCGCGCGCGAATTGGGGCAGACGCTTTTGAATGAACGCGCTGTAATTATTTAGCTATGTGGCTTTTGTCGTTCGATGTAGAAGAGAACATACTTCATGCCCCTAGAACTCCCGGCCCAGTCGCAGTAGTGGAAGTCGAGGCGTTTGCACTGGAGGATGAAGGCGCCGACGCCGTTCTGAAGAAATCATGAGTAATCGGCTACACATCATGGCGATTGAAACGTACCTGGCCTTTGGCCACGGCCTTGACAGCGGAAAGCGGCATGATGCACAATTTGTCCAGCAGCGCCTTGAAGTGATGAAGTCGATCGACTTTCACCTCGAAGAACGCCAAGATAGCCCGGACCGTTCTTTTCGCCGGCGCTAGTCCAACTTTCCTGGAGTCGCGTCGCTGCCTTCAGTTCCCCTTCCTCTCACCGTCGCCCACACCTCACCGTGTCACTGTCGCCATCATTACCATTGCATCGCGGAGTTTCTTCGTGGAAACTGATCTAGTCACTCGCCTCCAGACTACAAGCTCTTTCGTAGGGCCCCACTCCTCGCGATGACGGACAAGCTTCCTCACAACCTTCTCGCGCTCTTCGCCCCGCGCCCGGCGCTGCGCTACCTCAATCCCATCGACCATGCTCCCGAACATCGTATTACCAATAGGCTCGGCGGCGTTGGCCAGTATATGGACGCCTTTCGAGAGTACAAGGACACGGACGGATTCGTGGACTCGGGAGAGTGCTGGCTTCAGAAGAAAGACAGGGAAAAGCTCGAGAAGAGAGCTAAGCAGAAGCTCCTTGCCGATGAAGGTATTAAAGAGTGTAAGTCGCCACTCGTATCTGCAGACTTCCTCATGGAAACAAATGCTAACGGCCTGCAGACAAGCCTGTCAGTGACCCCAATATTCGCGGCGATGCTTTCAAGACGCTGTTCGTTGCACGCTTGAACTATGACGCTACCGAGAAGGATCTTGAATCTGAGTTTGGACGGTTCGGTCCGATCGAGAGAGTATGCAACTTCCCATGCGCCATGCTGGTTCCCCTTTTTTCAAATGTGCTAATAGCCCTTCTTTAGATTCGCATCGTCAAGAACCCCAACGAGAAGAAAGAAAAGAAGAAGCATAGGGGCTATGCATTTGTTGTCTATGAACGCGAGAAGGACATGAAAGGTAACAAGATCTAACCCCTCCCCCTCCATCAGGTAAAATATTCGGACAATGCTGACATGAGGCTCTTGCTTCTAACCATTAGCTGCTTACAAGGAGACTGATGGTATTCGTATCAAAGACCGCAAAGTTCTAGTCGACGTCGAACGCGGCCGCACCGTGCAGGGCTGGCGACCTCGTCGCTATGGTGGAGGTCTTGGAGGACGACACTACACCAAGGGACCACCAGCCCGACCAGCTGGTGCAGTTGCTGCCGGACCACCATCTGGACCTGGAGGCTTCCGTGGTGGTGGGTTTGGTGGAGGAGGATTCCGTGGCGGCCGTGGAGGTGGCGACCGCGGCTTCAGGGGAGGCTTTGGTGGAGGAGATCGTGGCTTCCGAGGCGGCGGATTCGGAGGTGACAGAGGTGGGTATGGAGGACGAGGTGGTATTGGCTACCAGTCGAACGGCTTCGGCGGCTCAGGAGCACCACCGGACGGCGCACCCTCTGGCCCTCGTGGAGGAGGACGAAGCGGCGGTTTCTCAGGAGGCCACGGAGGCCGTTCGTTTGACACCAACGGCGGAGGATACGGTGGACGCTCCTACGACGATAAAGGGGGATTCCGTGACCGCGGACCGAGTGGCAGCAACAGCGAACCTGTTCGAGAGCGGGGACCACGAGACCGCGACGCTGGCCGAGACCGCGACCGAGGCGATCGAGGCAGCGGGTACAGAGACCGCGACCGAGAGAGTGGTGGGTATGGCCGAGATGACTATTCCAGGAAGCGGGCATACGACGGCGACAACGATGAATCCCGAAGCAAACGAAGATACTGAGCGTCTCGATTCAGCTGAGCAGCGAATGGGTTTGTCTCAAAGGGTATATTCTGTTCTCTCCGCCTTCAACTTTCTTCCCTTTCGTCACCAAGGGTAAGCGGTCAAGTATTGCAACCACATCGAATTCCTCCAACGCCAACTCAACATCAAACTCGACTAGGGTAAGCGGTAAGCACAACTGCATGCTCAACTTCAAGAACCGCTCTCGCCATCCACTTTCGACTCTTTTTTTCTCCTTTTGACTGGTAGACGACGCTATCTGGGGCGACCCAACGAGGTATCACACCTACCAACCGGACGATACGGGCGACACGATTCCGAAGCAGCGATCTTTTGAATCGAAATCAGGGCTCATTTGGGGTGGTTCTTGAATGTCTTATTATGCATGGCTTTTTTCTTTACGTTTCAATGCTAGGTGAACCACGTGGTTTGTTTCTTTGCTTTTCTGGTGGTAAGTATCCGGAACGGATAGCACCGATGGGTTCCAAATTTTGTCCTCAAGGTAAGATCAGAGGTAAGGAGTCTAGTTTTCTCTAGGCATCTGCTTAATGATCTTGCCGTGACGGTGCTGTGTTACTATTAAAACCGAGAGTCTGGTGGGCTGGGTAAGGTTGTTTTCAGTATCTCAGTTGCGCCCCCTATGGGTGCATTCTCTTTGTAAAGTATATCAGATGGTCTTTAAACACTGCATGCTACGGCTTTGCCTTGTCCTTTTGCCCTTAGTATCAGTTGATCATACGTTGTTGGTGTACACGTTACACCCTTCTATCACTGTCTGAGGTGACCTGGCGAGTTTTCCAATTGCTCAAAACCATGGATTTGGATTTCGCTCAGGGTTACGAAGGCTCTTCGGGGCACCTCGAGCGGCGCTAAAGCGGTGTACGCATATCTATGACGATGTACTGCAGCGTAAAGGTTCGCTGATGCTCATGATCAACGCCAAATTCTGTGTTGGATACGCGTAAGTAGGTGCCGAGCCTCACCCACCGCTGCTACACCCTTGTTTCAATCATCGCCTCTCGACGCCCCAACCGATATGGAACTCGACAAGAGCTCTGACTTCAAAACACTTGTTTGGTCTGGCTGCACTCGATGTTAAGCGTTAGTGCCTGTTGGTTGGGGCTGTCCGAGGGGTAAAGTTTCATCCTGGATCTTTTCCTCACCGAGTACAATGTATACTACTCGCGCCCCGTCGGACTACGTACGGGCTGATCTTCGATCATTGTGAAACAACCCGACGGGGCCCGAGTACTGCCTTCGTGCCTCATTTTCAGACAAAGTAAATTCTTAATGGTGGCAGAACCAATCGGACAGTACGTTATAGGAGCGCTTTCGAAGCATTAAGGCTTCCGGAGACGATTCACCACCAACTTCGATAAAGGGGTCTGAAGGACTTTCCCTGTGCGCTAAAGACGGAATGCCTTTCTTAGTGGTCAACGCGTAGTCAGAGAATTTCGGTAGTCGAAAGAGGTGGGAAGGCTTTTTAACAGGCATCTGGACATCATCACACAACGTCCAGGCTTTCCACGAGCCAACCTCCGGTGGACTGGACCGCGTAACTCATCCCATCAGCTTGTAGCTGAGGCCTTGGACGAGGAGGGCATCCAAGGCAAAAAGCGCAAAAACCCAAAGGCAACGTTTCCAGCGGGAATCAAACTGGGATCCAACCCAGTTAGCAAAACAAAATGGCAAAAACGAAACCACCCAGCTACCACTGCGCTACTACACTGTAGAGTCGCAAGTTTTTACGGGATCGCTGAGTGGCTACGATTGCCACTGTTTGCTAGTATGAAATGATGCTCGAAAATAATAGGTATATAAGGTATCGTTTAAGGCTGGACCCTGAAAGGCTCAGATCATAACAAACGCTCTTGACGTTATCGAGGCAGAGTCCGACAGGGCCTCTCCCCCCACATGCACCAATGTCGACCCTTGGACTCGCAGAAGCAGATCAGACAGACTGCTGTTAGCCCTGCCCGCCCACCCTCAGCATGAGCGTCGCAAGTAGGCCAAGTTTGTTCTTACATGAGACGTATATTCGAGCAGATGTAGGGCGCTCGTTTCTGCTGAGCGGTCTCAAGACGCTGACTAGGCTCATCTGGTCTGATTCATACCACTCCCCTCTCAGCCGTGCAATGACATGCCCTTGAACTTAATGCGACAAGTCGTCGGCCGCTCAATCAGGTAACAGTAGTCGCGTCTAGATCCACCAAGCCGCGAAAGCTGCTATTAGTGTTCCGTATTACTTATCCCTAGAGGCAATCGTGGATGTGAATACAAGCTCAAGGCGTTCCGGTCAAAAACGAGATGGCCATCGGGTGGGATTTTGCAAGGCGAACGAAATGGGTTTGAGGTACCTAAAGCGCTCACAATATGTAGCTCCTCTCTGCGAATTCCAAGCCTCGAGTGTCTTGTACCGTTGCCTTTGTTGATAATTTCGTGTGTTATCACAAATGTACTCGCGTTACCGAGGGAAGGGATTTGGACCAAATGTACAATGCTCAATTGAATGAAACTGAAACTAAGCTGGCTCGCTGCTGTCTATTCCCAAGCCCTGCCCCCTACTATACAGCGTATTCGTGCACGAAGAACCTCAAATCACTCCACTGAAGCCACAATTATGCCATCTCGCCCCCCCGACAGCCTGACTCCAACTTCGTTCCCCGCTAATCTAGCTACCTGCTCCATTCTCATGGTCGCAGAACTCTCAGCCCGTCTTTCGACGGTGCGGCGGCGTGCTTGAATGACTACCCATGTACCCGTTAGCCCGTCATATTCATCGTGCTCTAATGGTGTTTGTTTGAGGGGAGGGAGTGTACGTTATCACACTCTTCCCACGCGCGGCCGGCACCGAAGCCTAGTCCAACGGTTGCGGGCCATGCGCGACGCTTGAAGAGGAGTACGGAGAAGACTATGCCGAAGGAGAGGCCGAGGCCGGAGCGGATGAGCATGGAGGAGAGGCAGCGGTCCCACTGTGATTGTCTGTTAGCATCTGATTGAAGGGCTGGAGGCGGAGGGGGATGCGATGGGTGTAGGATGGGCGGAGGTGGTGGAGAGGTGTGCGATAGTCGGGGGATTGTTTGCTGGTGGCGTGCTGGAGGTCATGTAAGGCATCTCGAGCTTGCGATTTTTGCAAAAGAGCTCCCAAATGCTCCAATTTGTACAGTGTACCCATCTCAAGTGTGTATGGTGCCCAATTGAGCCCTAAGAAGATATCCGCAAGCCTACCTTCTCGTTCAACAGCGACTCGCTGATCGGCCGGGTCGTCCGCGCGACCGGAGTAGTGGGCGTACTTTCCGACATCGTTCGTGTGTGTGTTTCCGACCAATTGATCTCGGGAGGTCCAGGGAGGGAGCGGTGCAGAGGCACGGGAGAGCTGGGTGGTGATGTTTGGAGGTGAGGTTGAGGTCCCGAGGAACTGATGATGCTCAGAAGTTGACCTTCGCGCCAAGAGAAATGCGGTGGTCCGTGAGCGAACTTTTTCAGATGAATTCGAGATTCCCCACCACGACGACAGCAACGGCACCATTTGAGGTTTTTGAAAGTGGTAAGGGGATGAAATGGCGCCTCAATCTAAGGTTTGTATAGCTCAAGCATTTATTTTTGTCCATAAGCTGAGAGGATCCAAGAATATGGCCCCGACATCCCTCCAACGGCTTCTCGCGCTCGAGAAGACCTTTACAGACCTGAATCAGCAAATCCGCGAGGTGGCGAGCATCTTGGGACTTCCGAATACGTGGGATGCCTCCAGGTCTACAGTGAATAGCTCCGGGAAACCCCGAAGCCTACAATACCACGCCCGCGCAGAATGGGTCCTCCGCTGGATTCTGGAAAAGTTGAAGGTTGAAGGGACTACTGGAAGCAAGGCGCGAAAGAATATAAGAGCTTGGAAACTACTGGGATGTCTGACTACTATAATACCGACCTCGAATGCAGCCGGCCTTTTAAGAGCTGGGGATTATGTTAATACGCTGGAGAAAGTGCTGGAGGAAAATTTTGGGGACGATGTGCACGACACAGCTTTCAAGGTCGATGTCGAACCTCAGAGTGGGACCACGGCCAGTGGAGAAGCTTCGGAATCAAGTGTCACCGCTGAGGAGCTCCCTGCGACGTCACGGAAGCGGAAAAGGCATGCTGAAGTTGAAGCTCCAGCGAAGAAGATTGGCTTGACTACAGGAGCGCCAAAGGACCTTTTCGACGCTATTGCTAGAAGCCTCGAGACTATTGTAGCCAAGTCATACTCGCATACAGAGCCCGAAGATAAGATCGCAGCAGATCACATGCGAATGGTCCTCCTCGTTGATAGCGAAAAAGCTGCCAAGCTGCTGAAGTTTTGGCTGAACGCTCTTGTTTCGATGCTCCTGGACACGGATGCTAAAGCCGCCATTCTCGGAGCCCCTGACAGCTGTATGAGACTGACTCCGATTTTTCGAATATGGGAAATGAGGACCCCAGGGCGTCACGACGATACCGTCGCGAGTTTGAACGCGTTCTCGGAGCACTGTCTTCTTCCTGCTACGATTCTGCTCGGACTAGTAAGAGATGATGATACCTTTACTGATTTGCATGAAGAGGCAAATCTCACCAAACAGCGCTTGCGCAGTACGCAGAGCTCAGTGATTAGATCACTTGAGCAGCTCTACGCAAGACATATATTCGGCCCTGCTCGTTCGGACTTCTTTACGAACTTGGGTGCTCGTGATGCCGTTTCCATTGACGGGAATGAGCCGAGGAAGAAACCACCAAAAGAAGAAGAGAGTATCGCTAGGGCTTTGAAGCTGCATCGGTCTCTAACAAACATTCGAAGTACTTTGACTGAAGCCGCTATATTGAAACGAATGGACCAGCCGGTGCCTCAATCATCGGAGCTGCTCTTCCGAACTGTCCCACAGCTGATGGACATTGCTATCAGATGCTCACCACGCCAAACACCAAGAAACCGAATCTCCGAGAAGCCATGGAACCAAGCAGTCCTGGTTGCGCTACTAGAATGTACCGGCTGTACATTGGAGAAACAAGGTGTCCCGGTTGTTTGGGAGTCCGTTAGATCCATGGAAGACATTTTGCAAGCGTTCATTGAGTGGAACCTCTCTGTGGACTCTATTGTCACCGAATCCATCTTCAAATTTCTCACTGGAGTACCTACTCACCCCGGTGGAAGACATCGGACTATCTGGTGGGGACTTGTCGCTAAACTTGTTGCTCTTGATCCGGATATTTTCCTTCCAGCGGCCAAGGCAGTCGACTCCACCGGCTTCTTTTCTCAAAATGACCTCTCTCGTGCGCTCTTCCGTCAAATCTCTCAGTACTCACCTCATTGCCTCGATTCTACCGAGGAGGTTCAGCAGGATGATACATGGAACGTCACGCATATTATCTCTGGTCTCATTTCTACGTCAGACACCGGGTTCTCGACCGCTAGAACTGCGTTACGACAGTTTGTCATTGTCCCAATCATGAAATCATTCGCAAGGAATCGCGACCTGCTTGGCTTCATCAACAGATTGTCCGATCAGCTTCGTGCGACCGAAAGCAGCGTCGCAAACCCTTCGATCTGGCAAGGGCATGATCTCGTCTCCGCTCTGGCATTGGTCTTCGAAAACTCGTTGACGTTGACGCAAATGGCGAATCTGCTTCAACAGCATGATGACTCGCTTTCTTCCCTTCTCAAGACCCTCAACTCTGATCATGTTTCAAAACGGATGATGGACGAAGCGTTCCTCAAAGCTTCTAATGTAAATACTGCTATGGTTTCGATAATCATTCGCTGTATTCATTTGGACGACACCATTGTAGGACTACAAGACGTTTTGAAGGCCCTGCAGTCGGACTTGGTTGCTTTGGCAGACCTTGCTGCGTACAGAACCTATGCGGACATGGCAGAGACATGGACTGCTCTATCCCGGCTTTTTACCTTACTTTGGCCTTTGGAGTCTCAGACATACCTAGCCGATACCGGCGACATACTCCACTCGAAGATTGTTCAGCTCGCAAACACATCCATTGCCCCAGGTGGTGTCAATATCTGGGACGTGCATCCTGACATGGACGTTAGCTCAATGACAGCTGCTTTTGCGTTTATGGTTACCGTACTCGATTGCTTGCAGTGTATGCCCACCGCACAAGAAACTGTGGCTAGGTACTTGGATAAAGCATTGCGTGTCTTGATGCCTTCAGCCATTTTTGAGGAAGATGGAGAGATTAGCACGCATAGTTTGATTCACGAAGAATCGGCTGAAAAGATTGATTCATTGTCAGCCCACGAGTTCCTCCGATGTATGGAGAGACTGCTGGTAGGGTCTCCTACGCTGCTGGTGTACTTGAAACCAGATCTACGCGCTGCACTGTTCAATCTTCTCTTTGAGCTTGCTGCCATAGATCAGTCAGGGCGTGGTTATAAAGGTCTCCTGGTAGCATCCTCGGGCCCCATCCTCTCGTCAGCTGATCCTAAAATAAAAGGTACGTATGCCATAGTTGAAATCTCTACCCAAGCTGACTTGTATAGACGACCTCCTATCTGTAATATTCTCGGGCTTCGAAGAGGGTGGCTTGGAGCCCGAGCGCGATTTCTACGGTGGTGACTTCAATCACTTCTCGACGTCTCTTTACGCACAAATTCCGCTCAAGGCACTTTCTCGAAATCAGCGGGAGAAGATATTGGATCGAACGCAGGCTATCCTTCTCACCGGGGATGCGTCGAAAGAACAAGTACTGCGTCATCTTGCCCTCATGATCAGACTAATGGAGCTTCCTAATGCTACTGCCAAAATTGTAAGTACACAAGACTGTATCTCTTGGGATGAGGCTCATTATTCCTTAGTCTACGGACCCGTATGGACTGGAAAAAATAGCTGAGGTACTCAACACGGAGGAATTCGAAGCTAGCCCAGAAGTTACAGAAGCCTTCCGGCTTCTTGCCCGATTGACTTTACAGTAAGCACTTTTCCGGGTCATGAATGTCGATGATGCTAATGGTGTAGTCACATTCTTTCTGAGCCAGGTCAGAAACACAGCCAGGAATATCTCAAAAGACTTGAAGGAATGCTCAGCAATCTCTCCGTAGAGTCACACTCGTTCACACTCCAGGTAATGCTTTTTGTGGACGGCCTCATGTCAGTGTTGCGAGCCGGAAAGTATACCGCTGAAACTGGCATATACGATGAAGTTGCGCGCACATGCATTAAGTATTGTGCCATAAATTTGATTGTATCACGAAAATCAGGCCTGCTAGATCTGAAGGATCCGAAGGATCCGAAGGAAGAGTATTTCATGGTCGGTATTGAAACTGTCCTAGATCTGCTGAGTGAGGTTCCCGTTCATTTAGCTGAAAGAGAGGGTAAGTACTGCCCTTCAATGGCATCTTGGAAGCCGCTAACATCGTGTAGCGGAGCTTTACAAGAAAGTCAAAAACGTTGTGCGGGAATGGCTCGCTCCGTATATGAGTTCGAATCCAGTGCATATTCCAGCAGATCTAGCGTCAGCTAATTACTGGATTTCGATACACAAGCTAGCCGCAAGATTACAGATGTGCAACGGTGTCGGAGAATTCATTCAGCTATCTCGGGTGGTGTTGCGTCTGGGTACGATAATGACACATCCTCATGTGTTGAAAATACTAATGATTTCAGATCTGTCCGCCCGACAAGCGCAAAGCGTGGTTGACTTGGTCAAAGAAGCCTTTTTATCTTTCGATACGCCGACAATGTTGGAGCAGCTTTCACTATTGCTCCCTCAGCAAGAGGAGAAGCCTGATGCAGGATGTTTACGCATACTTGGCGTTCTTGTTCCTACTCTTGCGCGTAAGTTGTTTTCCAATATTCTGAGTTCGCCGCTAAAGGTTCATTCATAGCATCTGATGGTGCGGAGAACAAGACTCAGCTTCTGGCAATACTGGGAAATCTCTCGGCACGACTGACGATGTCCGACGACCTAGCTCGCTCCAATGCACTACTGGACTGCGTAGACACCATCCTTCGCTCCAAGGTACGTTATCAAGCGTCGAATTTCGCATCAGCACTGACCAATCTCGCTGCAGCACTTCATGGTGTCTCAATACGGCATCGAGACCTTCATCGGAGCTTTAACCGCTATCACATCTCCCGCAGGACCATACCTACCCGTATCGCAAGCTTCTGCGATCTTCATCCGCCTCTGCGATTCCATCCAGATCATCCTGTCACTCCACCGTTCTCGCCTCGGTGGCCGCTTCCACCTTCTCATGCCCCTTCTTCAAGCTTTCCTCACCTGCCTCTACATTCCTAACACTACCCGCCGCGGCACATCTACCGCCCACCTCCCACCATGGCTTGCTCCCTCTTTACACCCCCTATCGCCTGCCGCGGCAGTCGCCTTCACCCGCCTCCTGACCACTACGTCTTCCCCCACCGTGTCCGCCGTCTCGGGTCTCCAGAAGGGCCGCAAGAACTACCATGCTGATCTTGTGGATGCAACGAAGCAGGCGAGACAATATGCAGGGCAGTACATGCCTACGCTGATAGCCGCATTTTGTAAGAATATGCTCAGCGGGAGACTGGAGCCAGAAGTGAGAGCGCGACTGATACCCGGGCTGTGGTCCACGCTGGATTGTACGGATAAAGCGGCACTGAAGGCGATGAGTGCGGCTATGGATGGGAGTACGAGGGCTGTGTGGAAGGGGGTGTATGCTGAGTGGAAAAAACAGAGCAGAGAGAAAGCTGGGTGAGGGGATGGGAGGGAAGGAAGTTATTAAGAGTTTATGAGATGGGCATTGATGAGAGGGAAGTAGGTGACAATGCTGGGGGTGCCTCCGGGCTGGATTAAAAGTTAGGACGCCGTGTAGGAGGTTCTGCGACATAGATCAAGCCGAGAGATGTGGGCCATATCTTCCATATTTGGTCCGATTCTGTAAACCTTTGGTGGAGTTGTGATATTTTATAAATGCTGGTGGTGGCGTTCGGTAGGTGTGCCTTAGGTGGTACACGTGCCTGAGGTGGGGAAAACTTCTATCAGGCATCTCACAGCCTGGTATCTTCTCCAAACCCCCAGAATAGTTCACAAATTACCTTCGGATCTGCTAATCAGAGCCAGGACCATGGAAGCACTGGCTGCAGTCGGTGCCGCGGCGTCGATCATCCAACTCACAGACATCGGCCTCAAGATATCAACCAAGCTCTTCACATTCGCAGAAACGGTGCTCGACGCCGAAGAAACGGCTGGGAAGATAAGCGCAGATGTCTCTGTGACTTGCGGCATCCTGTAACTCTTGAATATCACGCGACCTTTGTGTAATCAACTACTGACGACTTCTCAGATCTCAGCTCAAAGACCTCATCGACCCATACGGCGTCGCCCACCCTCTCTTAAGCTCTGAAGGCCTCAAACAAGTACAGCAAGCCACCGATATCTGCAAAACCGTATTCCAGCAACTTCAAGATGTCTTGGAGAAAGCGAGTAAGGAACTAGTTACTAATAATTCGACCCCCGGGGGGGGGGGGGGGGGGGGGGGGGGTGGGGAAGGAAATCAAGCTGTCGAAGTCTGAGAAGGCGAAAGTGGCCTTTTTTGCAGCTGAAGATTAGAAGATTAATAAAGTTAGGACCGAGTTGACTAGTACGAAGAACAATCTTATGGTGGTTCTTCTGATCGCTCAGTTGGCTGCTGCAAAAGGGAGGGAGGGCGAGGTGGTGGATGGCGGGTGAGCAAAGAAGTCTCTAGTTAATCTTGCTGGACCTGCCAATTGTTCGTTAGAGATGGGAATGCTGGTGATGATAGTACAACTGCGCTGTCGTCAGATCAAAAGAAGCGATTTCGGGCTACGGTTCTGGCCATTCGTCGGTATAAACACTTTTCCAATGCCAGGGCCGATATTGCTACCGACATGCGGCGCTCAATTAATTTGGCATCTGCCCACAATGAAATCACACAAGAGGATAACGAAAGAGAAGATGAGGGCGAACATGATGAATGGGGAAGTACTGAGCCAATCGCCTGGGCCAATTCTCCTGCAAGAGATCCCGCAAGCAAACCTGTCGTAGAAATGCTGCCAATCAGTAAAGACACCATCACGCAGTATATGGAGCAGTATGACAACAATCCGGGCTTGGTAATGGAGCAGACGGAAGATCTAAACCTTAACCAACTCCAGATGGTGCTTGATCACGTGCGCGAGAAAGGGCTGACATTCATTTGGGTGGGTGAGATGGGCCGGTATACAATGGAAAGTACACATGGAAATATGACTGCCACGACGCTGATTCGGGTTACAAAGAGAGTATCTAGCGCGAAATCGAAAAGATACTCTATTTCGTCCAAGATTGTACGTCTCCCGTTCGCCATCATATAGCAATCTCCCTGGCAAGCTAACCTTTGACTAGTGCTGAAGAGGAAGACTGAGATAGAACTGGAACCAAACATGTCTATCGACGCGGTGAAAGCCTTGAGTTACAAGACGAAACAGATAAAGATCGACGAGCAGCGTCTCGTGTATGTGCAACTACAAGATTGTGCCGAACAGCACTATCAACCTTTTCCTGAGCCTTCGTGGTGGAATGCAAATCTTTGTGAAGCACCGTAAGTATTACTGCTACTTAGTCATAGAGAGTCGTCATTATGGATTGCTAACCTCACTTCAGTAACTGGAAAAACAACCACTATTGAAGCAGAAACGTCCGATACGATCCTCAATATCCAAAAAGGATCCAGGACAAAGAGGGAATCGTCCCTGACATGCAGCGACTGGTTTTCGCTGGCGAAGTGCTCGAGGACCGCCGAACGCTGGCTTATTATAACATTGAGAAGGAGAGTACGCTTCTCTTAGTCCCCCGAGTTCTCAATGAAGCATTGGCGGCAGAGACACCGAGGAATCGTGTGTCTCAAACACAGGAAGTAATGGGGGAGAGCGGTCACCCTGGCGATCAAGTAGAGCAGGGCGTGAGGGCTCATTCGGAATCCGATTCACCGTTGATCGAGGACGTAGATGGGCTTGGCGATAGCGATGAAGGGGACAAATCGTTAGTTGATGATCTCATCGCACGCTAGACGACTGTTCTCGATGTGGAGGATGATGCTTCCTAGGGCCATTTCTAGATGCTCTAAAAGGAACGATCGACAGCATGATTAAATGCGATGTATTTTGTTTAGCTGCATAGTTAAACAATGTTCTGGTATCCATAGAATTGACTATTGATAGTCAAGTCACAATGATGAAGCTTTCACTATTGATAGTCCACAACTCTACAAATTAGTAGCATTTAAGGAGCTCTAACCCATCTCAACTAATTCCTTCCCTTGATCAACTTCGCACACTACGTCCCACAAACCATCCCACACACATTATCCCTCTACCTGTTTTTCTCACACAGCACACAACACAATAATTGAACTTTACACAGCAAAATGCCGCCATCAGGCTACCATCTGTTCTGGAACAACCTCTCATACACTCCATGGCCAACGGAGGGGCTCTTCGCAGAACCTCTCCCGTATCCACGTCCACGCATCGACGCCAGGGTCCTAGAGCAGTTCCTCCCAGCCGATAGAAACCGAGCGCTTCAAGGCCTCCGAATGGCCGCGATCGATGAGTTTCTCGCTCCCATGATTCTCGATCGTCTACGGAACGAACGCCCCAGGGATACACACCATTACCGCGAGATATTCATGGCAAACCATCCCATCAGGGGACAAGACTTTCCAACCGCAGAACAGCTAGAGCCCTTGCTTGTATCTGCGCGAGGCTTCATATCCCATGAACGCCAGGTTCTTGGCTATGACTACTTCAGGGTCAAGATCTCTCGGGAGATTTGGAATGAAGCAATGCCATATCTAGGTCTCCAGGATGGTTGGCATGACGGTGCTAATCTCACGCGTATCATAGCCTCTTACATTAGGTTTGACTTCGTTGAAGGAAGGCCGACGTGGCGCGGAGCGGGCTTCGACGATGATGTGTTCAACGCCGCCGTCGCAACGCCAATCGGCGGCAGTGGCGGAGTCTGGCGTCCAGGCGCCAATCAAGGTGAAGACAACGGCCAGCATTCGGTTCTAGATGTTGCCGTTCGATGCCAAATACCCGATAGCGAACCCGAATGCAGCATTTGCAGGGAAGAATTAGAATATGACTTGACTCAAGATCAAGACCACGGCCCGGTTCGAACCGCATGCCAGCATGTCTTTGGAGAGTCCTGCTTGCAAAGCTGGCTATTAGGCTTCCCAATAGAACTGGCCAACTGCCCCATGTGCCGTCGCCCTTTGCGACGTCCCGTCGAAACTACCACTGCACCCTCTGAAGTCGGCCAAGCCCAACAGACTGCAGAGAATACCGAGGAGACCATCCCCACGGCGATTCCAGAGAATACTGTGGTTAATACCATGGCTGAAGCTCGACAGCTCGCAGAACACACGCAGGGCTCCATGAATGACCTTATGGAGGCAGCGCTAGCTGTCCTGGGCAACCTGGATGCCCCAGAAGGCTTGAATGAGGCTAAAGACAAAAAAGACTAGCTTTCTTGACGTCTGCAGCACATCGTACACGTGTTAGCCGCTGGAAAGCTCTGCGTAGGAGATAGTATGAGAACATGATTCTGACAAATTGAATTTTGGATGGCCACGATTCCGTATGCAGAGAGCAATGCTCCTGTGCGGAGGCCGCTGAGAATAGCATACCTCAATAGCAATGACGAAAGTCAATAACCCCAATTTATTTCCCTGCCATGTGACTCGAAAAGTGACTCGAAATGGGCTTCGTGGTAACGGAGAAGAGAGGTCTAAGCTGCCTACCATGCTACTTTCCTATGTGATTCGGCGGCTTTCGCTATCCCTATGCATCCTCACTATCGTTGGTTAACATTTCTTGTATGGAAGAAATGACATTGTGAGATAATGATACTCACCCAATAAAGACACTCCAATCGGCCGTAAACAACTCTCATACTCTGTTAGCACGCCTATCCACACTTGTGCTAAAGGTACAATTATTTCAAATTTCACGCTAGGAGTATGGACCTACCCTCATAAAATCACGAATTCGGCTACATTGAAAGGTTCTGTCACAGGGAAATCCTAAGTTGGCTAAGAGTTGAATCTAGTTACCGTCATCGAGTCTTTTATGGCTTTTCGCGTGTAAAGCGCCGCTCCATGCGTCAGGAATACGCACTTCAGAGTAGCTTATCGACAGAGCTGTCTAATGACATAGAGACATACACACGAGGCCGCTGCAAGCATCAAGCAAGCTCGGCCTGGTCATCTCCATCTTCAGTGCTATAGGACTCTTCTAGAGCCTCCAAATCAGCTAGCGAAACTTCTTCTACGCCATCCTCCAAAAACGTTTCAAATCGTGACATGTTGTTCCGCATATTTTCCTGAAGCTGTTGCGCGTCAGCCAGAGCAGCCGGAATCGCAGCACCTACAACCTTCGGGATAGCAGATCGCGGTGTAGTCTCCACAGCAGCCGCTCGCTCTCTAAACTGTCGCTCTTTATTCTCCCGAATCAACTCTCGTCGAGCTTTAGGAGTCATGAAAAACCCCGTGCGGTTCTCGATTGGCAGTTCTAGGATTCGCAGGCACATCGGGCAAGATGCCTGGTGGCGAGGGAACCTCTGGACCCAATTGCTAAGACACTCCTCACCGAAGACGTGAAAACATGCGGTCTGAATAGCACGATGCTCATCGTTCGATTCCTCTTTGCAAATTGCGCAGGTAGGCTCATCTTCAGGAACATCACACCGAGTAACCACCTCGTCGAGAGACATCGGGCGATAGCCTACACTGCGATATTGAGATTCTGATTATGATGGCTTTTGAGTGTGGTGTGGAACAGGGTGAGAGTTGAGTGTGATTAGGTGAACATGACAGAGACTGGGGGAACCTTAGTGTACCTTTAAATGGTATCGCGTTGCGAGTGAATTGTGGGGCATGGGTAGTGAAAGTAGAACACTGTCAAAGTCTTTCCCGACATGAAACTCGCATCCGTTCTGGGAGAACTGAGAACATTGTGTAGCGATAAGACAGTATTATCATTATAGTCAGATATTAGGAGATGTACATGCGATGCAAAAACAGTTTTGCTAATTTGCACAGAAAATGGGCAAATTGGCACAGAAGTTAGAAAAGATGTGGTATTTGAGGATGATCAGTCAATCGTTTTCCGAGAGTGACAAATTGACTGGCGGCAGACAATGTTGGTAAGGTTGATGGACAATGACTTGTCTCAACTAGGCCGAAATGCGAATCTTGTACAGTGCGCCAGTCATTGTATGAGACCTATACAATGCTGAGAATGAACTATAAAAACCATCAGCATCTCATCTATCGTCAGCATCGGAACTCAAAAAGCAATCTTCACGCTCGCAATGCGAGCCTTCCCATACACATACAAGAACCTTCCTCCTGACCCACCACGGAGCCCCGGCTCTTCCCCACGTCACACCAGACTTCAGCTAGCATGATCTTCATTTCGACCGCCCCAGAAGAGCTCAATGACCTCTTGAAGCCCTTCGATCTTACACCCGAAGGCCTCAACCTCGAGTTCGAGGGCGTATCACTGACACTTGACGGAGAATGGGCCAATCCTTACGAGGCCGGCCGCCTACTCTTCACAGCCGAGTTACTAGCTTACACTATCATTTCCCGCTTCTCGCAGGGGATGAGCATCTTCAAAGTCGAGGAGGAAGCGCGAAATTTCCTGGAAGCGCGGCTGAATGATGGCACGATCTCCGAAGAAGCTTGCTTCAACCTCAATCCCGAAGAGATATGCTTGAGCATCGGCGCCCTCACGGGGGATGCCAGGGACGGAGATCCTATCTTGGAGGGTTGGACGCGGGAGGATGAATACTGGGTTGTCGAGCGCATCGTAATCGCAGCGCTGAAGATTGTCGCGGTGGAGACACTGCCATTCATCGATGGAGAGGGGACCGGGGCACTAGAGAAATGGGATGACGATGATGTCGAAGAATTCGAGCGCGGGTATCGCGATGGCGATAACCCGCCCGAGGAAGAGCTCCCGCCCATAACCCTCGAAGCGGTGGGCGAGAAGATAGATATTTCTGACTTCGCTCGTCGAATTGAGTGCCCGTTGCCTCCTGATATGTCTTGCGCTATCTGTTTGCTTCCGCTGGCGGGAGCTGCGAATAGCGGAGACTGGTCAGCGAGGACCTCTTGCGATCACTATTTCCATGATGGCTGTTTGAGCAACTGGATTAATGAGAGTGCGCAGGCTAACAGCCATCGATGTCCATGTTGTCGCACGGAATTGTGCGATAGACGCGAGCGTCGCCCGATTGATGATTAGAACAGCTGAGAAATGACCCTGATCTACTGTTCTGAACCTTGTTTGAGCACTCAACCTGATACTTCAACGGCGTCCGGACTTTCGTCTGAGCACTAAACCTAACATTCTAGCTGTCAGCCAATGACCAATGATCTTGGCTGAAAGGTGAACTTACTTCACTGTTCAGAATACACTTGAACACCCCACATATCGAATGGAAAACACATTTTGTACCAACAACTTTGAACTTTGCAATGATGAAAGAATATAGACCGTGAATGACTTGAACAAACGAAGATGCTAGAAGGGGATCGTAGACACAGTCAACTCATAGTTATGAGGGACTTTCCATTTGCACAATGTGCCTGACTATCCGTATGGGGTTTATACACGTGAGACAGACTCAACTGTTACTCCCAAAATCCCCGTAACGCCGCAGGCATCCTGCCTACTAATGCCACCAATATACAGCAATATGATACACTCCTCCACTCTTCTAGGACACATCGTAACTCTTTGTTTAATTGAACTTTGCCTCCCCCGGCACATCCTTAATATCCTCCAGCTTGCTCCCCAGCTTCACAACCGAGTATTTGATCAACCGCGGATCTAGCCCCATCGTTCTCCGCAACGCGTGCTGTGATTTTGCCGAGCTGTCGAAGCGCATGATGAAGTGGTGACCGGTGTAGTGTGTGGATTGGAGTTTTTTCGCGGGCGCGGGAAGGAGAAAGGTGCCCCAGTTGGAGTAGCCACGCACAACGCCACCGCTATTGATGATAATGCTTCCGGCGGTTTTTGCGATTCTAGTAATAATGTCAGACGAGAGACGGACTGCATTGTAGGTTTTGACGGAGTTGGTGCAGGTACGGAGGAGCGGAAAGCGTACTCTTTGACTTCTGAGACTCTGCCCGGACGGACCTGTGTACTGTTAGTAACATTCCACCGTGATCAAAGCCTTGGACACGAGAGACTTACAATCCCAATTAATTCGTACAACATGGTGTCCCTGCTTTGTAGTTGATAGCTTCACGACGGCGTATCAAAAAGGACGGCCGCATAATAGTTTCACCGCCGCCTAGCGCAGATTTACCTCGTCATTCTTCAACTCCGAGCGCGCTCACGCTTTACGACACCACACCACTGTAATGGCTTCTCGACTCCCGATCGCGCGGGCAGCACGCCAATTCGCCTCTTCGGCCGCTCGTCGTCCCTCTGCGCCTGTGGAATTCTCTTGCAGAAGATGGCAGGCAGCTCCAGCGCTGCAGAGTCGGCTATTCTCGGTGTCCGCTGCAGGTGAGAAAGATTTTGGTTTTGATAAAGCCCGATGTTTAGAGTTTCTAGTGTTGAGGCCCTAATATTTCTTGGGGGATTTTCAAAGAATAGTGTAATATGAGATCTGAACTAAAACCGTACAGTCCGTGAGAAGCAGTACACGGAAGACCACGAATGGATCGAGAAGTCCGCTGACGGAAAGACCTGTAAATCCCCCAATTACATACGAAATCCCAATATCTAACACAGCCCAAGACACCCTTGGAATCTCCGAATACGCCGCCCACGCCCTCGGTGACGTCGTCTACATTGAGCTCCCCCAAATCGACCTAGAAGTCAGCGAGAGCGACGCAATCGGCGCCGTCGAATCCGTCAAATCAGCTTCAGACATCAACACGCCCGTCAGCGGCACTGTGACCGAAGTGAACAAAGTGCTAGAGGAGAAGCCGGCTCAGATCAACAAGGACCCGGAAGGCGAGGGTTGGATCGCGAAGATTGCGGTGACGGAGGAGCCGACGGGCAAGCTGATGACGGAAGAGGAGTATAAGGCGTTTACTGAAGATTAGGAGAAGATTGGGGAATCTTGGGGATAATATCTGAGGTGTACATGATTTGGGAGGCCGGATTTTGCTCTTTCAACAATCGAGCGATTGAATTTTGGGTTGGTTTTCACAGATTCATCTATGTTCACTACGATCTCAAGGTACATGCACATTTGGTTGCCACTGATTCTTAACGTATTTGCTTTAGTGCTGTATTTCTATCGTTCGAAAAGCCTTGTACTACTGACTTCGACAGGCGCCGATTTGACATCCGGCATAAGCATTGGGTTCGCTTATTCACGGGTCTTCTAACAGGCTATCATCTGACTGTAATTCTTACTGCTGTCTTTTACCTAATAGCACCCCAGGATCAGTCCACCCTCATACCATATTATCCATCAATGATGCTTTCTCGTCAACAAACACCCATCCTTTCTCTCCCTCGCTCTCAGCATCCAAAAAAGCGCTCGTATCTCCGCCTTTTTTCTCATAAAAAATTCTTCGTTTCTTCTCCCACATCTCGTCCTGCTCAATCCATCCATGGCGCAGTGACAGTCCTCTCCTGGGCACAAAAGCCAGCAGAACCCCTTTACTATGGCGATGATGAAATGTGGGAAAAACCACGCAAGAAAGCACACATCAAACGCCAGGCTAGGCACCACCTCATCCAAGTCTCCTTTCCGGTGTTCACGCTTTGCCTCGGTACTGTCGGTCAACATCCCCGTAAGGATTATCAGCGGCATTAGGATCGCAAACAGCTTGAACAGCTTGAAATATGGCCCGAACACACTCCAAAACCTTTCTTTCTTTGCGGATTTCTGTCATAGTTGAAATTTAGTGTGAAATTTGTCCATTTAATTTCGAGGGGTTACTCACATCTACGTCCCACATCCTCAGCAACACACACACCACACCCCCCACAAAAAAACTGAACAAGCAAGCATTGCCCTCAGCCGTGCTAAGGTAGACTAGCCATAGATTTGTCCTACCCTCCAGCCTCTTCGCGCCTAACCAGTATATCATGGGATCTTGCTCGGCCTCAGCCACCGTCCCGCCTACGCACAGGAAGCGGCGAAGTAGTAGACGACTCAAATGAGCCAGTATGACCAGATTTGATGTTTCATCCACCGCCTAAAGAGTAGGATGAGAAGGAGAGCTGCAACTTCGCGGCTGAGGGCAGAGAACGCAGAGAGGTTGGCTGATGTTTGTTCCGCGAAGTAGGCCATGACGGCGATCATAGAGGTGGCTTCGAGGTAGCAGAGGATTACCTCTCCCTAGTGGAGGAGGCCTGGGGTACAAGTTGGGCCAGCAGGTTGCGGTGGTAGGGTAGCTTGCTTCTCGTTCAGGCAGTTGGTCTGGTTTTCGTTTGTGGTGGACGACATTTTGTTTGCTCGAGACGAGATGTTTTACTTTGGAGAAGTGGGTTGGGAGTGAAAGGTCTCGAGAGCGAGTGGGAAATATTTATGAGATTTGAGTGTAAAGGCTCGGATGGTTCGATGTCAGAGCATGCAACCTTGTTCCAAGGTTTAGTTGAGGTAGCAAGTTTAGAACCGTGGTTGAATTGAGCCTACCTCGATCAAGGACAGTTTCCTCACACCGCTCATTATTGCCTATGGTGCCTCAAATCCATTTTAAAGCCCATATTAAAAGGTCTATAATCTTGAACGATCCGTAAACTCGCTGGGTCACCGTACGCGAAACGGCCATTGTCTACCACTCATGATACATTAATGTTCAAAGAAATACTAGAGCACCTCAAGTAGTGACAAGAGTATATTGAAGTACGAAAAACCCTACGGCGAGTTATTCTATCGTCACAAATTCTCAAGATACAGTCCTTAGAAGTTCCTCCAGGATTATTCTAGTTTGAGATGAATGCTCTGATTGGTGTAGCTGGGGTACCTAGTGGCTTTGCGGACATCAGAGCCCGGATAAACACTCAACCCCAGCCTCGATCATCGTGATGTTTTCCGAGAGATCCACAGCTCTCCGCTTTAGATATATAAGTTACCGCTAATCTTATTCCGCTAGCTTCACGGTAAACTCTAATTTAACTACCACCCCCGCCATCACCATATTCATCTTGATATATACCCACCAAAACCTCAACCCCCATATCCATCTACAAGAAACCACCCAAACCTCACCAACACCACTATGTCCGCTCCTTCACCCCCTCCCACCTCCACTGCCGCCATCCCCTGCCCCAAAACCTCACCCCCCTACAACGTCGCCGTAATCGGCTACGGCCTCTCCGCCAAAATCTTCCAAATCCCCTTCCTCACCTCCCCAACCTACAAGCTCTACGGCATCGTCCAGCGCACTCCCAACCCCGCCTCCAACCCCGCCACTGATTTCCCCGGCACTATCGTTTGGCGCACCACAGACGCGATGCTCGCCGACCCCGCCGTGCACATCGTCATCATCACCACTCTGCCCGACTCCCACTTCGCCCTCGCAGAAGCGGCTCTCAAGGCCGGCAAGCACGTCGTCGTCGAGAAGCCCTTCGTCCCCACGAGCGCAGAGGCGGACGCGCTGGCCGAGATCGCGCGACAGAGCGGCCGCAAGCTGGCGGTGTACCAGAACCGGCGCTTCGACGCCGATTTCCGCACGATTCAGAAACTGATCAAAGAGGACGTCTTCGGCCGCATCGTGGAGTTCGAGACGCACTTTGACCGGCACACGCCAGTCAGTCCGGCGGGGTGGCGGCAGCAGGCCGGGCGGCCGGGGGTCGGGCAGGTGTATGATCTGGGGACGCATCTGCTGGACCAGGTGGTGTGTTTGTTTGGGATGCCGGCGCGGGTGACGGCGTTTGTGGGGAATCAGCGGAGTGGGAGGGAGATTGGGGGTGAGGTGGTGGGGGGTGAGGATGCGTTTACGGTGCTGTTGCATTATAGGGATGGCCTGTTAGTGACGGCGAAAGCGGCGGCGATTAGTCCTGAGAGCGAGCAGTTGAGGTTTTGGGTTAGGGGGGAGAAGGCGAGTTTTAGGAAGGTGAGTGAGGGGATTTCATACAGTGATGCGGTCGAAGCTTTTCCTACACATGCAAAATTCTCAGAGCGTATCGTAAGCGTTCCTATGGCTAATATTTTCCATCCTCATAGTACCATCTTGACTGCCAAGAAGATCAACTCAAGGCTGGTCTTCGCCCTGGCGATCCCTTCTACGCTGTCGAGCCAGGGAGTCACTACGGTTTGTGCCAACCCCCTCCCCTAAACTTAGAACATCATCTAACACGAAACAGGCACCTTGACTACAATCAAAGACGGCTCCTTCATCAGCGAAAAAGTCACCCCACCTATTCCTGCAGCCACGTATACAGAGTTCTACCGCCTCTTCGCTAAAGCAATCGAAGAAGACGGCCCAGTCCCCGTGTCCGCAGAAGAAGCGAGCAAAGTGATCAAAGTAATCGAACTAGCTCAAGAAAGCTCGCGGTTGTTCCAAACCGTAAGTGTTTCGTAGATAGATGATGAATGCATATGCAATTCGTTTCAGCATACTACATGAGTCATGAAAGACGATCTAATTACATTGGGCTGCACAAGGGGGGTGGGATCGAGCTGAGTTCGTGGCCCTTTGTGAATCAGTTTGAATGGAGTGAATGTTTGTGGATGAAAGTTGGGAAAGGACGCTGGGGTGGGTTCCAGCCAGACACATCATGGGATAGTAGCCGGAAAGGGGTCCTCCCGGTGACACAACAACCCGTGCTCTACGTTATCGTCTCTAAATTCTTCCTATTTGTCACAACACCCTCCTTTACATCATCGTCCTGTTGACCTAACCCCCTACACGTGATCATCTCGCCCTGCACACCCATCTCGTTCCCGTTGTTCTCTGCTACGGCCTTCAATCGCGCCGCGGCACCAGAAAGGACAGAGAGGTTTGCGTCGAGGTCATCGTCTTCGGAGTCAAGCTCAAAGACGTATTTCCTGCGATTCTGGGTGGCGATGGTGGTAGTAGTGGAGTGAGGTTCCTCAGTCTGGGTAACAGAAAGCAAGTAATCTTGCGCTGCAGGTCAACGTAAGCCGATCACCGATGTCATTTTGGAAGAGAGAGCAGCAAGAGTAGGGAGGGCTAGGTACTTGTAGATGTTGTCTCCTGTTTGATGGCTGTGCTAGTTCTATCGACGTTTCGTGCGCTCGATGTACGGGGTTTAGGACATCCTGGTATACTCCGCATGGGGGTCGGAGGGGTGTTCGAGATGCTCACACTATTTTCCTCTTTGAGGGGTTGAGGGAAGGTAGAGGGCTCTATATCACGTGACGACATCTTTTCCCCAACTGAACAGGGCTTGGAGGTTTACAAAATGATCATATATACCGGTGGATGCTCAAGCAGAGAATATGAAATTAGAAGGAGGTCGTGTGAGGTGGCTATCCTACATAATAATAGCATGAAGGCGCAGCAAAGCTAACAAGCACAGCCACCAATTGAAATACGCCAGGGGTAAGCTGCTTGGGATGGCATCAGAAATCAAGCCGTGAACTCGTTGCTTGTTCCTTCATCAATTCAAACGCCTCATAAAACTCGGAGATGTCCCACGGCTCGTAGTCAGAAGGAGACAAAGCTTCAGTGCGGGAAGTGCGTGGAGGGGGAGGGGCGAGCTGTAGATGTAAGCAGCGTCGTAGATTCTCATTGCCAAACGAGCATCTTTCCTTAAACCACGCTGCTGTCGCTTTAACACGCTCGGCGCGGTCTGGATTCCCAAAGTCGATGAAGTAGGGTCGGTAGACGACACCATCAACGCCAGTGGCATGTAAAAGAAACGTCATGTCTTGCAAATTGGGAAACACCCTAAGCAACCTTTGACAGCCCCAGACCACCCTTGGCCAGAACTTGCTTTCCCAGTCAGCGCCTCCGTTGGTAGGATCGATCAAGGCCTCCGGGGCAAAGGGACTGCTTCCAAGTGTAACATGGCGGACGAGAGGGGCATAGCGGGCGGATGCAAAATCTCCTTCTGGCGTATAAAGGCGGAAATTGTTGCTTCCATATAGTATTGGACTACACTCTGCGTGAAATTGGCGGCATGTTCGCATCATGCTTGTAGACAAGACTGATGCTAGAGGCACTGGTTCAGGCGGCCCGACACTCTTCTCTCTAATATTCTTCGCAGCCCAAACGACTCCCATGAACTGGTGTGGCTTCGTGTATATGATGATCGCTCCGGGAACCTGGAGTGCGTGCTCGTAGATAAGGTCGCGAAGCTCTCTGGGAAGGTCCAGAAAGTTTCTCTTGCCTGCCATCCCGAGAAGAAGAATACTGCCTTGTTATAAGTCTGCATGATCTCGCTTGCCATTGAGTGATGTGCTCTAGTACCTTTCAAAGATATGGATACAATTTGAAGATTGCTGAGACAAGATTTAGGCCAGCTTTTGCAGGCTTTGTCAGATTAGAGTCTGACGAGGCCAACTTGGAGGTGATGTCAAGCAAGCAAGAGTGGCGCGGCGGAGATGAGCGCTGATGCACAATATGATTAAATTACTAGAAGAACTCCTGGGTACTTGAGGACGGTGGTCGTTGGTGTTCGAAAATTGGGAGTGGGGTGAGGTCCAAGGGTCCTGGGGTCCTGGAGAGGCGCGTGGGGCGGCCCCGAAATCATGCTAGGCCAGGAGCGACAAGCCTAGGTATCCTCAAACCCAAGGCGTCCTAGCTACATAGTACCACCGGCGGTAACCCCTGACAATATCCTATTCTCTACCCGTCGACTGGCCCCTCAGCTAGTAAATCTAGAAACTCTGGAACTACATCTTCATAGACAGCCCAACCATGTTCTCCATACTCATGCGGAGCCATTTTAACTAAGAAGACATCACCCCAAAAATGGTCGCGGATACCAATATCGTTCACAGAACTACCCCTGATCCAGGCGGGAACAGACAAATTTTCCGGTAGATCATCAACGGCGAAGGAGAAAAAAACGTAATAGGCTCCCGTGCAAGACGAACGGTGCTGTTGCAAGAGATGAAACTTTTGACTGAGAAGATACCGCTGTCGGAGATACTGTAGTTGCACGCGATTATGACGTTGGGGGGACTGAAGCAGTCGCTGGAAATGATGTTTTTGCTGGAGATGATGCTGTCGTTCGACCTGGAGATGTTGCTGGAGATCAAGTCTGCACAGGTCGCGATATTCCCAGACTCGTTCCGTATTCCAATAGTGGCGTAGGTCAGGAACGTGGAACAGGAAGCTGTCCATGCCACTGGAGTCGCTTATCGTGCTAAGTGAAAGGAGATGGGCCGGAGCGCCGTCGGCTGGTATTCTGACACCAGTGATGGTGACAGGTGGAGGACTTGCCGGCCGCTCTTTTTTCCAGCCAAGGAAGGACCAGATTGAAGCGGCCATTGTGAAAGTCGGCGTAAGATAGAAGTCCATGCAGAGTTACGAATGGTCTCGAGTGAGTGAGGCCTATCCGGCAATGCGACACCCAGGGTGTAGATTCTGGAGCACTTCAAAAATGACGCTCGGTGGGGTAGGTAGAAAACCTAACAGGCATGTTTCGAATGGCAGAATCATGAATTATTACACCTTATATCCTCCAACTCGGTCTTAGAAGTACTGGACTGCCTACATTGCAGGTCTCTTGCTTAGCCAACGTTTCCTGACACTTGGAAGATCATTTCCGACGGGATAAGCCTCAAATGATCTAAATTTGCACGAGCTCTCCCTAGACCTGCATCATTGCGGCACAGCAGCGCTTCTGCGTTTCAGCAGTGCAGCCTTCCTACAGTACTGGTTGGTTGCTAGATTGACAAGTGTAGGTGGCCCCAAGCCTGTCATGGCTGAGATGAAACTCTTTCGCAATTCAATTGACACGACCTTCCGAAATTTATCAAACTACTTATGGCCCACGATACAGTTGTCCATTTGAACGGATGGATACAAGCCCCAAACCTAAGAGGCACAGACAGCATCATCTGAAACTGTTTCTTCGCGATCTTCGTCTGCACCTAGACGGTCCAAGGGTCCTACACCTCAATGTACCTGCGCAGGGCGAACGCTCCTGGCAGACATACGTACGAAAAACCCGATGGATGATCATGGCGATCATCGTTCCAGAACTAGTCACGGCGTCTGCTTTTGCGCAGAGAATAGCCGCCCAAGACTTCGTGCGCTCCATAAGCCAAATCGTCGGTTGCGAGGAATGGTCGCTCTGCCATGCTTTCTATCTAAATATGGGCGGGGCATGGCTCCAGCCTCGTGACGGTAAAGCGTTTCCAATCAACGCGACACAGCTCGAGTTCCTAGTCAAAAGAGAGGCGATGAAAGTTCCCGACTTGAAAAAGAGGGACATATGGGATCGCAGCAAAGCGGACAAGTTCGCAAAACTATTAACTTGTTTGCAGATTTTCTAGCTAGCAGTACAATCGGCCGGACGAGGCGCTCAGAACCTCCGTGTTACTCCGCTAGAGATTGCAACCTTAGGCTTCATGATACCATCCCTAGCTACTTTCATTTTGTGGTTCTCTAAACCCGTTGATATGGAGGTGCCGACCACGTTGGTAATCGACATTTCCACCCAAGAGCTTCTCGGAAGGTCAGCCCGCAGAACTCCAACTGGAGAGAGACCCCGCTGAACTTTATTCAAAAGGTCAATACTCCAAGCTTCACATCACATTTGATCATCCCAAACACGTGGTGGCCGGGTAGGAAGAGGTTTATAGGCCCAGCGACCCTCATACGAAACGATGGGTTTGGACTGAAATACTCAATTCTTGACCAAGTAGTCGTAGCTTCTGTACGGGCTGGCTATGCAGGGACGCATTACTCGGTGTGGAATTTCAGCTTTCCAACCAAGACAGAGCTGCTTCACTGGAGATTGAGCTGCTTGATCATGACTGGCTCAATGTTGGGTTTCTGGACAACGGGGAATCGCAAATTATTCCTCCTTTTCTCGTACTGCACGCCAAGGGGAAGTTTAGAAAAGTGGCGTATGAACAACAAAAAGTCTCAGGAATCCAGATCACAATCGGGCTAGTCGAGGGACTGGCTTAATTATTTGCCAGGTTGACCTTGATTGCGCTGGCCTTTTCGTCGCTGAGGTCGTTGCCCAAGGGTGCATTTCAAACTGTGCAGTGGACAAATTTCTTGCCGCATTTCAATTGAGCGCGGCTTTCTTATCGAGGTTTTCCGGCGGGTGTTGATATTTTTCGGCTCTTACTGAGATGAATTGAAGCATTTGATAACTTCCAGTGCCACAGGGGCCCACTTCATAATGCCATTGTGACCTTAGCAATGTCAGCAATCGTGATGCACTTGAGGAAGAGTTATGAGAAGCTTGGGGTGAAAGCGAATCTCACATAGGAAGTATAGAGGCTCGATACATACCACCATAGCTTACTAGGACTTTCTTTATAAGTTTCTGCTCTCCTTCCCATTCCTGAACCGTGCCTCCGTCGCCAAGCCCAATGCTCTGACACACATTATTTATTTCACTTATCGAGTTGCGACTACCCAGCGCTTCTTGTACAGCATGATAGAACAACGTCTCGGTATTGAAGTCTATCACCTCATCATTTTCCGCTGCAAAGAACGTCAATCGGAGAGAAATACTCGCACTCACAATGCGACTAATCCGGTGCTTGGTATCCCATCTGTCTTGAAATCTAGCGAAAAACCACTTTCTAACAGGTTTGATGGCGTTTAGTGGTCCTAGTAGCGTGAAATGGCCAAGAATCTTATAGGACAAAATAGCAGTGGGCGCGTCGGGGAAGGCAGCACACAGCATTAGACCAGCAAGCTCAAAGCTAGGGTCCTTTCGAAGGAGTGCGTCGACTGCTCCACTTGCTACCGCTGTGCCGAGACTTTGCGCAAGGAGAACGATGCGATTTGATGGGACCTTTCGAACCGTCGTAGCCCACTTGATCACCGATAAGGCGTCATCTATCAAGCCTACTTCAGAAGGAGAGCCCGAAGAGCGCGCGAAGCCGCGATAATCGAAGGACAGGACATGGATTTGTTGTGAAAGTCCAGAAGAGATCATGCGATATGCATCCGTGCGGCGTTCCTGGCCAACTGAGCCGGCGTTTCCATGAAAATAGATGACCAACCGACTCTCGGGGTCTCTGAGGAGTCTAATTGAGATGTTGTCTACACTTGCTGAGTCTCGAGCCAGAAAAGCGCGCTCATTCCTAGCATACAAGGCTAGAGGCGATACCAGCCATGCGTAGAGACTTTCCCCGTCTGATGTCGGTATTCGAAGTGGTAAGACCTGGTTGTGCAGGAATCCAGAACTTTCAGGCTTGTCAAGCTTCTGGCCCCACCATATTGGAGCCTTGTGGAAGTAGAATATGTGGCGCTGAAATCTTCTGCTGGTGGACAGGACGACGCACGCGAAGATGCCCGTGGCGAGGCCTATCAGCGTGGCGGCGCACTTTTTGAAGACATGGTCAAGACTCATCTCTTGATATGGACCCTGAAGCGAAGTGCAGATTGCTGCTTACGAGGGAACAGCTGAGGATCAATTGGGGACGAGAAGACTGTTTTGTCAGTGACGATGGAAACTGGGCTGCGATCGTGCGGCGCTTAGGCACATGTCACTGGGCTACAGTTGCCAATGCCAGCTCCTTGGCTGCAGAGCTACGTGCTACAATACCAGAAATCGAATCGTTAGCGCCATTGCAATAATACTATGGTGTGTATCAGGGTCCATGCAGCGATTTACAGCTCTGCACAAGGCTTGTTGTGCAAAGCTCATCAGACATCACGTGATCGCAGGGATCAGCCGTAAACATCAAAAGCACACAGTAGCAACGCGCACCTTGATAGTTCCACGTTTTTACATTATTTTTATGTGCATAGCACGTATAAGGATAGAAAATAGTTAGGGGTGTTAGAGTCTTATATTAGGTGGTTGCTCCGCTGATAGGTGTAGCACGTGTTATGCACGTGCTTAGCCCCTTATCTTCACCATTGCCCTCTCTCTCCCTCGCTTTTTCATACCTGATAAGGAAGCGCCCACGAAGTTAGAGAAGGGTTTCGTTTTCTCGCACCACAGCACTTACACAGCCAAGGAGCCGGCATTGAAAAGTGTTCCCCCATGTCACTTCAGCCGCCCAGCCCCAACCCCTACATCAGTGCCTAGGTGGCACAGTTGGTTGGCTCGTTTCGGCCCAGCTCTCATCATCAACCGACCCGAGTTAGCTTTCCGTTCACCTCTTCCTAAATCCTCTTGCTGCTTGATTTGTGCATGTCGCCGTAGCTTGGGCAATTCATTGTGCCTTGAGAATGAGTGAAACACGTTCAACCTCCGACAAGTTCTACAATGAGTCAATATCAGTACTATGGCATGACGGAGTCGAGTTTTTCACGAAACGCTGGGTTCCAAAAGACTCTTCGCCACCTCGAGCCCTAGTAATCTTCCTCCACGGCTTTGCAGAGCACATTGAGCGGTACGACCATGTGTGGCCTCGTTTTGCAGCCGAAGGGTTTGAAGTATTTGGGTACGACCAGCGGGGATTTGGAAAAACAGGGCCAAGGTACGGCGATACTACGTTGGAAAAGCAAGTTGCCGATCTAGAATATGCTATTCAAGCAGAAAGGAAGCGGCTGGATGGAGGATTTGATAAGGAAACTGTGCCCATCTACTTGTATGGGCATAGCATGGTGAGTTAAAATCCAACTTACAGCTGCTGCTGCTGCTGGCGCATGTGGTACAATTTGTTGATCGGTCGTTTTAGGGAGGTGGCATCATACTGTCACTCATGACACGCCCTCGCGGTAAAAGGGAGAACTCTCCAGACGTCCGTAACATGATATCCGGTGTAATATGTGGCGCGCCTTGGATTTTGCGAATGAATGTAAGAGCTAGCTCTCCTATGTCCGAAATGATTCTAGTCAAAGTCCCAAGCTCATATATATTCAGCCACCACCCAAAGTTCTCCTTTGGCTTATTCCATACATAGCCTGGATATACCCTAATCTGCCCTTGACGAAAGCTTTGAATTCCCATCACCTGACTAGCGATCCGGAAGTGGCGGAGAAAATTCAATCAGACCCGTTCTTTCGCGGCGATATCTTCATCAAGACAGTGAGCGGCATGCTCTTCGAAGGGTATAGGATTCTCTCAGAAGGGTACGGGAACTGGCCAGGGAACTTGCCAATATTGATTACGCATGGAGAAAAGGACCCATCAACCAGCCCAGAAGCTTCACGCAAGTTTATTGAGAAACTTGACGTGAGAGACAAAGAATTCAAATCATGGCCGGACATGCTTCATGAGGGCCACAACGAGAGACTGGAGTTGAGAGATCCGTTCCTGGAATACTCCATTAGGTGAGTTGAGAATAACTTGAGTCTGGAGATGTTGACAAGTGCTGAATCATCTTAGGTGGCTTGAACGCAGAGCGCCAATGCCAGAGAACACTGCCTGAAAATAGCGTCGGTAGAGGAACGATTCCAGCTATCTAGACTATGGCCGATGCATGGCTTCTATCAATTAGCGGTAGCATGGAGCTTCAGAAACCAACACCAGTCTCTCCGTACCCCGAAAGATATCTTGTCCAACATCTACGGCAGACATCAACCTGCACGTGTCTCAAATCGCGAGACACCGACCACCTCTCCACCGACGATAATATTCAATGCGGTATTACCCTTGACCGCGTCGCTGCCCCTGAGTCTAGGCTCCAGCTCGTCGATCATATAGCCCTCGGTCAAGTCGTCAAACTTCACGACATCAGACCTCTTCCCGTCCTTCCAAGTCTCCAGCTCGCCCTCCTCCAAATCAATGAAGTAGCCCCACTCGCAGCGTTCATGGAACAGCCACGTCGAATCATCGATCATGTGCTTGAGGTCACCTTTGGATGAACCCATTCTGCAGGTTGCGGAGGAGCGTGTACCAGTCCGTCGGCGAAGGGTTGAGCGGAACGACTCTGCCGAGTCTCTTATTGGCCCAGTCCCAAGTCTCAACGCTGAAGTCATAGCTGGCGTTACCGAGAGCGTTGTACTTCTCGATCTCTGCGTCGGAGGGTCTGGGCTTGGAACCGTGGCCAACATTTGTAGTGCCGTCTGTGATCCAGGTGAGGGCTTTGACTCGCTCGATCATGGCCTGGCGATCTTCCGGTGTGAGATGAAGGACGAAAGCAGCGATGCGGTGTCTCAGGCCGCCCGGGTAGGAGTCGAAGTGGTTGTACGCTCCCTTGCGGGTGTAGCCGTCCTTCTCTTCCAGGCTCTTTTTGCGGAAGCCTAAGTTTCTGTTAGCTTGTACATACTAAAAGAACGCGTCAGGGGCACTACTTATGATTCCACGATTTCCCATGACGTCTTATGGCGCAGAACCTTTTGGCTTTCACGAAAATAGAATGAGACTGATTGAAACCGCGAGAGGACGGATTGATGGTGGATTAGAGGAGGACGAGATTGCGGGTGAGACCAACATTTTGTTAGGAAAAAGGGCAATTCGTGTCTCAAGCGCGGGTAAGTGCTTCACATTCTCGCCGCGTCGTTATGTAGGTCGCCGCGGTCGCTCACCGACCAGACCAGCGTGCTCAGTCTCTCAGATAGACGATGGATAAAGAGATCTTTTTTTGAAGAGAAAGGAATCCAACATAATCCATAGTTACCCACTATTTATCGTTTTTCCTGGGCAAGCGGAAAATTTCGCAATGGGTCTACCACCAAACGCTGGAACTCCAACACCATCGCCATGTCGGTATCCACCGCTCCAGTACAACCAAAATTGCTCTGTAAGCAGGTATCCACGGCATCTCGATAGGCTGAACCCATACAGTAGCCTAGCAGCGGAACTTGACGTGCCAAAAGCTTCTGCTGTAGATCCCGCGTTGACTTGGCCTTGAAATTGGAAACAGTGTCCCACAGCCCAATCTCTAAGAGCACCAGCCCGAGACTGTAGTAATCGAACTGAAACCGGAAATGCCCTCCGTTCCGCGTTTCCTCGATGTTATATTCGGGGTGATGGTATTTCCGAGCAGTGTGACTAGGAGGTGGCCCGGTGGTGAAGGCCTTTGGTTCGTTAGGACGGGAGTAGTTGAAGCCGATGAGATATGGACTCTGGATAAGACGTTGTTGTGAGGAAAAGAAAATAACATTGTATGAGGAAATGTTCTTGTGGACGAGTGTGCCCGTGTGGAACTTGAGAAGGGTTGAAGCAAGTTCGAGTGCCAGACGAAATCTGTCCTCCAGACATATCTGATCAACTCCAGATTTCCTGGTCTCAACAATAATGTCATTCAATGACTTTGGGCAGTCCGCTTGGCGTGGGACCGGTAGCTCGTAGACGAGACCGAACGCATGCCGATTTGGAGAGTGGAAGTACCCAAGGCATTCAAGCGTCCGGAGCGAAGGAGCATGCGAAACCCCCTGATGGAGGAAGGATGCAATGCTTGCGACCCGCGTAATCATCTCTTTTTGCACTGTACCCTCCCAGTGCATATCATAGCGAATCCACTCTACAAGGATTCGCCGTTTCTCCTCGAGTCCATCAGGGGAGAACCATCCGAGATTGTGATCCTCGGCAGATTTGCCGTCCTTGATTTCGATCCTCTTGGGCTCTAAACAGATGTTTGCATAGCCTTGTCGCTCCCGTTCGAAAGCAAGCTCTTGTGACTTCGCACTTATCATCGTCGAGAAATCTTTAGCGAAACCGAGTGTGTCTAGATCCTTCCTAATATCTTTCTCATCAGTTGAAAATGCGGAATCCTTTGTATCTAGGAGACGAATAGCTAGATAGGTAAATGCTCTGCTTTGATCTTCCTGTCGTAAAAGGCCAAGTAGAGAATCATTGATCCGCCGCAGCTCGAGGAACATTGGGTACGCCGTAGCTTCGTATCGTTCGCTTATGAACCGTAACTCCTTCTGGGCTGCTTGCAGTAATTCAACGGTCTCGCTAAAGTCTAGCAGGAACTCGGCTGCTGAGTCCACTGGAATCTGGTCCTCGCTCACGTAGCCCAGCACGTATTTCCAGCTACGATACCTCTCTAACTCGAGATTGGCTTGGAGCGATCCAGTAGTTGCTTTCATGGTCTGGTACGGTTCATCTAAGGAGATAACCAACTCATTAACTGCCAAGAACTGTAGTTTACGTGTAATTTCAGCAGCTAAAGGCCGATCTGATGGCTCTACGGAGAGCATCACTCGTATCATTCGGATAAGGAGCCCGGAAGTCGTTGAGCCGTTGGACTCCATTTCGTCCAGCAACTTGATAACGTGGGGATTGACGCTTTTTCCAGGACCATGGAAGGTTCTCATCGTCCAAGTGCATTTGAATACTCGATCTTTCCGGAAGGAGTCAATACCAGGTGGGCCATCCCTCATGTATACGAGCAATTCCACAAGGACACAACCAAGCGACCAGATGTCACTGGCACGTCCGGCTATACCTTTAGAGAGACTTTCGATATCCTCGCATTCGGGGGCAAGATAATCACCTCCGCCGATGCGGAAAGGCGTTGCCGAGGAACTGGTGAATAGCTTGATACTCGAGAGCCCAAAGTCGGCTAAGATGAACTTATTCTTACTGACTAATATGTTGCTCGGTTTGAGGTCTCGGTGAAGTCCTATAACCTTCGGATCGAGATTCGCTGATATGGTATATCCGTGCATCTTTTCAAGGGCCGAAGAAAGCTGCGACATGCATCTGTAGAACGCAAAATCATCGCAAAGCTCTGGTGGGCGATCACTCTTCTTAAATAAGCTCTCCAGGTCTCCATCCTCTGCAAACGGGAAGATGAGATTGCGTTTGTTCTGGTAGGAGAAGGAAGCGAGCAACTCGAGGATATGAGGATGCTTAAGACGATTTAAAAGACTGAGATTGTGCAGCTCTAGGCTATGACTGCTGTCCGTGTCGTCGTTTTCCTGGAAAAACTGCTTCAGAACGAAAACCGCTTTCTATGTGTTCATCAGATATGAATCAGCCGCCAGGGTACAGATAGCTTACTGATTCAGGTCCTAACAGAGATAAATTTTGATGGCCTGGATGCAGCGCAATTCTATACACTTCTGCAAACCCACCACGATCGATATACTTCTTTTCGACAAATGGGAGAATATTAGAAAGGTCCAACAACCGATGCTCGACTTCCCTCGTGAACACCGGAGCAGCGAACTCCCACTGTTTCTCATAGAACGGCGCGGCAATGGACGGGAGTATTGCCCTGAGGTCACCTTCAGACAAGGGTAGTCTGTGATCAATCTGTGACTCTTGGAAGTTATCCTTTTCTATGAAGCGGAGAATCTCCTTCTCTTGGCCTCCAAGAACTACGAGAATTGCGAACACTCTTCTCGCGCCGAAAAGAATTCTATCAGCAATCGCGTCCAGACGGTGTGACGGAGCAACACTACCCACGATCAGGGCAGTGAGAATGGCCGATCGAGTGAGCAACTTGTAGAGGTTTTGATGAGGGACGAAATATTTTGAATCTCCATCAACACGGCATCGCAACGCCTGGATGTCGGATTTCAAAGAGGTCATTGCATGGGATATAACGTTTCTCGGGTATTTCTGAAGGTATGCAAATGGATAGTCTCTGCGAGGAAGCACAATTGACAAAGCTGATTTCTCCTCAAGCTGTTTCTTTGAGTTTTACAGTGATAGGCCCCAAGTCCGCACCTGTTTGCCACTGCTAGGAGTGCCACCACGAGGTTTACAAAGTCTGGGCGCAATGCTGATGTTCATGCAGCGGAGTCTGGACTGCCTCTTGAATGAGTGGGTTCCAAGCGATGGTTCGCTCCTGACGGTACTGTCTGGCTTCCACAGTGGTACCTAAACAGCGGTATGATCGTGTGCCCAGACTTATGGCTTAATCTTGTATGTATAAACACTTCCGGAGTTTCTGGGCAACTTGAAAAGCCGGTTTTCATGTTCGCAACTTTACGGACTCCTTTTCAGTCTTGATGTATGTAAGCGTATGAAAGATGCCGATAAGAACGATTTGAAATACCTCAGTCAGTGTCCTGGGAGATGTGATCTGGATATGATCTTCCGACACGACCTGTTACATGCTCTGAGCGTGCGACGCAATAATTTCGTAGATGTTACTCATACCTCGACCTCAAAATTCCCAGCCCCAAAAAGATCAATCAAGAGCTGATTGAGGAGCAATTTATCAGTGTAGCGGCTCTCGACGACGTCGATCTCGGGCATGGCGATATTACGTAAAGGCCTTGACTTAGCCTCATACGAACTGGAAACTTCAAATAGTGGTCAGTTTCTAAATGGATGAACCTAGGCTGCGCTCTTACAATATTCTCGATCGCATGGTGCGGCTCAGCAGATATGGGCTTTGTGCGCGGATTGGAGCCACGTCATGTAGGTTGCACCATATGTGGAGACTGCATATTTGCATGCAAGAGTTGATGTCGAATTGGGTTGCCGACATCACCTGGCCCCAAATCAAGCTAAGTGTCGCTGGAGGCAGCCTGATCGACAAGGCTTTCGCATGTTTCTCCTTCAACATGATTGGCGATCATGCAAGGCTACAGGTCTGACCGGTCAGTAGGTACTCGAGGCAAGCGAGATTCTTTGCAAATCAGCCTCGAACCTATGTGATCTAACCACCGACATCTCAGAGATGCTCTTAGGTCCCCTTACATGCCTCATCAGACGAATGGCAGATGTATCGTGGAGACGTGTATGCCAATCAGGGCTTCATACAACGATTTGTCGTCGTATTCGGTTAGTCCAGTGAGAGTCACACGAGGCTGTGACCGCCTCGGACATGCCTTACATTCATAGCACGAAGGATCGGCAAGCCATGATACTTTAAAGATCAAGGCATGGCTAAGTTTTGACTGCTACCGATTGTACTCCTAGCACAGAATCTTGCAGTCGACCCAAGCCGTTGCAAGTACACACAACGGCAGCCACTATCCATAATTCTACTTAACCGGAACTGTGACCGTATGAAGTCTGCTTGTATATGGAGTCTGCCGAGTACGCCGAGCATCAGAATCGCCGTTTCGATGAAGAATCCTCCAGACTTTTCTCCACTCAGTGTGTAGATTTACATGCTTATTGCGTTTCTTCATCTAAGACCGGTATGCTAGTCCTTTCCATGAGAGTCCACTTCTTGCTGCTACGAACTGTGATGGGATTGATGTGAGATTGGAGACTATGCTGATAGACCTCTTCTGAGTAGCAATTCATGAGAGAACCATTGCAGACACTTCTGCTTTAGAATCTTTACTTCAAGTACGTTGTGAGACCAGAGCTTCAGTGGCTAAGATCACTAATTAGAAAAGGAAACGAAGGAGACTAATAACTCAGTTTTATAGTCCGTCCTCACCCAAGGTTATTCTTAGCGATGGCTTGATCTAACTTTGTGTATTTAGCGACTTTCAGCAAGAAGATTCTTGGGGCCGTTTCAAGTTCACGAAAGACATCTGTCAAAGGATTCTGGCTTCTCACAAGATTTTTCCATCATTTTTGGATTGCATTTCTGCATTTGGTCTCAAGTCAGGGGAAGACACGAAAATATGGGACGGTTTCTACTCTACACACTCAGGCACACCAGGTATATCAGGACCTCCGCTGAAGTTTGATCAAAGGGTAGATGTACTGATTGAAAGAACAAGAGTTGTGCTATGTGGTTCGATATTTTGAGAAGAATGGGCGCAGATCTGGCAATCCTTGGTCGCTGCGTCAAACCGGAGTATACCAGAAATATGACCCAGACCGCGGAAAGTTCGTATGGATCCTTTTACAACCATCTAAAGCGTTTTCATCCCACTTGCACAATGTTCTGCTCCAAGACTCGACTATTCAAGGACAAGACAACTTTGATCCTATGCGGCTCCATAAGCTGTGCTTCTCCTTGAGCCTAGGTAACTTCGGAGAGTATGTGGAGAATTTGCAGCTAGACATTACCCAGATGGTTCGTTAGTCGTCAAGGTCCCATAGCTTGAGTACGATCAGTGTGCTCACAAAGAAGTAGAATTTCAAGGCTTGTTTCTCTTCCGTCGAGAGGCATAAACCACATGATTTCTCCGTTGCCTTCAAAGATATCCAAAAACTACAGCTCATCAGGCAAAAGCTCTTAAGAGTCTCGAATATCCTCCATTCACTCTCAGAGATAGCCCGAAGGCTCCAAGGTTACTGTCAGCACCTTCAATCCACTACCGGTGAACAAATGCGAACTGGTCATTCGCAGGACTTTGAAATCTGTAAGAGCCGTATCGAAGTATATTCTCGACGAGTGGAGATGGCTCTCACCTTTTCAACAGAGATAGAAAGTCTGGTAAGTTTATACAGGTTGAATAGTATTGTGTACATCTGGCTTATTGAGACCAGTTATCAAAGATTCTCGATTTCCGACACGACGAAGTCTTGCTAAAGACAAGCACTGCAATGCAAGCTAACTTGGACGTTCTCAAACGGATCGCATTTGTGAATGGAGAGGAGAATCGAAACCTGTCTAAGATTAGCACCCAGAATCGAGCAGATTCGCACACTCTCAAAGCACTTACAACGATTGCGACCATGTATCTGCCTGCAAGCCTGATAGCGGTAAGTCGTCACGACGACGAATCCCTCTAGCAACTCATGACACTGACGAAGTGCAATCTCCAGACCCTTTTCAGCTCAAATTTGGTTCAGATCCAATCACAAATCCTCAAAGACTCAAAGGCTCGCTTTGCTGTCTCCAGTGAATTCTGGATTTACATACTTGTTACCGTGCTATTGACTGCGGTCACTTTGGGACTGGTCGTGCTACTGCAGAAACCGTGGAGGCGTTTCCTATCTCCATCTAGGATTCCTTAGCTAGAAGTCAGCGCGAGCATATATTTTCTTCAACATAAGTTAGATTGGACAAATACTATCCCATGCCTATGGTAGTTTCCCTCCCAATACCTACCGGAAGAAGGTCACAGCTCACGTGACTTGAGACAATGACATAATTACGTGAAGAGATTTGCAACAAGACAACATCCGATCTACCTTTTCACCCTTCCAAATTACACTCTGCGAAGAATCAGTCGGTATTGAATGGGCTATTTGCAGTTGTGAGCTTCGAGTAGTGATTAATTACAATACAATGGGCTAATGTTAGAGTACGCGATAGAATACCGAGGTATGTGCAAGGTACCTTGCCGTAGCCGCCACCTTCGCTCCAAGTCCCTTCAGCCTTACAGCTACACTTTGTTGTCGATACAATGTACGAACAATAATAATTCAATATGCATCTTTGGACGGCAGAATGTTTAGAAATACCTTTGAAAGCGAGCTTTCCGCTCTAGAAACACCCTACCGTCTTCACTACCACGTTCCCACTGCAACCTCCCGTGTCACGAATGGAGCGAGGAGACTGATGCGCGAGCAAGTCGCAGACCTTATTTCCTTCCTTGCAGTCACTCATTGCATGTCATTGGACTTGGTATTCATCACTTGGACACCTTCCCTAGGTACCTTGGGAGCTGGCGCGACTGCTCAAGTATTGCAGAGGGAGCTTGACTTGCGCCGCAGTCTTGCACTCAAGCGCCCCCAAGCTCGAGAGCTTTCAAAGGAGGATAGAAAAGGAGATAAAGCTTTGCTTGATGGCGAGTATCGGATTCTGATTTCTGAGATCCTGACGCTGTGCACTGAAGGTCTTCGATACCACCCAAACATTATCACCCTCGAGGCTATTTGCTGGGACTTCAAGCAAGAGACAGGTGAAGTTTGGCCGGTACTCGTGTTCGAGAAAGCAGAAGAGGGTGACTTGCGCACCTTTCTGAACTCTCCGAGAGGACGAGCATTAGACTTGCGGAAACGGTTGCAGTTATGCCAGGACGTTGCAATAGCAATGCTGTGCCTGCACAGATATGGTATTTCTCCTGGGAGTTTTCTGCTAGATAAGTGGTAACTAACAGCAACAAGGGATCATCCACGGCGATATCAATCCTCGAAATCTCTTGGTGTTTCGTGAACAAGAGGATGTTTACATTAAGATGTCGGATTTTGGTTATGCAGCATTGATGCATCGAAACGATCACATTGACATGGCGAAAACTTGGCCTTGGTATGCTCCGGAGTGCTTAAATCAGTGGTCGTTCGACTTCGAAGATGCCCGAAAAACAGACTTCTATTCCTTTGGCGTTGTATGCCTCTGGATAATGTTCAATGAATGTTTCCAAGATGAGGACCAATTTCTCGAACCCTCCGATCAGCTTACGTATCCATGGATCGACGATCTGAGACGAAGAAAAACGACCCTTACAAAAGCGGTGGCACTGGTGAATGCGATATCTGATCTTGAACTGGGCCAAGTCACAGCCTTGAAGCTATTCTTCGAGTACTCATTGAGCGAAAACCCAGAGAAGCGAAGTTTATCATTGAAAGGGCTCTTCTATGAACACAGTATGCGGACGGATATTGGCAAAGTGACTTTTGACAGTATTCAACCTCGCTTTTTTACACCTCTAGAGCTACCGTATGCAGGCCAATTCAGGGTAAGACGCAACGTGACTGACTACAATTTCTTACAGAGCTAAGCCGTTTTAGCTTAGTAAAGTCTGGCATCAGGCAATGCGCGGAGACTTCAGATTCTGGAGCGCAATCTTCCACGCACTCGAATCGCAGGCAGAATCCCATCCCGACGAGCAATGTCGGAAGAATGCTGCCATTCAGCTAGCTCTATGCTTCGAGCTCGGCTTTGGGTGTGCGAGATCAACGAGCAATTCCCTACATTGGCTCAGCAGAGGCTCGGGCACCAAGGCGTACTTAGAGCAGGAAGTCAATGAGATAGACTCGTATGACCTCAAACATACAGGTGGTGGTGGGTGGTCGCCAACGATGTTCCCGCAGCGCACTTATCTCGCAGAAACCTATCAAACTGCCGGTCTTCTATCGCAAGCGGAAAAGATACATCGCAAAGCTATCGAAGACCTTCAACACGTGCTGAGAAGCAGTCATAGTACCATCTTGGAACAAAGACTGACAATAGCCGACATGAAGTGGATAGTGGGCAATGGTAATGAAGCGTATGACATCGTGTCTGATGTCCTTAGTATTTGCCGCACGTCTCTCGAAAGGCACCATTCGACGTTGGGTCATGCGTTGGATCGCAAGATAAGCCTTTGCAACGCGACGAGTAGATGGTCAGAAATGAAGGGCCTCCTCTTAGAGTATAGAGAGATTATCAAGAAAAATGGATACCCTCGCTGGGTTACAGATCACGATTCTTACAGGCCACGCCCTTCCCGAGATATTCTCATGCTCAAACGGCTGGCACAATGCTGCTATTACGAAGGGAACTTTGAAGAGGCGGAAAAGCTGCTATTGCAATATATCGACGAGGCGGCGGATCACTGGGGTCGGCAGAGTTCTGCTTGCCTGGATGGGGTACAAGACCTTGGAAGGATTTATAGTGGCCTCAAGAGAAACGAACGTCAACAGAGTCAATGGCTCCGTCGAGAAATCAATGTATGCGAGTCTGCCGGTACTAAGACTCAGGGCTCTCAACTCGACCATATTTTGGATCTCAAGGTCTCGCTATCGAACGCACTGAGCCAGCCAGGATGCACGCGAAAAGAGATGAACGAGGCGACAGCATTAGGAATACAGAATCTCTATGATTGCAGGAAGTTTCTAGGGACTCAAAATCCAACGACTCTTTTTGCCACCGAAGTTCTCGCCAATATCTACCTTCGACGAGGACGAACTAGTGAGGGTCGAGCCCTGCGTGAGACACGTGTGGCATTGTGTCAAGTGGAGTTTGGAGAGGAACAGCCAGTAACGGCATGGGCTCAATGGCAGCTGGCCTGGTCCTGGGACATGCCATGGGATGAAAAATTGGCCTTACGGGCACAATGTGTCAGGGTATTGATTGGAGCTCTTGGAGATAATCACCCGAGAATTCCTGCTCTCCGAAAACGTCTCGACCTGACTCGAAAATGGAGCCGGCGGGATAGCATCATTCCGGGGAGGATTCTTTCCGCAATATATCGACGAATTAATGCCATTAGCGATTGGCGAACAAGACTGTCTGACCCTCTGTAATACGGAGTGTACTTCTCTCTCGGTTTCTACGTATTCACAGCGGCAGCAGAAGACAGAAGCATATAGCTCAATCTCAATGTCAATCTAACAAAAGCACGGTACTGGTATTTGTGTGGAAAAGGACTAGAGCACAGAGTAATGAAGTGAATGCTTACTTTTATTAGTTACCCTGAATGGTTTAATCGTAGCTTGATAGTGAAATGACTAATCCGTATCTGCCTTAGCGCTCCTAGAGAGATCCCAAAATCGTCTAAGTCACAAAGCGACAAGCCTATCCTCCGTCAACCCTATGGCGTGCTCCCAACTACACACCTTGTTCAACTCCCCTCATCTAGAGTATCAGGGTGCCTAATACGAATCCGAGTCTCGCTTTAGCCATCAATATGCAGAAGAACGGCCCTAAATATGGGCTACGCGCTGGGTAGCGACACAAGATGGCTTCCTGTCGCTGATTCAACGCCTCGCGATAATACTCCACAATGTACGGCTCTTTCCCAAACCCAACGCAGTTGCATACTATTTCGATGTCCCTCTAACTCCTCTGATAGGAACCCCATCGTAAAAAAGGCAAACAGGCTTCTTGTGAGCCTTGCCGCAAAAAAAGACGCGTTGCGGTCATGGAACCCCGATTTGTAATCGATGTCAGCAGCGTGGCATTGCGACCAGATGTTTTTATCATCCCACCCCATTGATTAGAACTCGAGATGAGCGTTTGAGTGCTGCGATGCAAGTTCCGCGAGTGTCTACGAACGGAAGGTAAATTTTTTCCTCCCTTATCTAATGCCTCAGGCATAGCACAACCGGCCATTATTCCCCGCTTTGTTCGAAGGTGTAAGACCATCTGAAGTCAGAGCAAAGTGTGTAGAAATATATAGAGCGCTGATTGACTCCCGTTAAACTTTCATACTGATGGCGGCATGGACGGCGAGTGCCCCAGCATAAATCAAGGAATAATGTCGAGCTCGACACTCAGGCGCAGATTCTCACACCTGAACGGCAGAACAGGCCGTATTCAGCCACGAATCAGAGCCATCAACCGGGTTATCTAGGTCCCACGAGCTATGAAGCGATACTTGATGACCATATAGTCATTAATCAAACCCCTAGTAAATCTGGAATATCGGAATCGGCATACGACCACGAGTGCTTCGTGGGACAATTTATCCCGAAACCGAGCCGCATACAAATAGCTTCGGACACTTCTTGCATGCTTGCGCTTTTTCCCAACTATCGACAAGTTAGTGTTGGCATTCTACGGCAAAGCTCAAGCAGTCACATTTCCGGCTCCATCCCCCTTTGTTCTGAATGCATTGACTGCAGTTCGGCGCACCGTGGAAGAGTTTGATCTCGAAAACACTCCTCCGGAAACCCACCTTATATCAGCGGTGCTCTCTAACACGATCAAAAAGCTTGGGGTGCCCCCAATAGCAAGCCAATTTCACGAAAAGTTCACAGGAGAAAATTTGCGTCTCGAGATCATTGCCCTTCTTCTGAAAATCACAGCTCGTGCCGTCTATATTGGCCTAGCAAACGAGATGACGGATGGAACCAGATCGCCAACGAATTGTTTCGCGCAAGTAGTGTTTGTGTGGAGCTTTGCAAATTACTCGCTCCGGTCAACGATTTGCTGCTCTGGTTGTACTTCGATAACGCCGTACTGACCAGCATCATCTGTGGTGATACGAGGAAGTCAATTTAATAAGCTCATTGATGTTTCAACTCCCCGCCATTAGTCAGCGTATGCTTGCTTGCTGCTGCTTGAAATCTTTCGATACTTGATCAGATATCGATCGATATTTAGAATATTTTCTTGTTCTGGCAGTGCGTGATGCGGTTGGGGATGCCCGGAGAGATGAAATGTTTTCCAAAATGAACGTTTACGCCTCGTTTGAATTTCTAAAACTGTACACTGATCTGAAGAGGCTGTATACGTGGTTTAATTTGCTTACCTTTACGTAGATCCTCTACTCTGGCGAAGATTTGGCGACTTGATCGGAGAGATCTACGCGTTGGTGATTCATCGGGAATGCAAGGACGTTTCTGTGCCATTGTTCCTACGGGAAGCGCGCCGAAGACTGTTTTGCGCGGCCTCCTATACGGACAAGATCTCCTCGACCTTGCTTGGCCGACCGCCTCGTCTGTGCTGGAGGCACACTAATATACAGCTACCGCTAGAACTCCGAGATGAAGATCTAGCATCGCCCATTGCAGATGTAGAGCTCGCGTGCTGGAAGCTTGACAGCAATGGATGGAATACTTACGGAGGTGTCCATCAATCTACTTGTATCAGGTTTCGGTGCCTTATCAGCACGTTTCGTGAGGAGATCATGGATCATTCGATTGGTAGAATTGATGATGCAGCTGAAGCGTCGTTGCTGTGAGTGCAATTTCTTGGGGTCGTTGAACACCATCGTTGACAAGCTTCAAGAGACATCTCACGCAGGGGCTGGGAAATGTGGGATTCAGTTCCAGAGCATATGCGCTATAAGCCTTGCTTCTGGGATGATGAGCGGCTGCCATCAGGTGTCTGTCTAATGCTCGTCATCGCTCATCTAGCATACTTGTTTAACGAGTTCCTGATACAAAAGCTGCTAGATAAGAGGCCACTTGCTCAGAATCAAGCTTATCTGAGTGTGAGCATGGAGCTTCTCTCTACAGTCCTGACTTTAGGTCAACCACGAGACAGATATTCGATACGTTTCGTACACTGTAGGTCATCTTTCGCTCGGTGCTGCCGCGGTGATAAAAAGGATTAACCGCATTCACTAGATACTTTCCTTCGGTATTCCAAGTGCGAGTGTACTGGTGACCGCCCTCCAAGAGCAGTCAACTACGGGAGAGGCATTGCCGCCATCTATCACTCGCTCTGAAATTATTCGAAACATAAGCGTAATTCATTTCAAATCTCGACTCAGTTCGAGACCCGGGGATGGCAACTACCCCATCTGCAAAAAAGCTGCGAAAACCTTTACACGACTTATAGACGACATCTTAGACCCTAAGCCATCCGCTGCGTTTCAAAGCACGTTAGAGCTCGGCTTCATGAGTAATCCATCTCTGGATGGACTCGATAATATAGATACGGTCGATTTATTCGACAACATGGAGTGGGGAACGGGAGCAGGATCCCAGTGGAGCTTCTGAGCCCTCTACTTTACCATTCTTCCCATGAAGGCACTGTGAGCACACAGCATTGACAGCGGTGTTCAGCCTTCAATATACGGCCGATACTCATTCCACATACATCGGCATACCATCTCTCCAGCACTCTCACCTTTACCCCGTCCATACAGCAGGCCCCGGAGGCGTATACGTCGTCGCAGAACTAGAGTAAATGGCGATTCATCGCACGTCAGCCTCGTCCACCACTTCCATAACCAACTCAACTCAACTCACCATAACCCCCGGATCGCTCTGACTCGTATACCCCGGAATCGTCGCCACAAATCTCCCACCCCCCGTCACCACAATCTGCGCAAACTCCGCATAGAACTGCAGCGTATCCGCCTGATGCAGCGCCAGAAACTCATGCCTAATCAGACAGTTCCCCTGCGCCAGACTCGCGGGGATCGTGCTCGTCCACGCTGGATCATTATACACGACCGCAGTGCCCCAGGGCGTGCCGGTTAAGGGCGGCGCGGTCATCCCCATCTGGTCGATCTTGAACCAGCCCTGCCCAGGGCCGTCGCATGTGGAAAAGGCGCCGTTGCATTTGTGCAGCCAAACCATGGCAGGGCCTTGCTGGTGCGTCCATTGGCCCCAGATGGCTTTGACAGTGGAGCCGACGGAGGTGCCTCCGCTGCATTTTACTTTGGCGTCGGTGACGGTCAGGGTGAAGTTGTAGTAGGGCCGTTGGCGTTGGATGGTTTGGGGGAGGGGGCTGGGCTGAAGCCGACGTAGCTGTACTGAGGGCGTGTTATTTTTCAAGAGTATCTACTACGACGTATGGAGAATCTGAGGCGTCGTACCGCCAATCACATAATTAATCACAGCACTATGAGCCGCTGCTTGGGTAGTAAGCAAGGCGATGATTGATATCAGAGTTAGACCGATTATCTTGAAGCTTGGCTATGCGAAGAGTAGAAGTTACCTTTGTAAGAGCACGAGAAGACCGGTTCTTTTTGTAACCTACCTAAGCTACGCTACTAAGGTACCCTAGACCCGCCTGACAACAGCAACATCGACGATTCTTTCGCTAGTTCTGAGCTCGTCTGCACATAGTGTCGAACCTCCGTCTACAGAGTGGCCACACAAACAGCCCTATGATGACTGCAAAGGCACGAGTCAAGATTCATTTGCTATCCTTTAGCCCGTCACAATTGGCTCTACGTTATCGATAAGGATGCAAGTAATAAAAAGCTTTGAGAGATAAGAACTGCAGCGAAATACTTGACCAACACACTCCCTCCAGGCTTTTTGTAGTACGTTACGAAAGATGGGAAAAGGACAATGTCGACAAGGTTGATAGCTTTGCGGGCCACCTCAAACGGTGCTGGACTGCCCATTATGTTCAACGATTGTGCCACGACGGGTTAAGGAATAATGGTATAGGTAGGATCAACGACCGATGTCTTTATACCGTCAGTTCTCAAAAAGCCCTTTTTTAAAAATTACCTGGGCGCAACAACGGCACCTTTTCCCGATTGGGACTCACGATACAGCAGGTGGCAGGTGAGAAGGACGTCGCATCTTTGTCACCAGCACGCGGACATAACCTAAGTTTCCTTTCTTGTATCTCTCCTCCGACAGAGCCTCTACTTCTCCTCTCTCCAGAGCATCCCCAGCAAGCTCTCGCGAACATCACCCATACCGCCCGCAAGCACCATGGCCTCGCTCGGCACCGGCATCTCCCTCTACACTCCCCACGCCACCGCAAAGAACCAGCTCATCATCCTCTGCGCCTGGCTGGGTGCCGGGGTGCACGACACCGCCCGGCACCGCGCCATGTACAGCGCCATCGCCCCCAACACGCGCCTGCTGCTCCTCACCACCGACATGTGGCTCTCCGTGCTCTCGTCGCAACAGCGCCAGGCCGTCCAACCCGCCGTCGCCGCCGTCCGCGCCGCGCTCGACGAGGCCGGCTACAGCCACGCCAACCCCGCCGCCCCGACCCAGATCCTGCTGCACCTCATGTCCGCCGGCGGCGTGACCTCGGCGACGCACCTCCTGACGACGCTGCACGGAGAGCTGCGCATGCCGCTGCCGCTGGTGGGGGTGATCTGCGACAGCGCGCCCGCGAGCGCGAGTTATTGGAAGAGGTACGCCGCGTTGCGAGACGGCTTTCCGCGATCGGGGGGGTGGAGCGTGCTCGGCCCGCTGCTCGCACACGTGATTGGGGTTGTGGTGCTCGGGATTATCTTGTATCACCGGGTCGTGACGGGCGGGGAGCAGTTCCGGCTCGCGTTTATGGATGAGGGCTTGGTTAAGAGCGAGAGGATATGCTATTTTGCGTCGAAGAGAGATGAGGTTGTGCCGTTGGCGGATGTGAGGAGGCATGCGGAGGAGGCGAGGGGCAGGGGATGGCAGGTGAAGGAGGTGGTGTTTGAAGATACGTCGCGTGTTGAGCACTTGGCGAAGTATGATGGGGAGTATGTGGAGTGTGTCAGAGCTATGTGGGAGGGCAGTCAGCTTTGATGATGGTGGTCTCAACTCTCAAGAGGCGGGTGGTGAGGCTGAAGAGGCCTTTGGGAATGCGGAGGATCTTGGGGATGCGCTTGCAAGGCTGGCGACCGTCTTCGCGAAACAGGACCACAGAGTGTAGCCGGACTAACTCAACTCCTCTCCCACAGTGATGTCAATATGGTAACTTCTCTGAGGTGAGTGCCATAGCACTATAGCATAGTGCCAAAAGGACCAATCTATGGGATCACATGATAGCTACAGAGAATCCATGTGTCGAAGGGCATGAAAAATGTGGCACTCGAATTCTCTGAACATACCACCGTGAGCGTCCGCCATTGCTTGGGGTGCTTCCACACAATTTCAGATCTCCGAACGAGAGAGCAGCTCTTCAACTTGGGCTACGTGGAACCTCATTGAAACACTTCTAGCAGTGGCAGACAGGTGTACACACGGCTGCACGAGACAGAGCGCTTGGTCGGCAGGCGGCATCTGCGTCGGTGGAGCGGTGTGTGGTCGAAGTGATGGTGGTGATGGTAATGGAAGATTGTCTCATGAGGGCAGGCCTCTTGGGTAGTTGCAGCGTCATTTTGTACGACGTATCGATTAGGGACTGAAGATGTAGGGCCTGTAGGGATGGTGGCAATGTCGTGGAAGATGAAGCGCCGGGATAGGGGATTGTGCGTAGGACGTGCATGGTTGGACCATTGGGTGGGGGGGGGCGCGGGGTTGGAAGAATGTCCCTTGACAATCGCAATAATCTGGATGATTCGATTGCGTCAAATACGAGACCAATTTAAAATTTTATATGCACAATAGGGTCCTTTTCAATATTCTGATCTAAACAAATTTAGCTTCATTGGATGACTTGAGGCCGGCTGAGGTGGGCTCGTAAAGTGGGAAACACTCACCACTTTTACAGACTCATAAAGATGTCCTCAAGTATTTTAAACCGTGACAAAGCAGTACACACAGCCATCCGCCACGATTAGATCCCTCCCTACATCCCACACAAAAATCTTCGCCAACGGCGTTGAGGGCGACAGGTGCAGACCGCGGTCTGATCACCGCCCTTGCAGCGGTTGCAGTACTTCGCTGGTTTATAGGGTTTCTTTATGACTGTTATTGGGGTAGAGGGCGGCTGCCATTGGGGAAGTACGATGGGGTATGGGAGAACGGTGGTGGGTTGGTTCTGGTGATGGTGGTGATTGTGATGACCATGATGGTGGTGATGGGCGTGATGGCCATGATGGCTAGGTTGGTGATGAAATGTGTGGTGGCTGTGGTGTCCTCCGAAGTGGGAGATGGAAGAGTGGTGCGTCATGTTGTTCGTAGAGTGGATAGAGACGTGAGACTAGAGAGGAGATGACGAGGTTATGGTGGAGTTGCGTAGAACCTTTATAGAAGACGATGTTGAGGCTGTGTAAGTTCGACCGTGGATAGGTAGAACGAAGTATCCATGTTTCATGAGATCAGACTGGGAAGTTTTTTCGTGGTTATGACATCTTTATGGTTCACTTACGTCAGGTACCATACTTCATCCCACAGCCACCTTTGAAATAACAGGACTGCCTCCGCCGCAGGCAACTTCCACCTCTTCAAAATATTTCATCCATGCGCTGATTACTACACCATCAAGGCCACTACGAAGAAGCTACAATGAACGACAGAGATCTTTCTTAGATTGATTCTTTACTCAGTCACATGCTGTTAACTATGTAATCGAAAAACCGAGTTAGACAGCAGACCCCGGGGGAATGTGAGCTTTCCTGCGCACAAAGTTTCTCGGCTGTGTCTGTAAGCCGACTTTAGAGGTTCTCAGATATAGCTGGCCAGCAGAAAATACGAACTTCGCAATATCCCCAGGCCCTGTCCTCTACCAAGCCCAGCTTCTTCGTAGCTGCGCTTTACGCGGATAGGGCAAGATGAATCTAGCCACATGCAGAGGCAGGGATCGACGCCGGCTAAAACGGGAAGTAGGCCTGGAAATCCTTTGAATGTGTTGAGCCTTAGTGCTCCATAAGGACCCTTCGCCCTGCATGGTGGCGTGACGCCGGAACGAACCTTGCCTTTTCCTACTATCTATCATATAGGCAAGCTCCTCTCCAATGGTTTCCTGGCTCATACATATCGCATTGCGGATTCGATCTATGGAGAGATACTACATGGATCCAAGAAATTGAATGAATAAAGATTTCTCAAAAAAGGCAAAAGAGCAAAAACCTCTCAGGTGCCACTCGGATTCAAACTAGGGCCTCAAGTCTAGTTCAAATCCAAGTAGCAGCTGAGAGATTTGTGTGGGTTTTTTGGTCTGTAATCATGGGTTAAAGCGGCGTACGAGAGCAGCACAGGTAGACCACACCCAAGATTGGAGGCCTAAGAAAATAAATAGACCTACATACCCTTAGTGATGTTAAATTCACATGTCAGCCGGCCACTCTAGGGAGTTGTCCCGTGCACCCACTAGCGAGGTATAGTGTCGCTAGAGCTAAGTCGCCATGTGCTCACGAGCGAGGGTAAAAGATTACAGGAGTGAAAAGCTACCACCGGCACACCAACCGATGACTGAAGAGCTCGTAAGAAAAAAAAAATTGAAGAAACCATCAAGTCTCATACATTCCATTTACTTACATTCTTTGACAATCATGTTTTACAGTTTCCGCCGACTAAACGCCCAATACGCCTTCCACGGCAACCTCCAGTCCGTCGTCCGTAGCGTCGGCGAAAACACATCAAAATCAACCTTCTGTAACCTGTCCAACCACGCCTGCGTAGCCACCGCGGGCATCAGAACCCCAAACGCACGCTCCACGTCATCCGACTGCATTTTCGAGCCTGCGTTGAGCTGTTGCGAGCTGTACTGCCTTTCTTCGTTATCTTGGTGTTCGAAGTTGTGCCCGATGTCACTCCCAGACCGTAAATTTGAGAGCATTTCCCGGGCTGTGATGAGATGGTCGTTTGCGCGTGTCGCGACGGTGAAGACGGCGTCTCGTAGGCCTTCAGCAGAAGAGCCCAGGCGGAGAACATCTTCTTCTTTTACTCCGGATTCGGCCATGACGTCTAGCGGGAGTAGTACGGAGCCCTGTCGAGAGCTTCCGATTGAGGAGCCTACCGAGGAGTTGCTAGTGCCATGGGTGGGAGGTGGCGGGAAAGCAACGAGCGGAAGCCCTCGGAGGATCGCCGCAATACCTGTAGCCTTCCCAATATGTGACGCCAGATGGTCGGCTGTGACAGAAGCCAGGGGCAGGGACGAGAGTGTCAGGTACAGCAGCGTGGAGTACGTATTCTCAGCGTAGCTTTCCAGCGATGCAAGATCTGGGTATGGCGGATTGGTGAGGTACTGCTCGCGCCTGTTGATGACACGGAAGAACCAATTTTTGCTAAAGCGGCTCTTCCCATCCGTCCGGTTATGCAGGTCCTCCGCCGCTTTTGCTAGAAGAACGGCGGCTGGTTCCTTTGGCGGAGAGCCTGCGAGTGCCTTGGACACAGCATCCCGCCAGAATTGCATGCGCATCATGCCAACTGTGGGGGTACTCGTGGTGTCGGCTACGCGGGCGACATCGATGTTGAAAGCTCGAATGGCGAGGTAGGCGTCGCGGGAGGACGGCGGGACGAAGGTTTGGAGAATGAATGAGGGCGAGTCAAATTTGCTATGAGACTATTAGCGGAGTTCTGATGGTCCTTTAGTTCTAAAAAAGGGTCTTAGACATGCCGTATTAGAGTTGAGCAATATGCTCTGGCGGAGTCTATCTCAGCCTCCGAGGGCCTTGTTGAAATGCCATCTCTTGCGGTCGCATAACTCCTCCGACAATTTCTTGAGACTGATAAGAGCACCCTCCGGCACCTTGTTATATCTTTGACCTTTGCGAGGCTCATTGAAGCTAGAAAAGAGTGGTTGTATTTTTATGAGGAGCGGCGAGCTGCCATTATGAACAGGAAGTTGACAGTGGACGATCAATTCATGTCCTTACAGTAATATACAAGAAGGAAAACTCCAGTATGCTTCCCGATGCAATGCGTGTGAAATGGTGAATGGATGGACGTTGGATGAATCTCGGCGATGACGCCGCAGATCTCTCAAGCGTTGTTTCCGTTGCTTGAACTTGTAGGATTGAGCAGAATCTGTGCGGCGGCGCGTGAGAGGATGACTAAGGCTCGGCACAGCGCCGCTTGGCCGCTGCGCCTAGAAGTGGCCACGGGCTCGTGCACGCTACCACCTCGTGCACGGCCTCAGAGGCCCTTCACCGCTTTTTCTCTCAAGCTTCAACACCGCACAACTCCACCAAAAATATTCAGATTTCCTTCAAAAATAGATGCAATGGAAGCTGCGTTTGCGGAGCTTAATTTAATAGAGAAGAAGTTATATACTAAGGTTGTAAAAAAGCATAGGATTAATAGAACTACGCTTTTATAAAGGTACTAAGGAATTATAAAGTTAAAGGCTAAGGCCTATAATTTTTAAAAGCTTTTTTCTCCTAGTAAAACTAAGGCTTTTATTAAATAAATTAACAACCTTTTTAAAAGAGGCTTACCTCCTATATATTAAATAATATAAAATTTTACTTAGGAATTAAGTAGAAAAATACTAGGAATTTACTAGGTTTTATACTAGGTCTATTTAAATTCCAAATATTTTAAATTAGCCTACCTTCTTCCTATTAATAAGGAATAAAAAAGGGCTAATTCTACCCTTTAGTATAGTATTTATTTTAAGCTTTATAGCTATAAAAAAAAAATATAATATTTAGTAAAAAAATATATATAATATAGATAAAAAAGGATTTCTATAAAGTAATAAAGTACCTATAGTATATAGATACGCCTAGGGCTATAGTCTAGGCTGCGTAACCTATATATACTATAGGTATATTATATACTTAGCTAAGGTAAGCTTATAAATAGCCTAAGGCGTTTAAATCCTAGATTTTCTAAAAATTTATTTCTTAATATTATTAACTCTACCTATAAGCTCCCTACTATAACTTTCCTTTTATAATTTTTTATTAGAAAAATATTAAGAAAAAAAGGATTTTTAGTAAGCTTATTTATAAATTAGAAAGAATATACTATATTATTATTATTATTATATTCTATTAGGCCGGTGTAGCTTCTATTAGGGTTTATATAGTAGTGCTATCTAGGTTTTATTTATAAGGGGAAACCGTTCGCCTGTAATATTTAGGTAAAAACCTTATTTTCTATAACGTATTCCACTACCGAGCCGGCTAAACCACTAAGCCGGCCACTTTTCCTTAGCACAACCAACACTATATTCACACAGCAATATATTAATAACGCAGCGATTATCTATTTTAGTAAGAAGGCAGTATTAATCTCGCGCTTTAAGCCTTTACCTCTAGTTAATTTAGGACTATATAACGCGCTGCAGCAGCCTTTAACGTACAATATTAGCGGCTCTCTAATTAGCTCCACGGAATTACGTTTTAACCTTAATTACAACCAAACTGCCTAAAGCTTACTGCAACCGAAAAGCATACAATTATATAATATATCCTTAACCTAGACTCGCGAGGATTTGCGCCCCGGTTGTATAAGGTGGCAGATATAGCAGATAAAGTACTAGCTGCGTATAGTGGAATACTAGTAGGTAAAAACTGGACTTAACAGTTTATATCTTATATAAAGGAGCTTAAAATAGCTTTTAATTAGGTAAAGAACCGCCAGAGGATACTCTAGGAAGACCTAGAGGTTATTAATATATAGTTTACTTTCGTGCAAGAGACTATAGCTAAGTATAGCGTCCACTTAGATAATATCTACAACTTTAATAAGACTGGCTTTTAAATAGGTATAATTAGTATAATAAAGGTTATTATAGGTTTAGAGAAATATACAAGGCCTAATCTTATTTAACTAGGCAACCGAAAGTAGGTTACAGTTATCTAGAGCATCTGCGCTACTAGATATATAACCCTACTATTTATTATCTATAAAGGACGCGTTTATATCTCTATATAGTATAAGAAAGCAGAGATACTATATAATTAGAAGCTCTCTATTTCTAAGAATAGCTAGACTAATAATAAGCTTAGTCTTAAGTAGTTAAAGCACTTTAACACGTATATAAAGGCGCGTTAGGTAGAGTTATATAGGTTGCTGATTTTAGACGGCTATAAGAGCCACCTTAACTAAGATTTTAAGAATTATTGCGTTAAATAATAAATCCTTACCCTCTGTATGCCTGCGCATTTATTGTATATACTTTAGCTACTTAATATAGTATACTTCTCGCTATTAAAGCTAAAGTACTCTTAATATATATAAGACTTAGCACGCCGACGCGTTTACTATATTAATAAAGAAGGCTTTCTACCAGCCTTTAAAAACGCGTTTTTTAATATATTTATATATAAGAACTGCAAGAAGGCCTTTAAGGCCTCTAGATTAGTTCCTATTAACGCGCAGGTAGTTTTTAATCGCCTTAATATATAGTTATAAACCCTACTACCAGCACCTCTACTAAAAATACTATAGTAATTAAAGACCCTAAGTAATATATATAAATTTAGATTATAGTTAAGGCTAGTAAGTAATTCCTTTATATAGTTACTAATAACCGCCTAAAAAGGCTTCTTAAAGCTTATTAAAGGAGCCGAAGAAATGCTATACAAAAATATACTTATTAAAGCCCGGGTTAAAAAGCTTAAAGAGCAACTAGCAGAAATAACTAAGCGTAAAGGTCGTAAAAGAAAGCAAATCCAGACTAGCGGTATAATAGAGTATAGTATAGCAGCGTTATATATAGCTGCTAAAGTGTCTAGAGCATTTAATCTACGGAAAAAGGTGGGTAGTAGAGATAGTGCAAATAGGGCTCTACCAGCTCAACGGCGCTGTAGAAACTGTGGAGAGGCTGGGCATAATACGCGTACGTGTAAAAAGGATTAAGAAGCTTCTTCTAAATCTAATCTAAGTGTGTTGTATATAAGTTCTATAGCTAGTTATAAATAAATTAACTGCGCGTATATAGTGTTAGTTATACTAAGGAAAAGTAGCCGGCTTAGTAGTTTAGCCGGCTTAGTAGTAGAATACGTTAGTATATAACGCTTTATATTTTTCTTAGTTTATACGTAGCTATAAAAGACGTATATATTATAACCCGTAATACGAACCACCTAAGCGCAGAGGCACTCGCGGAGATAAGTAAGTAGATAAGACTAATTATATAAAACTAGGTTACGGGACTAAAAAGGTTATATATAGGATATATAGGGATCCTAGATTCCCCTATAAACTGCTAGTAGATAGGAATAATCTAAGAATAGGATATTATAAAAACAGGGTTATATAATAGCTTATTAGGCTTACAGAAAGAAGTAAGTATAGAGCCAAGCAAGCGCTTACCGGGCTTAAGGCGCTTAAGGGCTATAAGCTCTAAGAGCAGAATAAGTAAAAAGGTTTTTTAGGACGGAGCTTTTATATATAGGGACGCTCCTTTATATAAATAGGAACCTTATATTTAACTTAAGACTTTAATACTACCTATTAGAAGTAATAACCCCGTTTTATACCTAAAATTAATCTTACCTTACCTTTTAAAAACTATTGCACCCTAATAATAACTTAACCTATACTCTGCCTTAGTATATAACACTTAGAAAGTATAGAAAAAATAACCTATTATACTTTAAACACCGCTATATTAAAGGAGTTATATATAAATAATTAATTAAAATAGCCCTACTAACCTTTTTAGGCAGTATAACTGCTGGACTAACTCTAACTATACCTAAAGTAGTAACACGTATACAGGTATTACTTACACGGCTATAAGCACTAGAAAAGGCTAGCAATACTAAAAATAAAGAGATTGCAGCCCTATAGGGAAATCTCTAAACCGTTTAAGAAAAGCTTACTACTAGCAGAACGGTTAGCTATAGAGGCTATAAGATAAATAAACCCGAAGAGTTTACTAGTAATAGAGGAACTTTGCAAGCATTTATAATATAGATAAAACTATACCTATGCATAAATAAACTAGAGCAATCTTAAATTTAAATTAGATAAGGTTTATATAGCAGCCACCTTCTTAAAAAAAAAGCATTTAACTAGTTTAACCTAATACTTATAAACTGGCTTAGCAACGCTAACGCAAACGATTAGAAACTAGAAACTAATATTATGTTTAGCAATTATAGATACTTTAAGTTAGTACTTTAGATAACCTTCGGAGACACCGATAAAAAACGGATAGCGGAATAGAAAATAGCAGTTCTAAAGTAAAAGGGCTTAACTAGCCGCTATACTTTAGAATTTATACAAATCGCGTCTAAGCTATTATAGGGAGATAAAGCTCTGCAAGTATAATACTATAAAGGTCTTAAGGAAGATATTAAGGATAAAATTACACGAGGCGAGAGGCCTCTAATACTCTATAAACTTAAGGAAATAGCAATATAAATCGATAGTTAATAGCACGAACAACAATTAGAACGGGCAGATAAAAGGGGACTTTATTCCTACGCCTAACTAGCTAGACTAAAGCTAAGAGTAACTAACCGCAACTATAGAGATTGTATAGAGATTAATATTATAAAACAATATAATAACTAGAAGGGTAAACAAATTACTAATAAAGAAAGGTAAAATAGAAAGCGTAACAGCGTATACTTATTATACAGAGAATAAAAATACTTCGCGAATAAGTGCTCTAAGAACACCCGAATAGCAGTAGTTATAGCAAAACTAAATATAGACCGCTATAATTCTATATTATAAACCGCGTGCTATAATAACAACTACTTTACCTATTAGTTAGATAAGTAGGTAATAGGGTATTATCTAATATAAAGGGCAAAGGGACGTACTATTACTATAATAAGGAATAAAAAGTATAACAGCAATCCTATAGATAACTACTACGCAGACGTAGAAGTTAAGAGTATAGAAATCGACTACTTATTAGAAACGGATAAGGCGTTCTAAATAATTAAACCGCGATTAGAACCCTAAATTAACGTACCTAAGCTATAAACTAATAGCAAAACTAAGTTACTAGATATAAAAGTATAGGTTAATAGAGTTATAGCTATATATAAATAAAGCGCAAAAGAAATTCTCGCACGCTTTAATAA